GAAGCATTGTCCTCAATAATCCAGACAGTCCTGCCTGTAACGCGCTGGATCGTTCTTGCGTACGGAAATAATAGCGGACGGAGTATCATCTCTCGATATCGAGCCCAATCGACCCCCCCTTTACCTTTATCGCGTTTAGCAAGCTCCTGTTTGAATTCCCATTCCGGACGACGCCGTGCATGGCGTGTACCGTGTTCCTGATTTTCCCTATATATATAAAGTAATTAGATGAGCAGATAATAGGGTAAGTAACGAAGATAAGCTCGGATTGAAGGAGACAGCTTGGGGAAGAATAGGAAAGACCTTAACGAGTACATGACGACTGCGACTTGGACCTTACCTCTGTATATTTACATTTAATTCCTGCAGATGACGGTACTGGCGGGTCCCAGGACGCCGTGCCTCGGCTCTGTCATGCTCCATCTCGTGGATCATGACCTGGTTCTCATCCGAGATCGTGCGATCGATGGTCTCTCGTTCCTCCTGTGTCTCCGCTTCCCACGCATGGCATGGTCCCGTGCCCTCTAAGTCATATCCCCAGCATATTGCTCCCCAAAACATAATAGCTTGAAATACGTCTGGAGGGGATCGTGAGAAATCGAATGGATTAGCGCCTCGTGGGCGTGTAACCGCGAGGGGTTTCCGACTATTGTTTGTATTTACCAGCATCTCGTCTGTGAAGATAAAAATATCCCCATTTTCGAGGTTTGGTAGCGCCCAACTTGCAAGCCTTTTCCTGTCGTTTTTGTGCCAGGGGGTAAGTTCAAGCTTCCGTGGAGGCCGGCGTCGACGGAGAATAAACTCATCTTTAAGGATTCTATATGCTGTAGTTTTTGGCACTGGTATACCAAGGTTCTCGCTTACTTCGCGCGCGACTTGAGTCCAAGGCTTATCTTGTGCTTGTTCGTCCCGTGTCGCTGTATCGCGTAACGCGTCTTTGACAATGCCTGCCGTGGCCGGGCGCCCACGATGCTCCTCTTCTTGTGCGCAGGCATCGAGACTTCGCTGGAAATCGAGAAGCGATGGCTGCCAATTTAGAGGTAAATTTTCCCCTCCGCCAACGCGCAAGCACGCAAAGTCTTTGGCTCTTCCATACACACGTTGATAAGCGCTAGATACGCTCGTAGTTGGGATGCGGAGCTCGGTCGATATCTGGGGGAATGTCTGGCCAAAATGGCGGCATACAGCGATGGTGGTTAGCTGAGTAATCGATAAATTATGTCTCTGCGCGACTCGACGTGTCTGACGGATAGGAGGCATCAGAAAATTTAAGTAAATATGGTGTAGGATAAATCACTAGATACTAGTAATATCAATAATGATTGAATGATTGATTGTTTATTCCTACGCCCGTCAGGCCTCTCTGCGTGGCACATGTGGGGAATATCAATGGTGATGAAGCAATCTTGAGTTTTGATGGGGTTCGTCGAGCCCCTCTGCACGTGACACGTACAATATCAGGAATTGCTACGGGAAGCTAATGCTTGAGTATAGATGGTAGGTGTGAGGCCTTGGCATAACGGCAGAGAGTTTTGGGGCACCGCCGGTAACGAAACAGGAGCGTTTTGCCTAGGCGGAAAACCCTCTGAAAACGGCGTCAGAAACCGCCGTTTTTGGAGGCAATTTCGGTAGCGCATAACGTTACTCCGTAGGGAACAGTGAAAGCTGGACATCCCTCTGCTGCGCCACAAACTCACGATCTGTGGCACCTCCGTTTCATCACATCAGATTTCCGGCTTACACTGCGCGTCCAACAATCCACATACCCATCGCTCGCTTTATCAACGCTGTTATCAACTGGGCTTTCTGAATCCTTTACATACGTACCTAATGGTGTTCTAATTTCTTCCCCAACGAGACCTTAAGGCCTTCATCCCAACCCCCCACGTCTATCTATTCCTTGCCACGTTTTTGGATGCTGGACAATAGTCCTCATCCCCCCCGCTCCTTTCTCCTTCTATATAGGTTGAAGGCCATATTGTTGGCCTGAGCCAGCTGCTGTTCCGATGCCTGGACGAAGCACCCCCTCCTCTCCTTCATCCTCGTCGAGGAGAAAATGTCAGCGCCGCTGTAGAAAGTTCGAACGGTGCTGTTGTCTTACGGTCACATACTTTCCGCTAGCTTTCGTTTACAGCTTAACAACATGGGCATGTTGGGTAGAAGCTGGCATCGGCCTCTTGCCGAAGACAGTGGGATGGACAGGTATGTGGCTAGCACACTTACGGAAGAAACTTTGGACTACAGCCCCTGACTCCTTTGTTTAGGTCGCCTCTCATCCTTCCTTGGGATCGCCTTATATCTCCTACTGAATTGGTCATATACCGCCGCTGTCTTCACAGACCCAGGGTCGCCTACAACATTTCCACGGACTACGAAGCCAAATCCATCCGAGTTACCCATCCATGAACCTTCATCGGGTTCCCACTCCTTCAACTCCCTCACCGTCAAAGCGAGCGGAACCACAAGATATTGTAAGAAATGTCGAACGTCAAAGCCAGATAGAGCCCACCATTGCAGCAGCTGCAAACGGTGCGTATTAAAGATGGATCACCATTGCCCTTGGCTGGCCACGTGCGTAGGCCTGAGGAACTACAAAGCATTCTTGCTTTTCCTCATCTATACGTCGCTATTTTGCTGGGTCTGTTTCGCCGTGTCAGCCACATGGCTATGGGAGGAAATCTTTATGGACGCGGGATACAACCAATTATTGATGCCAGTGAACACCGTTCTCCTCGGAGTCCTTTCTGGAATAATTGGCATTGTGCTGCCCGGCTTCACATGTTGGCATTTCTATATCTGCATGCGAGGACAAACCACCATCGAGACTTTGGAGCAAACGCGGTACCTTGCGCCGTTACGAGGGTATATGGCGCAACAATACCAACACCAGGCGCCGCCTCAAAACTTGGACTTTGACACTGACCATCCCATCCAATCGTTTCAACATCAACTCCACAACCTCGGCGGCCATCTCCGCGATATGCACGCAAATGCCGTGCCGGGAGTGACCCGTCCCGAGGAAGGCGAGGAGCGCTCTTCGCCGTCCACTTCGATATCTTATAGTCACCCTTCACAATCACTTCAGCAGACGCCCCTGACACGATTAGAACCGATGAACCCTTATTCTCGCTCTCGGCCTACATCTGCCCTTGATCACACCTCCGCCCTTGCTAGCTCTCCCTCCAATCCACCATCCTCATCACCAAGTCCGTACGATGTCGCTGAGCGACAACGTGAAGCAGACCGCTACCGTGCTTACCTCGACGAGAAAGATGCTTCCCGACTCCCAAATGCTTTCGACCTCGGTTGGCGGAGGAACCTCGGTACGGTGTTCGGGCCATCACGTCTGCTATGGTTTTTCCCTATCTGCAACTCGGAAGGCGATGGCTGGGTGTGGGAACCGAGCGAGAAGTGGTTGCGCGAAAGGGATCAGTTGTACAACGAGCGAATGGCAGCCTCCGGAGTAGGAATGCAAGGGGGTTATGCAGCTGGAGGCCATTATTCACACGCCGCTCCGGATCAACCGGTGTGGAATGGGTCTCCCACCCCGTTACAAAACCTATCAGTGAATCAGAGATATCCAACACCTGTCACTACCGCAATTGCAACCGATGAGGAGGACTACGCCAGCAGTGACGAGGAAGATACTTCGGAGCGAAAGGAGCTGTTGCAGAAAGAACCAAGACCAAGCCCACAAACAAGTGGCAGTGGGCGAATACAGACCTCCAACTGGAACGATTTGCCAGATGAGATCATCAGTCCCAGGTTAGGTAGAGGGCTGAGGATGAACAGTCGGGGTCCTACAGGGAGTGGTAGAGGGACACCTGCTGGTGCGAATCCTTCCAAGCAAAAAACAGACGACTGGCAGGATTGGGATGTAGACTGACATATATCTGCCCCAATGAGGGGATGATCGTTCGCGATATTAGGATACAATTTATTGCATCCGCCATACCCCTCATCTTCCCCATCTAAATGGCTTTTCACTCAACCATCATGGCTGCCTCCTTCTCAACCATCTCTGCCAGCTCGCCCAAACTCTCAACCGTCCAATTCCACGTCACTTCCGGCGAACTTGCCGCCGTCCCACCCAACACCGCCTTTCGATCCACCCACACGTTCTTCAACCCCATCTTCCCCACTGTCTGATGATCATGGAATATACTCTGCGCCACATGCAACACCTCCCCCTTCTCCACCCCAAACTGCCTCTTCACATTCTCCAACAGATACTCAAAGTTCCGCGGGTCCGGCTTATAGCTACCGATCTTCTCGGCCGTATACACCGCGTCGAACTTCATCCCAGCCAGTGGGCCTTCCAATGTCCGCGCAACGGACGCTTCATCGATGTTAGAGAGCGCCACCAACTTGTATCGCTTGCCGAGTGCTTGCATAGCGGCGACAGTGTCGGGGAATGCGGGCCATGTGCCGATGCTTTCCCCTACGCCTTTCGCCGTGGAATCTAGGAGGGCCTCTTGCTCAGTCTCAGGGGTGCCCGGTACGGAGAGGTTATAGTCGCGGACGAGCTGGCTGAATGAGCCCGCGACGACCGCTGAGTAGAGCAAGCTGGGATTGGCGGCTTGGATGGCGCTCTCGGCAGTGAAGTATGCGGGAAGGAGAGTTTTTATTTCACGCATTGGGTGTGAAGGCGAGAGAGAGGAGAAGTGGGGGGTGGTTAGGATTGCATTGAAGACTCCTAATTCCCAGTCGATCAAGGTGCCGAATATGTCGAAGGAGAGGAGGCGGGAGGAGGTAAGTTCGGAATTTGGGAGTGGTTTAACAGGCATTTTCGTAGAATTCGTTCAAATAAGACTGAATAGTTGTCTAATAGGACAGAACGAATGGTTATAAAAGGTTTACAATCCGTGTTAAATATTGTATTGAACCCGGTGGACGAAGGTGTCATGAATTGGGCGTACTCCAGATCCCTAGCTCTTCTACTAATGTGCGCCCTACGAGTGACAATCAAGATCGTGGCCGACAATTCAAGGAATGATTCTCGTGGTACAATTAGTCGATGTCATTAACGTTCTTCCGGTTCTTTTAAGTCTTCTGTTCTGGTTTGGGCTGTAATATGCTGCACTGTGGGGTAGAGGGCTCTGGATAGCTCAGCTCAACTACCTCTGCTGTCATGTTGATGCTTGCATGACGGATGTTCAGATCTAGTCCGCGAAGCATTTATTGATCATGGTAATTATGGGTAGTTTGTATGCTGGTATCTTGTATGCGTAAAGCAGCGAGACTGCTATATTGGGGTTGTGGAGAAGCCCAGTACAATGATGGTTGCTACGACGGGCCAACTTGACACTCGCATCGATGATGAAAGCGACCACAGAAAGCACTCTAAATCGGATATTCGAAAACTCTCACAGTTCTTGGTAATTCATTTCATCCCTACAAGACTTGCGAGCCAAAATCTGCGACCCTTCGCTATATACACCCATATCTTTGCAGATCTAACACTTCAACACCAACGCATTTGCATACAGAGCATACGAGTCGGCATTGTCCAACGCAGAACGCGCACTTAACCTCTTCTGTGCCGAATACCCATACCCATTGTCGTTCGTTCCAGGCTTAACGACCGCCGGCGCATGCGTGAACTCATGCAACGTCGTCGACCACTGATCTTGTCCGTGGCATTGCTTAGACTCCAAGGGCAAATAACTAAAGTACATTGGGCAATTGACAACCACATTCTGTGACGGGACAGTGTATGCGAGCGTGCTAAGGCGGCACGCGAAGTATCGGTCTCTACAGCGGTACGTAGTGCCGCCGGTTGTGGTCGAGTTGCATTCTTTGGCAACGGCTTGAAAACGAGCTGCAACAGTGGAGCGCGTGCTGGCATCTGAAGTTTTGAAGTACTCTTCGAACCTAAATCGAGTTGGTCAGGTGTTAGCAATGGTCCATCGGTTTTGGACCGAGCAAGGGATAGAATTTGACGTACTTGGCTGCGTCGCCTGATTGGGCAGCGGTGGCGGATAACTCAGAATACTGAGCGCACAGTTTCAGAGCATTCAGGGTCGACGTCTTCCTGCTGCCAGTGCAGTCGGTATTCAATCTCGTCCGTTTATGGAGCGTCTGTTCCTCCGCTGTCATCAACGGAATGGCACGCTTGACTCGTCGCGCGAGCTGCCAATTTATCTCCATGACTATTTCGTTGGATCTATAATGGACGGATTCTCCTGTTAATTCTGTTGAGCCAAGCTCTGCATACGGAATGGCGCCTGAGGTGGAAACTCGATATTCCCCAGACCTCCGAATGTCGTGGACCGATGCAACATCCAGTTCGAACTCAAGCGTCTGTCCGGCCTCGATCGCAGTGAATGCATCGGGTTCGAGATTTCCCAGCATTACCCGCTTCTCGATACCCGTAAACGATATCTTTGCACCTCCTTAAGATACATCAGCTGAACGTCTACGTATTTGGGTAATAGCGTGTTGACAAAGCAGAGAAAAGAATAGATTGCAGAACGCAGTGAAGTAGCATGCATGCAAGGAGTCCAATTGCGAATACAGGAATATTGAGAGTGCAAAATTGGACGAGAAGGGGTTGGATTATTGTCTGTGCCTGTCGTTCGTTTTCAGGGCGAAGTCGAAACCAACATGTTACAACTGAGCCCGAGGTAGTTCGCAAGTCGTGTGTGGGCCACGAACTATGATCACAAGGAAATGTGACTATAAGAACAAGCGATGTCGGCAACAGTTGGTCTCGAGTTCAACCAGAGTGAAGGAAATGAAGCGGAGCACCTCCAAAAACGCAATTCAACGTCTCGCGCAGCCATCCCTATCCGACACTGAAGGTCGAGGACTCCATAATAGACGATATTTCAACTGATATACTGGCATATCGCTATCACACGCTGTCTTGCCAGCACCTTGAACTCATGTCTGGCTCTCCATGGCAGACCTCTTAAGGGCGACAAGGAAGTGGAGTAGATATAAGGATAAAATATTTAAGTGTGTGTGAAACGTACCTGGTCCAAACATCGAGACCTTCTGCACTGGCATTGGGTCCAGAAATGTCCCTTCCTCAAGCAGGTTGAGTCCCCGAGACCCAACATTTGTAACGGAGATGGTTACTCGGCTGTTGTCGATGGCTGATATAACGACAGACAGTGCTGGATCCTCCGTTTCCTGGGCTGGATCCGAAGCCACAGCGGCATATGCGCAAGTAATGCACGATAAGATCGAGCAAAGCACGGTAAACTTCATCTTGACCTTGTTGCCTGGTAACCAGTTCCAATCGAACTCACTGAAACCCAGATCTGCCGCGGGAGAAAGGAAAGACTAGAAATAATGACAGGAGAGCGAAGTGACTGATGATGGAAAACCATAATAAATGGGAAGGGACTCGACCCTCCAATATAAATCCAGATCAACAGCCGCGTGTGCCTCGTTCAAACAACTAATTTGAGAACAAGCAAATGAAACAGGGAGTCATAAATAACATCGACATTTCATTGACAAACCAAAAGAGACATGCCAACCGGCGCACAGTAGGGTGTGTCTCCTGCTCGGGTCTTAGCCATCGTCTGTTTGTCGAACCCTGATGACCAGCAACAAGTCGTCATTCAGAGATATGGTCGGATAAGCCTTACGTTTAATGTACCTGGAAGAACTATGCCTGCTGCATGAGATACCATAGATGGATCGAGCATAGCGGATGGGGTGTGAAATTCGCTACTTTCCCAGTCCCTAGATACTCGATTCGGGTTGATTGCGAACGCTTAGCTAGCCGTCAATCATCAACTGTTTAGCTTTTCAGGGCCCACCTATGGGGATCAACATCGTTTCAACCATGTCGGTATCTTGCGAGAGCCGCGGCGAGAGCCGCGGCGAGGGCATTCTAACGCATGTTGACCTATGTCATGCTCCTGGCTTCCAAAGGGTCCTTCAGAGCGTGTTGGATCCCGGTAATTGTTAAGAACTGCAAAAGAAAAGAGCCTCTATATACAAAACCGGATTAGAAACTTTGACTCGCAATAATACGAAAGAGGCATGCTAATTTGAGAAACAAGAAATAAACGCATAGTCCAACTTGAAGGGCGGGTGACAGTAAAAGGCACATAAATCATGAATATAATGAATTAGATTGTTAGAATCAAGAAGGTAACTGATGAAGCCACAGCTGATCTCATGCTCCTCAGCAGCGACAACAAGCCACCCCAGTAAGGTTTTGATGGAATGTGGCACCGAGAGGACACACGATAGGAGATATGCCACCAGTCATGGCGTGTTTTGGACATAGGACGACGTCTGACCATGCAACGAACAGCTTATTGCTGCATTGACAGATGGATGTAGGCCAGTCACTGGCGAGACAGTTCTAATCTGAAGTAGAGTAGATGGTTCCAGAGTCACGGGCACCATGAATTATCAAGTAGGTAGTAAGAACCGAAATGCAATGAATTCATATAGAATTCCCATCCATTCCTGGGTGGGTAGATTGCAGGCTATGCGCCAAGAACCACAAGCAATGCCAAATGAAACGTAGGGGACCGCACAAAGGGATTATATTCGTGATGAGGTCGATAAAAGCTTGATGAAGGTTGGACGAGGTTGGATGGCGATGAAGGGGATAGGAGCCCCTTGTAAGATTGCATGTGGCAACCCACCTTCTCGTCCGCTCCAGCTAGTGCTAACTCTATTGGGACACTCTACTATCACTGTACAACGTCAGATCATCTTCATCTGATTATCTTCCCATTAATGAATAACTCCTCCGCCTGCAATCAACTGTGAATTTCTTGACCAACTCATATCTCCGCTTATCCCTACAAGCATGAACTTCATTCATGTCTTACTTCCTATCTCCATGTGACACCCATGCCCCCTCTCACCACAAGGTATTGGGTCGGCTAAAGTTACGCCGCATGAAACACGGTTCTCATGCGTTTAATATATTCCAACCCACTGATCGACCGGTACCCTCATATATCATGGTTTCCGCAGTCTTGGCTCAGTTGGCGATAATATGAATGATCTCCAAGCAACCTGCGCATCAGATGAACACTGCGCCATGATCGCCATCGTTCTTCATTTAGTGGATTATCAAGCATCTCATGCTGGTCCTAATATCATTCGCCTTAACTAGGTATCTTATCATGACATGGTTCGGCTGTCACTCGAGAGGTCGTTTTTCTAAAGTCCGATATACATCAATATTGCCGTTTATGTGTGGATGTCACCGTCTTCCTTGCTTCTCATATCAGTCTATATTGCCTCGTCCTCCCAGTTTCCTATCTCAGACCGTGGGAAAGGATTTCGTTTTGCTCTCAAGTCCGATTTTTTCCCTATCTCAAGTACGAGTACCTTGCTGCTGCTACAGGCTGTTGTAGGGAAATACTTCATCCTGTGTGCTCAACCAACGACCGATTCCATCGGTGACGCCGGCAGTGACACTCAGCTGACGGAGCATCGTGATCTTGCTCACATCACTGGAGGCAGAACCACCAAAGATTCCCAATATCGAGCTTCCTTATTGTGAACAGTGGCGCAATATCCCGTACTTAAGAATCAAATCCCGCTCACGATAGCCGTCCGCAACACAGATAGCGCACTATACGGCTGCCCAGATCCATCGCTCCCTTCGACCATCCCCCCCCCTTTACGGAAGTCAGCTATCCCTAAAAAGTCCGCCAACCCTAACGTACTATAAAGTACAACACAGACTGCACCCTATACAGCTCCCTGGATCCGTCTCTCCTTTCGACCTCACCCCCCTTTATGAAAGTCAACGGTCCCTAAAAGGTCAGCCGACCCTGACGCGTCTTAAAGTACAACGCAGTCCACGCAACCAACTTCATCTCTTCGTCGCATACCACCTTCCCGAAACGCTGATGTCCACCAAAACAATCCTCCTCGGCACTGTCGCCTTCCTCACTCTCGCAACTGTCTACCTCACCCACTCTTCCTACCCCTACCCCTCCCAAACCATGCAATCCATTCCCACCGTCACCCCCACAGTATCCCTCTCCACCATATCCTCCCACCCTCCACAGCTCCGCATCACGCTACACAACCCGTCCCCCAACCCTCTCACCTTCATCCGATACAACTCCCCTCTCGACCCCGATATCCTCACTCTCGGCCTCGTGCGTATCACGTCACTCGACGGGGAAGACGTGTCGATCGTGGCCGTCCACCTCAACCGCATGTGGCCACCGGACGAGGCGGATATCGTGGAGCTGGGGCCGGGGAATGAAGAACGTCAGGTGGTGGGGCTGGCAGAGCCCGGGGTCGAGTTGGAGGCGGGGAGGAAGTATCTGGTTTGGGTGGAGGGGAGCTGGATGGGATTGTGGGGGAAGGGGAAGGCGGAGGTGGCGGAGGAAGAGGTTGAGAGCGCGGGGGTCGTGGGTGGGAAGACAAGATGGAGGAGTGAAGAGGTGGTGCTGAGGATCTAGTGATGTTTGATGGCTATATATTTTGTATTAGAGGCCGTGATATCACAAGGTGTGGAAGGGACAGAGATCAGAATCTCGGATTCGATTTTTCTTGCTCTGCTTCTCTTCCGAGAGCTACAATACAGTCGTAAATGCGTCGTTCACTTTGCCTTGAACCCAAGCCGATCTCATCGAGATCCGTATCAATACTCGTATCTCATCTCCACTATCGCGGATAGGCCGGGCGGAGCATATCCTCACCTAGCACCGTATATGCGATGATCTGCAAACGACTGCGGGTACTGCCCAAGAAATTCATCATAACCGCCTCGTCCCGATCGACGAAACCTTAGAACATGAAGAAGGTATTCCTAACGCAAACATAGTATCCCCCGCTCCGTCCCGTTCATGCTCCGCGCCGAACAATGCTGTGTTGTAGAAGGATATCGAGGACACTCGCGATCCGTATATCGAGGCCAACCAAAAGCAAATAATAAAATCCCGTCATGGCGCAGCGCTGTCCAAAATCACCGCTGCCACTGCTGAGGAGCTGTCAGAACCCGCTCCAGCGGTTGACCGTCATTACCATAACTTACCGCACTTGCTGCTGCGGCGCTGGCAGGATTTCCCCCTCCTCCTCCGCTTCCACCCATCTTCCCACTCCCGGCCCGCTGGGATGCCCGGGGCAAGGCGCTTCCCATCCCGCTGACTGCAGCCGTCGCGCTTGACCGACCTAGGACAGGGACACCGCCGCTCGCTCCGCGCCTGGCACTGGGCACGGGGACGCCGCCATTGACGGTACTATGCCGTCTCGCCGAACCGTACGGCTCGCTCCTCTTCACAGGGCTGCTACCAATGATATCCCGCGGAGGAGCATTGCCAGTGCTGGCGTTGCGGAAGGCAGTGGCAGGTGGCTCAGGAAGCGGTCGGCTGGACTGCCGAGGGGTCTGCATCGGTGCGGCGGGACCAGAGACGGTATTGTAGCGTTTGATGGGACTGTCTGAATTCGAGGCGCGGAGGTTGCCACCTTGATGATAGTTTGGTGGGTTGGAAGAAGAGGAAGAGATGTTGGAATGGGGGTGGTTAGGGCCTCGGTCGCGCATGGGGAGACCGTGGACTTGCGTACGTGAGCGGTGGGCAATGGGGCGCTTGATGCCGGTGATGAATTCGTGATGCAGCGCGTCGTCGGGTCGAAGGCGTCGCTCGGGGTCCCACCGAAGGCAGCGAGCGATGAAGTCAAGGAACGCGTCGTCGTCGCATTTGAGGGCGTGTTGCAGAGTCCTGCTGCTTGGGCGCCGTCGTCGACCTTTGCTTGAGACGGTGACACGGGGTTTGCCGAGTGAGTCGAAGAAGAGCTTCTTGCGCGAGCTCTTTTCGATGAGATGTTTCTCTGGTGGACCAAAAATCTCCATGATGCATGCTAGCTGCTCTTGCTCGTTCTCTCCGGGGAAAATTGGATATCCGGTAAGAAGTTCTGCAAGAATGCAGCCAAGGGACCACATATCGATTTGTATGCCGTACGACATGCCGAGGATAACTTCCGGGGATCGATAGAAGCGCGATTGGATGTACGTATAAACCTTCTCGTTCTCAAAACATGACGATCCAAAATCAATGACCTTGATTTCAGAATGCATGGGATGAGCAAGGAGGATATTCTCCGGTTTGAGATCGCAGTGAATAACTCGTCGGCTCTTCAGAAGAGTTAAAGAACTGAGCATCTGCTTGGCGAACCTCCGAATGAGGACAAGCGGGAAACCTTTGAACTCGTATGCTTTGATGAACTCATACAAGTTCATTCCCAGGAGCTCCGTGGAGATGCACAGATGGCCGCGAAAATAGAAGTGTTGCGTGAAGCTGATCATACTGTGCTTGCTTTCGGGGTCCTATTGACTGTTAGGTCTGTATGAGTGGACGTGTGGATTGTTGAAACCTTACCCATTCACGCAGTCTCTGCAAGATATTTACTTCGACGAGAGCTTGCTGGTGGAACCGCTTCTTGTTCCGGATGATCTTGACGGCCACAAGCACACCGAGCTTATGATCAACACATCTCACGACTTGCCCAAAGCTTCCCTTCCCAAGGATATCGACGACCTCGTAGCGATACGAGAGATGGTCGCCAAGAACGATGTTATAGTCTCCTCGCTCGTCATCATATCCGAAGTTTGCCGAATGCGAATTCAGGTCGCCGACATGTTTCTTCGCGTTTTGCGTTCCACAGAAATAGACCTCCTTGTAGTCGATAATCTCGCCGCGCTCGAAAATGTTCAGGTTGACCATCTGCAGCGCGTGCGATGGCAACACAGAATCTTTCGGTCGCGCCCGTTTTCGCAGGTCATCTAGCTCCCGTGAAACCGATTCGAAATCCCGCCGCTTTGAGCCCAGCTTCTCCATTACCTTGTCGGCAGCAAGATCATCTTTGTCGAGATTTGTGTCAAGATGCCTTGCTTTCAATGTGGAGATGGAGTTCTTCGACCCCAGTATCCTGTGGACGGGTGTGAGAATCGATGAAGTGGATCTCGGTACGTTGGCTCGCTCCGTGTATGGGGGAGGATGAGTATTGCCTCGTATTACGTTTCGCTCGTGTCGCTGTGGTGGTGGTTTGTCGTCATGAGAGCCCTGCACGTTCTCCAAATTAGAGATGGAGAGTTTGCGTCTCCTGATATCAAGGGAACCTCGACTTCGAACCGATGGGGAAGGACTCGCATGACTGGAACGACCGACAGTAGCGGAAGCAGGCATACGAGGTGGTGGCATATCCTTGGACTTTCGAGGTTGCTTCTCTTCTTCGACCTCAGCCGTCTGCGATTGCTGAGCCGGATGTGATGCCTTCGATGAACTTCTGCGCCATCCGATGCTGAGCTTGCGCCTCAAAGAAGTCGCAGATGACGGGGTTTCAGGCTCCTCTGACGCGGACGTGTTCACCGATGGCGCAGATTGGGTATCTTTCTTCGTCGCCATTTGCGATACGGGGCCTTGTGCTGGGGCATAATCAACAGCATCCGCTTCAAGAATGTCATCGAACTTCAGTTCCTCGTCGCTTTGTCGGGCGGAATAACGTGCAAATTCGCCGCTATTCTTCGGTAGAGAAGCAGATGCAAAGGGTGTCGTGATTTGTCGGCTTCCGGCGTTCCCGGGAATGGATAGAGGCAGCGTTGGTGACAACGAAGGGTAACTTGGAGGGTCGGGTCGCAAGTGATACTGTGAACTACTGCTCCGTAGATGGAATGGATTGAAATCCGGGTCATCTTGGAGCGCCCTCCCGAAAAAGGTCGCTTTTGAGGCGGTCATGGGGGTGCTAGGGGTTTTGGCGGCATTTCGTTGCGGCGGAGGGGTCCGGTTGTTACGATCGTCCACTTCAGCAGACGGGCCGGGCAGGGCTGCGATTCGTGACGCAGTCGGTGTGCTGAGAGGAAGCAAATTCAATGGCGGTAATCGTATCGGCTGCAAGGTCTTCTTATTGACGTGTTGTATGGTGACCGCCTGGTCGGCATCTGAGTCTGCGCCAACTGTGAGGCCTCTTCGGTGTCGTGGATTGTTGCCGCGAGAAGCATGTTGCTCATACAGCATTGGATGAGCGCTTCGAACTTCGCCAAGGAACACGCCGGGCGCGTTGTTCCTTGACGAAGCCAAGCTTCTCGAGTCATCCATAGAATCCAACGTTGCAGATTTGTTCGGCACAAAGTACTCGTGCTCCGGGTTGTCCTTCGGCGACTCATATGCCTTTGGTATTGCTGGTACTGGCGGCACTTCTTCCAGTTCACCAGCGGCAGAACTATGCACATTTCTAGGTTTCGGCGTAGGCAGGCGCGACGTTGACTGATATTGGTTTCGAGGATTGGCCACATTAGGTCCGGTGCGCAACGATGCGGAACTGGATGTCGATACGAGATTAAGAGAGGATGCGGGGAACTTTCGGGTATGGTCAGGTGTGGCTCGCGCGGAATTCGGGGTTGCGCTCTTCCTCGCCACAAAGCCAGGGGAGGGTACCGATGCTCGAGGTGCAGGTGTGAAATCTGGCTGAGGAGTGGGAGGAGTATTAGGAGCGGAGGATCCGTGAGCGGTTGAAAGCCTTTTCAACCTTCGAGCATCGGTAGGACTGATAGTTCGAGCGCCCAGCCCCCCAACATGTGGCATAGTTGACATTCTTTTGTTCCCGGATGAAGGTGTGTGGTTTTGCTGTGCAGATGATCTAGCAGGAGACCGCGATTGCGTTGATACATTCTGCCCGTCCCGTCCAGCATTCGGGTCCAGATTGTTTGTAGATTGTGAGCCCGTTTGAAGAGAGCGTGCTTTTGCCGATCGTGTGGAAGCAGCAAACCGAGCTGTGTCGGCTCCCCCAACGCTCCCAGGAGCCAGTGTGGTTCGTCGGTTGGCTTTGGTCATGGACGATGACCGACTCAACGAGCCTTGTCCTTGTCCTGAAAACGAGCTCGACGCATTTCCCTTGGTGTTCCGTCCGTCTTGATTCGGGGTATATATACCAGGTCCGACAGATTTGCGCGGCGATCGGAAATGAGCGGAGGTCTTGACTGGTGTCGACAAAGGAGCGTTTTGTGAACTTTGCTGTCGATTTCGCGTCGCAAAGGCGGAAGGCGGTGCCATGCTCGTTGTGTCTGTAGTCTGCTGGCGGTTCTCTGGAGGTCGAGCATTGTTGGCCTTTCGAAGAAGCGACGGCCTTCTCGGAATCCCTCCTTGCGGCCCGGATATAAACTGATTATCATCTCCAGTTCCAGGCACCATCCTTTGTGTCGAGGTAGCCCCGATGACCCTATCGCCGACGCGCCCGGGGAGTGGAAAGTCGTTTAGATCCGGTTCATAGGTAAGACTTGCATGGAATTCATCAAAGTTGACGGCAGGGAGGAAGTCGAAGGATTCCTCCTCGTTTCCTTCTCGTGGTGCGTCGTTGCCCCTTCCGATACCCGTACCGAATGGGCCTGAGGTGTTTTGTGTGGGAGGAGCTCTGGATTCGGATGGCTTGATGCCTTGTGAAAGAGGGAAGGATCGAGTGGCTGCCGGGATTGCTGAAGTATCACTTATAACTCTAAATTTAATCAGCATATTCCGTACAAATAACGGATCGTCGTGGAGGAGCTATTAATTCTCACTCACCGTTTTCCTTGTTGTTGTTCCAGCGGTCGTGGGCCTAACAATGGCGGCCGCGCTGGCTCTCGCATCGTAGACCGCCTACGCGCTGCAGCCCCCGTTTTGAAGTCACTGGAGCTTTTAATCGAAGATATAGATCCGCTGTGATGTCGTACCGGACGTTGGTTCTCGTTTGTCGTTCGTGGAAATCGCTTTCGCGCCCGTCCCTCCGCTAGTGTATTGTAAGTCATGCCTTGCACGAGATCTCCCGGAAGGAAGGAAGACGCACCGCTTGATCCTGCAGAATCATCTGGGGTCTCGTGACGATTTCCTAGGAGTGATGGCTCCATTGTAGAGTATTGTGTCATCCCTAACATCTCCGCATATGTTCTTATTGCTGTTCCTAGGGGAGGACTGCTCGGGCTTCAACCAAGACAAATTGCCGTCCAGTCGAGTTTCGAAAGCGTTATGCCGAAAGGGATATCGTAGCAACACCTCAAATCAATGCTCCTCCGAGCTCTCCCACCCTGATGCAAGGCTAACCGCTTGGTGAGCGCATCTCTGGAGTCGAGGCGGTCGGGAGGTGTGGACCGTTACGAAGGCGAGTTAGGGGGTTCCGAAACCATCCGCGGATAGAGGTGATGTCCGTTCAAGAGGGGAGAAGGGTTCGACATGCAAGAATTACAAGGAACTCATGTATCTGTCAAGCATGGAATAGTAACGGTTGTTCGGATTGTACAAGTAGCACCAGGTCAGCAGGGAGTTGTGGAAAGTTCAAAGGACGTGAACCGGAGATATCGCGCTAGCCGCTTTGGGCGGTGCGGGTAACAGGCCATTATTTACTTTGCAGTGAAATCTTATTACTCCCTGATGCCCCAGATGGCTCTTTATTTTAATTGGTTCCTAGCTAATAATAAAGAAATTTATGTCCAAGCGTTCTGTTTACATTTTGATGGAGATTGACTTCTCACTGCTCTCTAGGTACTATCCTCTCCTCGCCTCGTGCTGGCTCCTCGCGGTTGTGACTTTTCTCCTGTCAGGAACCGCTCGCCTGCTCGAGCAACGCACACTTGCATGTGGACCAAAACAACGAACAGCTTGCGCACGGGCATAGTCCCTTCATCCAATGACATTTTTATTAATATTCCGTACACATGAGGGATACTGCAAGATCTGGTGTAAGCCGGTGAAACTCTCCACACAAAAGTGAGTGTCTGTAGACTAGACTACGGTGCGGAATAAAGCCGAAGACCACAACTCGAAAGTCGAAACACACGTACTTCCTGTTATTTGGATTTTGGATCGTACATAGTATTCCCTACTACTTAGGTCACTCATCAAAACAGGCATGGATGCCGTGTTCTTGTCTTGCCCCTGGAACGCGTCGGAAGAGCAACACACGTATTATGTGGGTGCCTGGCGATCCATTTTGATGCCTTGCAACTCTAACTGTAACTGCAACACAACATCAGATGAGTACGGTTCAGTTGAGAGGCAACCACAGGCTTGAGGTTCGACTATGGTAGAGCAATTCTCCTTCGGGGGCTGTCGTATACTGATATAGGATTACGAATGCACCTCAACTGGGAGCCTAGCTCATTGGACCTAGCAATGAACGAGTCAATTTCACCAGCCAGCCACCAGCGGCGGTATACTGACGCACGCCAAAATGGGCGTGAATGGCAGCTGCTAAGCCTTGCGTTGCTTCTCAGCTGCTTTTCTCCCCATGGATGGATGTCGAATGGCTTGGTTACCCGATAGTATGAACGAATCAGCATCAAAGGCGCATCGAACGTGATGCAGACACAAGGCTATGGGAGGCCCAGCGTTTGTTTAAGTCTGCCTTCTGCTCAGCCGTGAGTTATTGAATTCTTGCCTTTTTTTTTTCTTGTACGTTTTAATCAGTTCATTTCAAAATATCATCATCCATTTCTTGCCGTTTCAATGGCTGTTGTCACTAGCAAACGGCATTCGTCTCCCGCTTTCTGATACCATGGAGACCGCAGCATCAGTCATTGCTGTTGTGACGATTAGTTTCAAAATGGCTACCGGTCTTTACCGGTCTTTCTCCGACATCAATGGCGCTCCAGGGACAGTAAAGAGATTCGCTAGCTCCCTGGACAACCTCGCGCGCACTCTTGAACAGCTCGCCCGCCTTCGAGTCGTGAGAGACCATGGTAGTGTTGACGGAACAGTTTATCTCAAACAAGCAGCGGACAAGTGTTCATCAAACCTCGAATATTTAAGGGATGAGTGGAAAAGGTTCAAGGTGTCGTCTCCTAACAACCGACTTCAAGTCTCATGGGGGATGGTGAGAACTTCCCTCAAAGATGGCGATATCCAAAAGTGGCACGCGATGATACGGGAGCATATCGCGACGTTGCTATTCCAGCTTTGCTGTCTCTCGAGGTAAGTTTTTCGTATTACCCTATATTGTGTTATCTACGCAATGAAGCCTTGGCGCGACGTTAATGCGAGACGTTATTCAAACCAATCATATAAAGCGAAACCAACATCGACAATTTCACCGCTGTACGAGACATCATCGAACGGGTCAAAGCGTCCCAAGATGTCACTCACAACAGGATTGCGGCTCTGGAGGTGCAGCTCAGTCAGCTCACGGGACTTGAATCTGATACGAAAGCAATACGCTCCCAGACCGTAGTCATTCGGGATCGAAGTGTTGAAATTCAACAAACCGTTACTGCGACTGCAATATCGCTCGAATCCGTGCATACAAAGCTAGAGCATATGCGCGAAGCGTCCCAGAGCCAAATCACGAATCTGAATTCTCTGATTGAGACTTGCATGAAAGTTGCTGCTTCCTCAACAGGCCAAGACAGTAAAGTGACTACTTCACACGTCAGGCAGTGCGAGCTCGATGATGACGCATTTCTGAAAAGTCTTTCAAGGCTTTCTCATCTGGATACCTGGAATGTGGTGCCGAACCCTTCTGCTGAGGCTGAGGACATCATTTCAGGTCTCGAGTGCCTCCTAGATGCAGCAATGTCAAACATCAAGAGCGAAACCACGAGCCGTGCCTCTGCAGCTGTTCTTCCACAGCTAGCGTGCGAGCCATCAGCGGAAGAGACCGAAGCATTGGAAAAGAGTCGTGTCCTCAGGCGATTAAGAGGCATCCTAGGAAGCTCCATGGAGCTATCTGTCAACAGTCGCGGTATGCAACCCCTGGTTTTGCTCTTGCGGCATTGCTATAATTGTACAGTTTGCACTGACATTCCATTTAGCACAGGCTGCGGGACGGTCTGCATTTGCCGTGACAGGCCTCCACGAACAGCTCAGTATACGCCTCAGAAGTGGAGAGCTTAAGCTTTTAATAAGAAAGAACCGAACAAGGGATAAAACTTACGATGGCCGGATCTACGATCGACAGTCTCATCACGAACAGCTATTAGGAATTGACGTTCTAATGGACTTCATATCGCAAGACCCTAGTATCCCATTCCGTCTAGTTGCGAATTTTGCCCAATCGTGGGCCGACGGGATTTGCTGCTCCTCAGTCCCAGTGCTGTGGGCGTACAATATCAGAAGTCGACGCGAAATGCGACAGCTATGGAGAGAAATGAAAGGTTCAGGAATCGATGGGGTAAAACGATTTTTTCAGGCCAGGAAAGCATCTCCACGCGATATCGATACATGCGGAAAGACCTTCCTTGCTGTAAGTGACCTACACTTAGGCTATCAATGGCTAAAAAGCAGCGATATTCCTTTGACTGCATAACCCGTGGGATTCGTGTCTCAAGTAGGCCGCTGACAGCATTCATAGTACGCCGCCCTAGATAGCTGCCTAGAGATCTGCCAATTTCTGATAGATTGTGGCATGGAAGTCAATCTTCTCATTAGGAGTAGTAGTGCCGTGGGGTTAGTCATATTTTGCTCTATTTCCCCTTATGTACTCATTTGTTAGCGATGTCTATTTTAACGATATTATGCGAATTTAATGCATATGTTGGTTCGATACTAAACTGACCTTGTCCTGGGCCGATAATAAACCTTCTCAACCGCTCAATCCTATTGCGTGGGGAGCTAGATCAAACAGGTAGACTCCTACTCGATTCTGGTGCAGATCTATTGTTTCCTGCATCATCCGAAGCTAGTCTGCATTGTCTTGGGAGTCATTCAGTCCACCATGTGGTTGGCTGGGAAGAGCTTGTGCCATAAAATAGGGACTGGATCTTCCTAGCACTTCGAGATTCCAACTACCTAACCAAGGTCAATGAACTCGGGGAAAATATCTTGCAGGAATATATTCGCTTTAGGGGCCGTAGAGTGGGACCATTTGTAGTCCCCACTCTAATAGGAAAAGGAGTTGATATTTGACGCTCCGACATCAAAGGGAACTCTGTATACAGCCCACCCGACATCATCACTCCAGTATATCAATGCTTCTTGAAGCTGGAGCCGGCCCACTGGCCAGAAATAAGGACAGCCAGACTGTGGAAGACATCATTCGTGGACAGCAAAAACAAGTTAGTAGTTTCGGCTTCGGAACTTTCGTTGGAGACTGCTAGCATCTGACCTTCAGGTTATATACTGGAGGCTTTCAGGGTTAGATGGAAATATATGTTTGGGATTGTATTACGACATTAACACATACTTTTCTTTACGTTATGTCACCACATGGTTTAGGAACCTGAATGAACTCTTCGACGGCCTCATATGTATCTGGTTTGATGGGCACAAACAACTTAATGACATTATAGCTTTGCAGACAAAGCCCTGGTACCAGAAGTGACATGACTGACATCCACTGGATGGTGCTCAATTGAGCCGACAGGTGGACGGTATTCACACCGCTGACTATGGATAACACAAGTCCATCGAGGGAGCGAACAAATGGTACACGTAGTAGATACATGCGCAGAACTACAACCCATCCATACGACTATTGTCTTACGATGTCTGGATTCAAGTTCTCCGCTCCACCCGAGTCTGAATAAAACTACGGAGTAATTAATCGAGGCCACAATAGAAAAATAAGCATATATTTTAGCGCCTTGGCGCCGAATGCTTATAGCCCTGTAGCCCCTTGAAACCGTGCTGCTACACACCTGAAGTTCTCCCCTCGTATTTTTCCTGCTACGCCTCTCTCTAGGTCCAATTGCCAAAATTCTTCTGTGATACAAAGGAACCTCGAACACCCTACTTCTTCCAATACGGAAACATGCTGCCACACGCGTTTCGCAGCAACGTCCCCCGTCTCAAGACGTCACATCCATGTACCAGACCAGTGTGACGGGCGTCATGGATGGGGCTTTATCAACTGCCGCATAGAAGCAGGCCAGGTTTAGGCAATGTGACAGGTCACAAGAGGCTTTACGTGTTCCTAACGTCCCATGTTTCTCGTCATCCTGTCTGTTGCCTTTGTTCAGCGCCAAGTGGTTTAGGTTCAATGTGGTCGATGCAGGGATGCATGCGTGCTTCAAGCTTCCTTGTGCCGTAAATATAATGTCGTGGATCCTCATCTCTGATTTGTATTTTCTAATTTTCATGAATTTGGTTCTGCGTTGACTTATCATCTCCGCTGTTCTTGTCTACATCCCGCATTCCCAACAGCCAGACGCAGCTAGTGGACCTCTCACACAAGTATACGAGCACCACCGTGACACTCGACAACAAATTGGGAACTCCACAAAGACAGTTGGAATACACTATTCTAAAAGAAGTTGTTGAACTCCACACGATTGGCCATTTTCGGGGGATCTCGCGTGGGAAATCTGTCGTGCAACCGGGATCTCAGTATCCGAACGTTCGTCGAGCGCCACAATTGATTGGCACTTACACGACCATCTCCATCAAGCAAATTCCGTTCACTGGACCACCCATTCAAAATGGCCGTGGCGACGGGATATTCAACTCGTCAATATGCATATATTGCGTCGCTCAAGTCGCCGGATTTCTTCTCTCCTGAGAGTGTAATTAGGTCGACCAAACTAACCATGCCTGCAAATCAGAAGGGCCAGGAATGCGGTTGCGAGGACAAGTCTGTGATAGGTGCAGGGAAATACGCACCAGTAACGGATAGACTTCCTTCAGTGCATGACCTGAAATCAGCGAGTGACTTGCCGGTATACGATGCGGAAGGCAAACAATGGAAGTTCCGAGACGTCATGAGTGGCAAAGCGGATAATCAAAACCTCACGGTACAGCGGCACTTGATTCTATTTGTCAGACACTTCTTCTGCGGCGTGAGTACCTTGGTCGTGAAAACGGGTGGTTGAATCTTGCTGACCGTGCTACAGGTATGTCAGGAATACTTGCGCACCTTATCCACCCTTCTCCCGCCTTCCCAACTGCCCCCAGGGACTTCTCTCACTGTGATCGGATGCGGTTCCTCAGCACTACTTCCATTCTACATCCGAACCACCGGACTCCCTTACCCCATATTCACTGATCCCACAGGGAACCTGTACGAGTCGCTTTCTTTCGCCCGAACTCTCGCCATGGGGTCCAAGAAACCAGAGTACATCTCCGTCCCCTTCATGGAAACGGTCTTCCGAAGCGCAGGCCAGATCCTCAGCCAAGTCGGTCGCTTCGGACGCGGTGGAAGCGTATCCGGCGGTGACTGGTCACGAGTAGGAGGAGAGATGCTCATCGAGCGGGCCGAGTCCGAGCCCAGCGCGTTCGTCAATCGAGGAAGGAAGCGGCTTGGATTGGATGACGATGAGTTGGGGTGGAAAGCAATGTATGTCCATCGAATGCAGAAGACCACCGATCACTTGGAGGTGCCGGAGCTACGGTCGTTGCTGAGATTGGAGCCCGGTCGGCCCTTGAGGCCGCAGACTAGGAGTGGGGGAAGCAGCATGCGGAAGACTGAGGGAGGGAATAGAATCGAAGTCAAATCGAGACGCAGGTAAAGGAGAGGAACGACTGTGACAGGAATATGGAGCATAGGCGGCTTCAAAGAAAGAATTTTGGCAGTACGAGGGCGAGGGGTGTGGTTTAGCGAAGGAGCGCCCTGTTATGCTAAGCCTAATGAATATCGGACATGAATCAAACAGATATCGAACCCCTTTATGGACTTTCCAGTGTGATGCACATTGCGTATTCATTGGCCGATTCCGTTCTGAAATGTCTCTGTACCGCGACAGATCCAGATCCTATCACAGGCGTGTTCGTCAAGCTCAAAACGTGCACATGCGCAAGATGACGTGGCTCGCCTCAAGACCGATATCGAGCGGATCGCTTGTTATCGAGCAAGGGACATGACCGGACCTTCGGTCGGCCGGAAATCATTAAACCAAGGTTATCGCAACCGTACAGGATCTCTTCTACGGGTGGTCCACCAGCGGTGGTTCGGACCGGTGCAGGATAGTGGTACCCATTGTCCTTCACCCGCTAGCGCGCCGCTCCGGTACGGGCTGCGATTAGGTGTGAATCGTTGCGACGATGCTGAAAGAAAATATAAAACCATATACGAGCACGAGAGCGTGATGCAATGATCGGAAAGACAATGGTTGAAGTCAGGATAGGAGTATTAACTAAATAACCGCGTGGGTAGTGTAATATCCGGGTGGGTCTCACCAGGATCCTCCTCAAGAATTCCTTGAGAATCGAACGATTGCAGATTCCCAACAAACTCCAACAGATGTTGTCCTTAATACTACGTCTCACGACGTGGCCATTTCATTAATCAATTCCCTATTCCTGTTTTCATTTTGTTGTACAATCATAATCCCAAGATCTAATTCCGGCTGCATAGTCAACCATGGCTCACATCGCCGAAAAACACCACCACGACAGCCCCACCGACAGCACCGAACAATTCGATGTCCCCAACCGGAGCTATCGGGTGATTAACCGCCCGTACGCCGGCCGTCTGGGTGGTAGCCAGAAATTCACCATCAGCGGGACGACTGCGGAAAGGCAAGACCTGTTGCAGAAAGTCCCCGATGCGGCGCCATATCTGAGACTCCGAGAGGCGCTCAATCTGAGACCATTGCGCGATGTCGAGTTGTGGAAGCAGGCGTTGATTGAGGGGTATGCGACGACGTTTTTCGTGTGGGCGACGGCAGTGCCGGGGCTAGTCACGAAGAATATTTTGGATGGAGAGTAAGTGTTGTTTATCTTTTGTTGTACGAGTTGGAATATGAAGCAACTTTATGGTGCACCATATACCTCTTGTGTTTCGCATTGCCCCTGTGGCCTTGGAAAGCATTGGAATATCAAATTTAGAATCACACAATGAGAAGTTAATAACCCCGAATGCAGGGACGATACACCCTTACAAAAGATGACGCTACACATCATTTCCCATGTGACTCTCGCTCTCGTCGTGGCCCTCCTGGTGTACGCGACTGCGCCAATATCCGGTGGCCATATGAATCCGATGGTCACGATTGGGACGTTCCTCAACGGCCTGACCAGTTTACCGCGAGCCATTCTCTACGTGATAGCTCAATTAATAGGATCCACGATAGCGGCTTACCTCATTAAGGGGATGTATGGGAGGGAATTGGATCGCAGTGTGAGTATTATCCCCTTACGAGTCTTGGCTTGCCATTCCGTATCTGGAGCTGACGATGTTACAGCTGTGGGGTGGGTGCTGGGTCGATTCGGACGTCGTCTCGCCGGGTCAAGCATATCTCCTTGAAGCGGTAGCCAGCACGTTCCTAATGTATCTCCTCTATCGTACCGCGTTAGACCCGCATTACAAGCACGATTACGGCTCAGCAACTGGAATTGTTCTTGTAGCGTTATCTTTCACTACCGTTTCATTTTTGTCTTGGTCGATTATCCCTGGAACACATGGAGGAGCATGTAAGTCAAGAACCATCGGCTACGATTCCTTCCAAGCTAATAGGTGAGAGCACTCAACCCTGCTAGGTGCTTTGGTCTTATGGCTGTGAGTGGTAATTGGACATACTACTACGCACAGTGGAGTGGTTCGCTTACAGCAGTTGTCATTGGGGCCATTATGCATCGTCTATTACCTGCTGGTGTACGGGAATAGGAACGGAGGCTGTGGCTAAAGGGCAAACAATGAGGATCGACTCAAGAACATTCCCTATCGCAGCATTCACGACTGATGTAAGATGATGGACACGTATAGACTACCTATAGACACCCCAGAAATATTTCCCTGGACATAAATCTCATAATTTGTTTTCTAATAAACCCTTGCTGTTCATCATCTCATCACAGTCATCAGCTACCCGTTCCCTACCCCTACAATTGAAACGAGCTATCCAGATCAATCTCCCCCGCGCAACTCAACTGCGGCACCTGCGAATAATTCTGCACCAACAACTCCCGCGTATTCCTCAAGATATCCACATAACTCTGCTGCCCATCAAACTCCCTCATAACCTTCAAAAACGCCCAACTCATCGCCCCCGTCGCCGCCCCTGCGATCGACGCATCCGCGGATGTCTGGTCGTCTCGGCACCCTGAGTACAGGATCGCCTGCCGCGCTTCTTCGGGGTAGTCCGAGTTCGCTTCTTCGTCCAGTCCGTCGGCGTTGCCGCTTCCCAATCGGCTGAACGAGCTGAAAAAGGACTTCGCGCCGCCTAAAAGTTCCTGGGCGTCACGTACTTTCTCCCTTGTGAATCCGCCTTGGAGGAGGCCGGCGGCGGAGCTGGCGAGGCGGAGCCCGGTTTTGATGCTGTGTTTGTGGTTAGTTTGGATAATTGAAATATGGGTGGAGTGCTCGTACTTGTCTAGCAGCAGAACATGGCCGGACTCGTCAAGGCGGTAGACATGGGAGAGTTCGAGAACAGAACCGCTATGACAGCAGTCGAAGATAGCGTGAATCTGACTGCTGGGAGGCAAAGGCGTGACAAGAGTCTGATGAAGCGTATCTGAGTCAATTTGGCCATGCTGTTCGAAGTCCACCGGGCAGATGGTGGCGTTGGTTCCCGTGCCATCTACAACGAGGTTAGCAGCCTCCATCTGCGAGACTTGTCGACAAATTACGATCAATTAATTACCTGGATCCGGGATATTACCACCATGCCCCGAATAATGCATGAATAGCGACGCATTCGGAGTATGGATCAGCCATTGGATAGCTCTTTGGATGTTTTGCCCGGTCGGCCATGATGAGCCATGCGGATCGGTACCTTCCTGGTCCATCAAAACCACCATATCATCTTGATGGAATCCATGGTATTCGAGGAACTCGATCATGTTCCTTACATCTTGGTGGCAGCCCTATAGCTATGATGAGTTACTACTTCCTGGGTACATGATGGCAAGACCGGAAGTCGACCACGGTCGCTTGTCCCAGTACCTGACGGTACGAATTGCTTACCCTGAGAGCGTGATTCGTCCCTGTGTAGTTTATACCAATTAAAAGCGCTTTTCGGACCATAGCTCCTCCAATGGACGTCTTGCTTTCTGAATCTTGATGTGCCGAGAAGTACCTAGAAGTGTGGAAATCGAAGGTCGGAAGGTGTTGACGATCGTGGGGTTCAATCTCAGGATCTCCGAAGATCTTTGTTCAGTTCGGGGAAATCGGCGGGAGGAGCCGAAGACGCCCCGCCCTAGCGGCTCAGTTTGCATCAGCTGCTCGCTCGCGTGTTAGGGAAATATAAAGGCTCCAGTTCCCGCTGCTTTGCCTATGTTTCTTCATCCACATTTTCTACCGCCGAGGCGGGAGATATGATGGTGAATACCTCTTAATTTATGGAGTTCTTACAATGGCTACTATCTTGCGCCGTCAGGATGCACAAACTCCTCTCTGTCTATCTTCGTCCACTGAGCCATTTTGCTACGTGTACCTAATACAATTCCCTTTTAATGGTTTATATGGTACATGTCGAGTTCACATGTCTGCTTCAATTCAACAAACACCTTCATATCTCTTTGTCGACCTCAGCTGCTTGTTGTGTTCCCACTCCTCACCCGTTCCTCCTATGGATCCCAGGAGACCTACATACAAAGGTATGTCTGATTGTTACTACTGACTCTTATATGCATCGCATTGGATAAAGAGCCTGGAACACATTTGAGGAATTAGCAAAACAGCATTCAATTCACGCCTCCATTGTAGATTTTCTTGTTACTGCTATTCTAGCAGCAACGTGCGACCAAACACCCAAACACCATGTTCATCTCCGCATAGCCCCCAGCCCTAGCCATCCTAGCAATTTCATATCCTCCTTTCTAACAGCACTTCTCGTTGAGCTGCACCTCCTGGCGCCATTGAGCACCCAGCTCCCAGTTGTCACACAAGGTATCGCACTTCACCCCGGGCCTGACGAAAACGCGGACCTCCTGTCCCACCCATGGGAGTCTCCACTGAGCCAAGGGGTCGTGTCCGACATCATGGAATCCCGCGCGGTAGCCAGCACGGCAAGCGCAGTAGTTGACCTCGGGGATATTAGCTGGCATGTACCACACGCACGAGGTGGAGATGTCACATTTGTTGTTCTTAGGGAGGGGGGAGCAGGTCGCGCGCGGAAAGAGCTTCGGGGAAGGCGAAGACGAGAGCGGAGAGGAGGGGAAGGAGGGCGATGGATAAACGCATGTTGGTTTGGTAAGGCGGTTGACGGCGAAAGAAGATTAATAACCGAGGCTAATAGATATTGAATACTTGGAGGACTGGTTGAATGAGATCTAGCTAGTCCAATTGCTGCTGGTGAGATCTATCTTGACTTTCTGGACGGTAATCCAGTTTTTTATATCTGGAATGGTCCGGGCAGACCATGGGACTGTGCAATTGTCCTGAGTGATCGACATTCATTCCAGACTCCAGTGTATCAATTCCACAGCAACCACACCTCCTCGATTCCTTCGGCATATTAGTGACACCGGTATGAAATTCCCTCGCAGTTTTATTTGTGACCTTATTCGCTATGTCTGTGGACCATCCCGTCGTGGTAGTGATCATCCATCAGAACCTCGCTCATCTACAGAAATAACCTCTCATTAGCTAATACGAAATCAGAAATTCACACCAGTGTATTGAATTCGGATACTTATAATGCTGTATTGTATGTTTCCTTGTATTTCCCTAACGGAGTCAGTAGTCTTTCTGCATCCTATCTCCATGACCAGTAACTCAGCAGGCAAGCAGGTGATATCTTTAGGAACTGTAATGATTGACTTCGCACTCGATATGGTCTTGTTATACGGCGGGGGTAACACAATATCCCCAGATCCGCACATACAGCTTTCGGATTCCCAGGAATGACAATGTTACATCGGAGGTTGATGCAGCTGATTTTGTCGCGGCCCAGATAGCCACAATGTCCCAATCACGTTCTGATGGAGCATCGATGCGAATGCGATGTTATCAATCTTTGAAGAGGAGCACCCTCCACGAGAAGTTGCGACGTAGAGGTCAAGAAGTATTCCAAAGATTGAGGTTGCTTCATCAGTGTCTGTGATGAACTAAACAACAATAATTAAAATAATATCTAAACTCCCACTATTAGCATTGAAGAATTTTTGATTTTCTGAACCGGATTCGAATGACATACCAAAATTAGTAGAAGATGATAACTATTAGTAACTAACTCACAAACCAACAACCACCTCCCTTTCTCTCTTGGTCTCGATCCTGCCCAACTTGGACTTTGACGGCCTGGATCCACCCCACTCAGCAGGACATCATCGCTCAAGGCAGCTGCTTCTGAGCATCCAGCATCGGGCGGTTGATGATCACACGTTCTGCAACGGTTAGATTATGAAGCATGCACAATGCATCAATGGACCAAGGTCCTTCGAAAACCCCTCATATTTAGAGGTGCTATTTCTAGGTACTCGCGTTTGTCGCTGAGTTCACCCGAAGCACATACATAAAAAAAATCCCATGATGCCGTTGTCAGACCACTCCTTCGTATCAATGCTCCTGATCCCCCTGTAGAACTTCGTGATACTCCGCTTCCAATGTCACCCACCCAAAACAAAGAAAGCTCCTCATATATGGGCACTCTGCCCGGGATTACTCCATTCGCCATCCCACTGCCCAGGGACATCCATATCCGCCGCCCTGTCAAGCTCAAAAGGCGATAATCTCGACTCAGTTCCCTTCTTCCCAGAATCGCCTGATTTCATCCAATCATCAACTTTCTTCCCTGCGGCAGGTTTCCTCCCACCGACTCCTTTGATTCCACCACCCGAATCCTTCCCAGCGTCCGCTTTCGCTTCAGCAACTACAGCACTGCTTGGCTGAGTCACCATAATCGCCGCCTCTTCGGCCCTGGATAAACCTTCGTAGAAAGTCCGGACCCGCTCGTGAGCCATGACCTTGGCTGGATCGAACTGCAATACCTGCAAGCCTGCCATCGATGTCGCACGACTCAGAGCCACGTAGGCCTGGCCCTTTTCAAAGGTGTTCTTGAGGACGACCTTGACGCGTTCAAGGGTTTGGCCCTGGGCCTTGTGGATGGAGAGAGCCCACGCAAGGATGAGTGGGACCTGCTGTCGGGATGCTTGGACTTCGCCGTTTGGCTGCTCGATCTTCCATGATTCGCGGATACAGAGCAAGTCTCGGTGGGTTCCGTCGGTGCATCGGAATCTGACCAGGGGGAACCGTTCGAAATTCGCGACGATCGGATCATGCTTGAAGTTGCGTGTCGCTCGAAGCAGCACGTCCTCTCCAGGGATCTCTTCTTTCCCTTCGTACCCATTCTCAGTGTAGTATGTCCACATCTGTTGGGTCATGAAGCCTCGCACTTTTCCAATGGAACCATTCACCAAGGTCTCGTCGATGTTCTTGATTAGCATGACCTGGGCACCTTCTTTGAGGACAAGTCGACTACGAGCCATGCAATTGTCGAGGAGCTTGTCCCGCCACTCCTTTTCCTGGATTGACCCTCCATCACGCGATTCAAAGATTTTGGGTTCACCTGGAAGCTCCTTCATCCGCTGCTGGTTCGCGAATTCGACCTCTTGTCGGGTCGGGAATAGTTCCGTTGGTTTGATTTCGTCATTGAAATCCAGAGGGCGGTCGAGTTTGGCGAATTGCGCAATGGTTGCCGGCGTCATTCGGCCCTCTCGCATTTCGTTGAGCATGTTCGCAAAGGCAGGGTCCTTCTGGCGGAATACGTGGTGCAGCCCAATTGTATGCTGAATAACAGTGTTCCATGTCCCAGCATCGAAGGCGAACTTGGCCTGGCGACCGCGTTCAGGGACGGGTGGCAGCTGGAAGAAATCGCCTGTAACAACAAGCTGGATGCCACCGAAGGGTTTCCCGCTTCTTCGCACATTGCGTGCTATCTCCTCGAGCTTGTCAAAGAGCTCAGCGTCGAGCATGGAGACTTCATCGATAATCAGAATTTTAGCCCGCATCCACCGTTGCTTGCACTTCTGGTTCTTCTTGACCTTCTTCACAAGCTCTTGCGTAGTGCCCTTGGCAATGCCAACACCCGCGAAACTGTGGAGTGTGCAACCGCCGATGTTACAGGCCGCGAGACCCGTTGATGCCGTCACCGCGATTCGGTCCAACTCCTTGCTGTGTTTTTGCCGGAGCTTCTTGATCATTTCGCGCAGGAGGACAGATTTCCCAGTTCCTATAATATGGTTAATATATCTTACGGGTATCATGAAGAAATTCAAACAAACCTGCAGATCCAGTGAAGAAGACACTTTTCCCTTTGTTGATAACAAGGTCCAACACATGCTCCTGCTCATCACTCAAAACAACAACATTCTTCCACTGGATTGGTCTAGTCCCACGATCGGTGTTCTGCTTGTCGAGGTGTGACTTGTTGGCATCAAGGAGATGTAAAGTCTTATTGAGAGTCCGAAGATTCCTTTGCTGCTCCTTTATTGCGCTCGCAGACGTGTTCCATGGCTGCTTGTTGGACGCTGCGGGTGTGGTGGCATTGCCGACGACGGGATACGAAACTCCCCCTGATGTTTCATTAGTGAGCTTCCCCTCAGCCGATGCCCTCTGCTGCCAACCTGGCAACTTTCTCCGCTTGGCCGGGGCCGGGTTGTTGTCGACCTGGGCCATTGGTGCCGGGAGTTGGACTGTATTTGCTTCGGTGGTGTGGTGAGAGGATGAGTTATGTGCAACTGTCTGTGCTGATCGGACGGCGGGCGGAGGGAGGAAGTGTTCAGCAGGGGAGGAGGCCCAGTCATAGAACTGCTCGGGCGAGGATTGTGGGACCCGAGAGGCATCCGTGGCGCTGGTCGTCTGGTGAGGGTGGTGAGGAGACAGGGGAAGTGTTTGTGGCGACGCAAACTTGTCAAGGTCCGGCTTCCGGAAACTCGTGGGGTTTGGTGCTCCAACCGGCCTGAGATCATCGAAATCGATATCAAGGTCATCGTACTCATCATATGAGGTACCGCGAGTGTCGGTGTTTTGGGCTGTTGTCGAGACGCTCGAGACAGTCGAGACGCTTCGCTTGGACGAGGCACTCGTTGGCCTGGAGTCGTCAAAACCGTTCGATGCAGAAAGCGTCTTTGCCAATCCACCAGATGTCCGCTTGACCGCCGTGTTTGTAGCATTGATTGAAGTTGCGGTTTGCCAGGTCCGGCCATTCGATGATTGTACTACCGTTGGCGGCTGGAATGCTTTAGTGATGGCGTTTTTCGTCACCGTGATTGACTTCACAATGTTCCCTGAAGCAGGGTGGAGTGGACGTGGCTTCTCCAGGCACTCTGGCAGGGGCTTCTGCGCTGGCGGTGGGAAGTTCTTCTTGAAATACTCCTTCTCAGAGATGGGAGACAGTTTTGCTTGCTCTTTTCCTTGTGGAGGCGTGGACCTTGGCCCACCACCACCATGAGAGTCGAGTGCTTTCTTGAGCATTGTTGGAGAGGAGTATGAACGTAATGAGAGTCTCTGGGTGTTCTTGAGTGATTGAGATAGAGGAGAGGGCGGAGAAGTCGGAATCCCAATCACCACACGTCCTGCACGGATACGAACAAGCATACAGACGAGGAAGACGAGAGAAAGAAGAATAAGTTCGAGGGAGGAGAGCATTTATAAGGAAGTAAACATCATCACGAGTGATGGCGGGGAGGGCAAATGTTAATTCACTTCATTAGATCAACCTCTGATGATTGACAGATGGCGGGGATCGTGACGGCGGAGTTTCGTGATGGTAATGCACCCCGGGCGTAGTTGTCGCTTGGACCTAAGTGATGGTCGCAGGCTCATGTGAATTCGCGTCGTTAATGTCTGGATGCGTGATCGTGATGGTTACATATCGTTGAAGACTTCGGCGCGTTGAACGTGAAAGGAGACGCGACTGCACGTGATCAACACCCCACGCGAAAAGCTTCTAATGATCTACAGTAATCCCGCTTCACCACATTGAATGCTGGCCACCATCAGTATATTGAAAATTGATCAATTGGTATATAGATATAGGGAGTTTTACAGTTTTGGATGTCCAGCCAGAAGCAGTTTGATATCTTTGAACATTTTGTCTATTGCTTGCCGCTATGGCAGGTCATGAAGCAAACCCGAGCCACTCCCCTTGGATTGATGCAGACATTACTCTACAGACACAGTGAATATTGATGGCTGTTGACACGGTGAGTGTTGATGCTCGTTCCTAGAGTGAATATCATTGATGGCCATCTCAATCTGACACCATTCCATTGCTGAATTTCACATTGGCCAGCTCCAGACAGCCTGGCATGAAATTTGATCATCCGCCACGTCAACAGCCCCCCAAACACACCCTCTTCGATAGTATATTGGATGGAACGGTTCCATACCGTAGGAACCCGAGTCCACAACGCTTTCCATCGCTTTGTCCCATTGCAATAGCTACCATGTAGCAGGTCCCAACTAACGCCTCATAAGATAACCTTCCCATCATCCCGCCGCGCCCCCTCCTGAAGCACCTTCTCTCGCCGGTTCTCTCGTACCTTCTCTCGCGTGTTCTCTCGGAGCAGTAGCAGCCCCTCCATCCAGATACCCTGCCCCCTCCGCATCCTCGTACTCCTGTATAAGGTCCTGCACCACCGCCCGCGCCTCATCGAACTCGCCCAGCCCGTCGGAGAAGGGCGCTTCTTTCTTGTACTGTTCCAAGAATGCGTTGCGTTTGCGGAGTTGAGAGTATTGAAAAAGGATCCGCTTAAACAACGTCGCGATGCCGGTGTGGTTCGCTAACATCAAGCCCGAGACGCGATGTGTGGATTGGATGTACGGAGACTTGCGGGTGAGGGCAACCTGGATGCTGGCAGGGCCCCAAGGGATAAACGTCGCGAGTCGCCGTTCGCGGATGCGCAGTAGTGATTTATGTACCTAGCCCTGGATCAGTAGGTGCATCGCGACAACATGAAGGAGATACGCACATCGGTAGGATCGGCTTCTCCTTGAATGATGTTAAGGATCGAGATATAGCAGCTCTTTTTGCCTGGGTTGGTCGAGACCATGCGGTTCTTTGGCTGCAGAAGTCGTCGCATGACGTCTAGCACCGTCGTCTTCCGAACCGTCTTCGCCTGCTCGACGTTATCGCCAGTAAATGGGGTATATGAGGTCATAAGGAAATGGAGGCGGGGTGTTGGGATAAGAGATGCGACGATTCCGACGAGGTCGTTGTGCATGTACCCTGGGTAACGAAGCGGCGTTGTGCTGGCAGACATGACTGTTGAAACCAGTTGATTGGTCTGTTGGAATGATGGCTCTTGCACATGTAATCGGTCCGCTGCTATACGGGATAGAGCACCGTTGTCCAACACGACCTGAGGAGCGTTAGAACCCCTAGAGTAGGCTCTTTGTGCCCACACTTACCACCGAATCCGCATTCTGCGTAAGTCGCCGCAAGGACAGCAGGCTATTATACGGCTGCACCACCACATCTCCCGAGTTCTGCGTATCCGGAAACACCGAGTATGTCTGTATTAACTTCTTCGGGAACCGATCATTCAGCCTCTCGAGGAGGTAACTCCCCATGCCCGAACCCGTCCCTCCAGCTATTGAATGCAGGAGCATGAACCCTTCGAGTGAATCGCTACCGTCCGCTTCTCGGTCGATCATATCCATGACTTCTTCGTAGACGGATTCGCCCATTGAGTACCCGGCTGCCCAGATGTTGCCTGCGCCAGTGCCATCTTTGTGGACGTAGAAGTTCTCGGGGTTGTAGATGTTTCGGTATGCGCCGGTTTGGATGCTGTTGATGACCTATGGAGAGGGTCAGCTATGTTCCCTGGTATGAACGTCGAAGTGGTCATACGCGAGGTTCAAGATCTAGGAGGATTGCTCGAGGGATGTATCTGGTGTCGTCTGACTGTCCGCTATTAGTCGTTGATCTGGATCGATGAGCCCGTACCAACCTGGTAGAAGAACACGTCCTTGCGGTCTCCTCCTTCTGTCGCGAAGTCCTCGAGGTTCCCATCTTGACTAATCCCATGTTCCTGGCATAATTGCTGCCAGAACTGGCTTCCCACTGCGTTTTATCCCATTAGCGGAATCCGTCGTGGTTGGTACGTGGGGGTATACCGCTATTTCCACATTGACCCGCTTGTATCGTGATGATTTCGCTATAGCACACTTAGCAGGGCAAACAGATCCTCATTCGCAGCAAGACCTTACCGAGGCATAGTGAAGGTACACTTGACGAAGTTTTGGGTCGTGATGAAGATGGTGGAGATTATTAGAACGCGGGGTTGTATTGACGCGTGCGAATACGCGACTAGGGTGCCAAGAGTTGGTGATACCATTCATTCATGTTTTTCAGGGTCCTGATGGTGCAGTTTCGTCTTCTTCATAATTCAGGAAATTTGTACCACTGTTCACAAGACTCCCTTGACTTTGAGCCTCTTTCGCTCCTCGATTGACGCCGACCCTTGCTTCATACAATGCAATTACCGTTTCGGAAAGTACACAGACTTGTAGGGTAACTTTCCTCCCTGACCACTCATCCATTTGACCCCAACGGTTACACACATGGCCTTTAGAAACCATGATCACCTCAAGAATCATAAGTTGTCTACACGATCATCGTTCTATTGTCTGAGTCTTCATCGGTCCACCTTGTGTTTGGACTTCTGATTTAAATCCTTCCGATACTTCCACCGGAACAAAAACCCAAACAGGAATGCAATCACATTCACCTTGAGAATATCGTACCAAACCATAAAAGAAAATCCCCCCATCCTCGGGTTTCGCGACCAGCCATCGCAGACATCCAAGAACAGCTTCGGATCATCCGTGATGACCGCATCCAACTCACGTGAAATGCTCCACCGCATCATCTCCTCGTTGTTGACCGTCCAATCAAACACGGGTCGATTCAACCGCCGGGATTTTTGAAGGAACGCTTTTCCTCGAGGTCCCAGGAGGATCTGGTGCATCATATTGAACGACACGTTCGGGACGGAAAAGAACTGCTGAGCATAGACGGTGGAGAATCCGATGTGGGTGATGGGAAATCCGGAGAGATACTCGTTGCACAGGGGCACGTAATGGGCCTGTTACACTCTCAGCCGAGGTTCTCCGAAGTGCCGCAATTTGATACTAACAGTCCAGCATCCCAGGACAATCCGCTCGTTCCATGTTCGACCTGACCGTGTTTCCACTTCGGCTATTGTCTCAGCAATCAGTCGCATAATGTCGTCACCCTTATTATCGAGCTGGACCTAGTTTAGTATGCAGAGTCGACGACGTCCAGTTGCGCACTCACTTTGATGTCCAAGAGCACCCAAATATCGTCCAGTTCCGGTTGAGCAAGGTACCTCAACAGATCCAACAACCTAGGCATCGGCGAGTGCGGCTCCCTCACCGTCCGTAGCGTGCTCAGCTCTTCCCAAGTGCAGTCTACCACCTTCTCTTCTCTGCCGAAACATCTCTTGAGATTCGCATCCTAGTCGCAATCAGTCCAACTTCCGCATTTCGGAGTCTTTGGACTTACGTGCGTAAGTACAACTACACCATCTTTCGACAAGTGGACGTCTGTCTCAATCGCATGTGCGCCGACCTTGACGGCACCTTCGAAGGCGCCCATAGTGTTCTCCGGATACTTTGCTTTGTATCCCCGATGGGCGACTGCTTGTGGTAACCGCTCCCCGCCTTTCAGCTTCCGGGCTTTTGTAAAGTTCGCTATCTAGGTCAACAATTGATTCGGCCTGAGTGCGGGTTGCAGAATATGCTGTACCGGTAAATATAGCGTCCACTTCTGGTATAGAGGATCTTGCCGATATTCCAGGCCCCAGATCATGAAAGACAGGCGTCACCATCCGCTCTATTAGCGGAGTCTCCGCTGTGATATCCAAATCCGCCATTTGCTGCTTTGTGACCTTGGAATATAAATTGTAGCACGCCAGATAACCGTTAAGTCCTGCGAGATAGATGGGAAGAGCTGATTACTACCGAAATGTTGTCCGAAATGACTTCGGAATGTAAAAGAACAGTCCCGACAGAAAACAAACCAAAGAAGATAATGTCATTGCACAGCAGTCAGAGCGGAGGGCCGGCATCCTAAAATATCAAAGGCGACAGCCGATTTCAACTTAAAAGAGCTCAAGGAGGGCAGGATGAGTGTTTGACCATGCCGAAGAAGGCAACCCCCTTCGCTAAATGCGTCGATGTGAATGGTGCCACCTGTAGTTGAGATAAATCGAGGAGGCCTAAGATGGGGCTATCACGATCTCCAAGGTTTGGGAATCCTGGTACGCTAAATTAAGCTTGCTTTTAGCATCGGAGCTCTAATCCTCCGAGGCAGCTAACCTGTCACTATTCCGTGACCCATCAACTAAGAATATCTGGATTTCATTTGACTTTCTCAATAACAATATATCGCCGACGCCTCTACCAATTCGAAGCGCATTTCTCCGTCTTCTATCGACGACCTAACGCGGAAATCAAATCATGGGAGCGTCTGGGCCAAGACTTTTTGATCGACCGCCAACCGGGCGCCTGACACGCTAGCAAAGCTTGGAGCATGAGACGAGACTTGTTATTAGCTGTTGGGGTTTCCGGTGACACTACGGGATGATTAGGCCATCCCGCGCTTTGAGGTGGGGAGAGAATCGTCCGATACGAGGACTGGTGGCGTCTCATGGGATGGTCTAGCACTGAGCCTTTGCAGGATCAGGAAGAATGTTGCAGATACGCGCGCTCGCATTATTTTCCGAGTTGGACGGAGGCTTCTAGTCAAGATAGTGGAGAATGTTGGGGCATTCATGCTACAAGGGGAGCGTGAATACTATGTGTGGTAGTGGTCTCGTCAGTCCGTGGAGCCATGTAAGATGCCCCAAGCAAGAGCTGTGCAACGCATGCATTATCCCTTCAGTGTCCGGTCTACATGATTGACTATCTGGAGGTCAAATCGCTCTCTCCGAGGAGCTTGATAAACGAAAATTTCAGAGTTCAGCATGTAGGGGTTGGCGAGAATCGGAAGCAGCACGTGTACTAATGTGATGCCGCCAGTGGCGATTGGTATTGGGTGGAGGTGCATGAAGATCACTTGCGATTGGAGCATCTCGGCTTCCATATCCCATGGCGCTCCCTAAGACGAGCAGAAAATGGCTCGACAGGTCACAAACGACGACCATTGATGGTGTACCTGTGCCGACCTTTTGCTGAGCCATCAAAGGCCTCATTGCACTTGATTGGTGATATACCTACGCCACTCTCATTCTTGAGTGTGCAAATAAACCAGGCAAAGGCATTTACAAGCCTGTACCTGACCTAACATCTTTATGCCGGCACGGCCGGGTACATTGTGCCATTCCTTTCACATGAGCAGAGTGGCTCAACAATACGAGAAAACCGAACAAAGACGAGATCGGAGAACTGCATCAGGAACAGGAAACTCGATCACATCTCCACGTGTGAACATGTCCAGCGCCATTGTCTTGCGCCGCGGGATTGTGACCCTCCGATCCCTAGGATTGGGTTTCGACATATCTTTAGAAGCGACCTTGTCAGGACTCGAGAGGGAATAATCTAAAAATCAAGACCCTTTGATACCGGGCACCCAATACCGGCTCGCGATACAACTACGAGTTATGACGACCATATTGCATTAGAAGAAGGTGTAAGAGTGGCTATGATTTATCTCTGTCCCGTAAATAGGAGAGACGGACGTTAAATATCTATCTCCCCAGTGCTCTACTTTCTCCTTTCCGCAACCCCCCTTTACACGCCAACTACGAGCTAACCCATGCACAATATTGCATACGCAAGCCTCCACAGTCTAACCAGGATGTCTACTTTTATACGACCGGATTTATATTTATGCCAAGTATCTAACGCAGCCAAGCTGCACAATTCCATTTCTTCGCGTCACCCCCGTTTATTCTTCCAAGTTCCAGCTCAACCAGGCAGGTCGGGATGGGGTGGCCACTTAACTAGGACTGAGCAAGTCTACATCGTCGACCTTCCCACAGTAGAATACACCTTTGGGTTGATTACGATTTACGAGCCATAACGAAGGCGAGTCTTCGATTAATACTCAATTTTGCGCTCTTCAACCTGCACAAAAATTTGAACGAAAACAAAATTGAGGCGTCCAATCTGTCGGGATCCTGAAAGATTCCCAATCCCGCCTCCCCACTCCCGGAACGCTGGTAATGTGATCGGCAGCGTTGCTGGCTTGCTGCGCCCTGTGGTGGAGTTGTTCTTGGATGGGAGATTGGTTCATCTTGCAAGCGATTGGTGGGGGTCTGGGTGCAATAATGCGATTGCTCGTCAATAATATTATGGGCTCTTGGTGCTGGGACAATGAATATCTTCGGGAATGTTCCTACCGGCAGGATGCGACTTTGCGATTTTGCGACGGAGAGGACAAATTCCCAATGTGGTTGGGTCTAGAGTCTGGACCGACCGTGAGATCCGCGAGATCCGTGAACGCAGGACCGTTGATCGAATATTCCATCGAATATTCGCCTCCTGTTGGTGCTCCAATATAAGAAATTGTATTCGGCGATCGGCAGCACTACTACCTGTATCCACGTTGTTTCTGAAGTGTGGTCAGACTTTTCAGTCCCCCCGACCATTCCGAAACCGGCATAGGGATAAGGGCGCAAATCACCGTTAACGAGTGTTGGTTAGTGGCCTCCATAGTCTATACTCCATACGGAGTATTGAGGCATGTGATCAGGGATGGGAAATGTCTATGCTTTTCTTCTTCTGGGTGGCAAGTGAAGAAAACTGAAGTTCGAGTCAAGATACGTTAAAGGATGAAACATATAATATTATTCCCTATTATTGATGGAATACTGGTTGCAACTGGCCACGGTTCACGGCTCATGGCAGTATTGAGCTCATGGGATGATTAAGAACCAGCAATCTGGAGGACCCTGTTCGAGCAAGCGCCCTGATCCCAATCCATGGATTATCGAGATACATACGTCGTACGATGGTATATATATATGTAGCTCCAACCGCCAACGAGGATCCAGTCAAGTTGAGGCTGGACAAATAATACCGCCAAGTAAGTCTACGAATTCTCCGTTGGATTGGAATATCCGAATCACACCTGAATCATGGAGGGCAGATCCCTCCCCCTTCCAGGCAGCGACAGAACAAGAGTCAAGAACTGATACCTGACAAGTGACAACCACCCAACCTCACACATTCCACACTTTCTCTCCAATTGATGAAGGAAATAAATGGATTGCTGGCTCACCTCGGAGCCCGGGCCGGCCCTTGCTCATACGCCTTAACCGGGGTTGATCTCCGTGGGCGAATTGCGATATGATGACGGGGGGATAAGCCCAAGGACGGCGGGGCGACGGCGGAAACTGGGGTCCAATCTCGTTAATAACGGCATTTTTTATCGTTTCACACTTCACCGTTCGACAAGCTGACACGCGCTCAATCGTCCCAGACTCATGCTGGTCAGTGCTAGGGTGGGGGGTGAATACTACTGAAGACTGAAGACTGAAGACGAAACACATCTGGGAAATGCCGACGTGAGTAATACTGTGTCGCCTTGGATTCGAGCATGGACGCGGTTGATTCGATGGACTTCGCTCCCCCTTGTTAGCTTAGTTCGATCCGCTTGTGCGAGATATCGAGGCTCGAGGAAGAAAGGTTGGAACGGAAACCCGAAACGCCGTCAGTATCCGTATGGTTGGTCTTATTAGGATTGTCAAACGTTAGCTGTAAGCAGCGTAGGAAGCAAGCCTCCACTCTCTGCCCATTCTCAATTCCTCGTGTGGTCGTGCCATCATGCGCCATCAACCCGGTCCTTCCCCCCCCTCCCCGACGAAGTTCAGCGCTAAGTCAATTTGTAAATTGTTGGTTGTTAATACATGCTAGTTACTGCACTAACATCCCAAAGTCCTGGCTGTCCTGCAGCTTGGAACTTGGAACTGAGGATCGTTCGTTCTACTTCAGCTCTTCTTCCTTTCCTCCTTCTCCCCTCCCGTTTCCATAACTTCACGATACTCACCCCTTCGGTCTTTTCGTTTCTTCCTGCTTCCTCGCCGGAGGAAACCAGTACACTGCATAAGTGGCTGGTTGGCTGACCATTCGTTTTTCTTGATCTGGTTTTTGTGCCCCTCACGTCGCAGTCCGGACGACAGAACGCCCCCGTCCAGGTCCTGTTACACCACGCGATAGGGGAGCAACACCAGCGCACGGTGCCCGTGTAGTGCGTGCGTGTTTTGCAGCTGTTAATGCGCCACGGTTGCTTGCATACCGGTCTCGTTCGTGTCTCTTGAGCTTAAGGGAGGCGACTCGTCCGTTCATTGGATTATAGCTGCTTGGACGACAATTGCGCTTCGATCGCGCCTTTGTTCTACTGACTCCACCAACCCTGGTTTCCGTTTGCGAGAAGTCAAGCTGCTCGACGGCCTTGAAGACCCTTTGAGCATTGTGTCCGTCGCGAACACGCCACAGGAACGAACTCGATTTGATTGATTGTCTATTTTCGGTTTAATTGTTGTACTCCGCGGAAGTTGGATGCATTGGATACTGTACTCAGCCTGAGACAGCAAAGTACAGACCGCGACGAAATACCCTTAACACGTTCCAACCCACAACCTGCGACATTCGATACCAGATTCCCAATATATCGCTTTCTCAGACACATCTCACTTCTTCTTTTGGACGGTCCTATAGTCAATTGATTCCATCTCATCTTCCTCACGGCCATCTATTCTTACCGAATTCCACCGATTCTACTCCCTCCTGACATATCGACGTCCTTCGCTGTCGATCGCATACACAGTCCTAAGGACGACTAACTAACAACACACATAACGAATCATCCATAGTAATCGTATGGCTCCTGCAATAATGTGCTTTGGAAAAAAACCTCAGGATCCGGGACACCGGAGAAATGAGGAGATTGAAAAAGTCCTTCGAAATGAACGGAAACGGCAAGAAAAAGAAGTGAAGCTGCTATTGTTGGGTATGGCGATTTTCCAGCGAATACGCGATCAAGGCGCTAATATGACCGTATAGGTGCTGGAGAGAGCGGCAAATCCACCGTCCTCAAGCAGATGCGCGTCATCCATACCGGCGGCTTCTCGAGAAATGAGCGCAAGCAATGGCGCGCGGTCATCTTCAACAATTTGATCAATGCGTTCAATACGATCTTTTTGGTGATGGAGGAACATGACGAGATGTTTGAAGACCAAGCAAATACGGTATGCCTCCAACCATAGCGCGCGCAATGGTGATTTAGGTGCTGATAACGTGGCTAGGAATATATGAACAAAATTAAAGGCGACCCGGAAATCGGACCGGAAGAACGCATGCCGGCGGAATACCTTGTGGCATTCAACACGCTCTGGGACGATCGCGGGGTGCAGATGGCGATGCTGAAAGGCAACGAGTATGCGCTGCATGACAATCTCAGCTAGTGAGCCGCTCCATGACCCTCAGCGAACTTCCGAACACAATCTGACTCTCCTCAAGCTTCTTCGACGACGTGGACCGCCTATTCGCGCCGAACTACCTCCCCTCGGATCAAGACATCCTCCGCACCCGACTACGGACAACCGGTATCAGCGAATAGGGCTGGACACGAATAAGGATTTTGGCTATTCGTATTCGACTTTTCCTCTTGAACGATTATTCGTATTCGACTAAGTTTTGAGACGTTTTATTCGTATTATTCGCGAATATTCGTAAATAATGCCAAGACTTATTCGGCAAAAGCCGAGCCAATGAGTGAATGCCCAGCAGTCGCGACTTTTGTTTACCCGAACACGATGTGGAGGATTTGAGCTCTAAGAGATACAAAGCATATCAATAGCGTCGAATTGATCACTCCTGACGATTCAGCAAGCCAAGTGACCCCAGCTCAAAGCTCTCTGTCGACCATCTCTCCGATGCGAGATACATGGAAATAGCTTCAGAGATGGACGAATAATTACGAATAATTACGAATAATTACGAATAATGCGAATATTATTCGTACGAATATTAGTAAGCGGAAATTCTAAATTTTATTCGTATTCGACTACGAATATTCGTACGAATACGAATAGTCGAATATTCGTGTCCAGCCCTATCAGCGAAACCATCTTTCAGTTGGGGAACTTGACATATCGCATGTTCGACGTCGGTGGACAACGTTCTGAGCGCAAGAAATGGATCCACTGCTTCGACAACGTGCAGGTTGTTCTGTTCCTCGTTGCCATCAGCGGCTACGATCTTGCACTCATTGAAGACCGAAGCGGAGTACGTCTCCCTGGTTTCCCCTTTCTATCTTACCGTCCCCTCCCGTTGTCATCTGACAATATACTCCCTTCTATTGTTCTCCACTAACCTCCGCAGAACCAAATGAGCGAAGCCCTCATGCTCTGGGAATCCATCGTCAACTCCAAATACTTCGAGCGCTCCGCCATGATCCTCTTCCTTAACAAAATCGACCTCTTCCGCGAGAAGATCGCCTCCGGCATGTCGCCGATCCGCAAACATTTCCCGGACTTCAACGGCAAGCCGGACGACATCGTGGCCGGCCATGAGTTCTTCTCGAACAAGTTCAAGAAACTCGTCCGCAGCCAGTCGAAGGAGATCTACGTGCATCTCACCAACGCGACCGATACGGATCTACTGAAGAAGACGATGCAGAGTGTCCAGGATATGATCGTGCAGCGGAACCTGAACCAGTTGATCCTGTGAGTGCGCCTTCGGGAGGCGCGGGGATGGGGGACAGCGGATTGATGTATCAAGCAGGATGTAACACGCTAGCGGCAGACGGCCGGATTTTTGCCGGATATCTTCTTCACTTCGTGGCGAAGCTAAGTATGCATTTTGGGTGGTCGTCACGTTTTCGAGATTCCGGCGGCAAGTTCTTCAACCATCTCTGGAGGAATTGGTGTGCATTCAAGCGTGATTCAGGCGGGGATTTTCCACTCCGCTTCGGTGGGCGCGGCGTCCAAAAATCGAGAATCGGATTGAACCTTTCGGCGGCTCCTCCGGACGGACATCAAAAGTGGATTTAACTCGTTCTCATACCAAGTACAGCATGATCTTGTGGAGGAAGCGTGAGTTCGATCAAGACTTGAGAAGCGATGTGAGTCAAGGCTTGGGGGCAGACGGATCGGAGAGAATCCTATGGTTGCACGTAGGCAATTGGGATGGGAGGATATATGTAGCATGTCAGCATTGGATCGATCTCCCATATTAAGTCATCACTGTAAATGTTATCTGTAACGCTGGGAATGAATTGCATTTAGACTCAAGTTCGCGACAACTGAAGCCATATATGGCTATACCATGCGGAGTGCTTTCCATGGTATTCAAACTAACACTCATAACGTAGAAGATCTCAAGCTACCTATGCAGCTCGATAACAGCGGTGCGCTACCGGTAATGCCCAATGTGAAGGTGCCTGTAGTATCGCATACAATTACCGTAATATGCCGACACAACCTTAGTGGTGGTCATGTGGTGAGAATCCGCCCACGCCACTCATCCCGTGATCCATCCCGCCGATCACCTTATCAAATTCAAGGCACCAAGGCATATAATTTAGTCCACCAACGGCAAAACCCACGGCCACTTCGGACTTCATCACACCTCAACCTTGACTTCAAACCTTCAATTCTCCTTACCATCCATCCTTCGGGTCAATATCCTCCTTCCCGCTGCTCATTATCACCATGTTCAGCCCGTCCCTCACCCGCATCGTCCTGCGGTCGACGGGCTGCTCATCCTGCACCCAAGCAGCGCCCGTCACTGCCGTATCTCGCTCATCCGGCCAGCGAGGCGCTCGAACCTTGAGCCGTCCGTTCCACCGCGCTCATCAGCGTCGACATTCATCGTCGAACGCCTCATCATGCCCGCCGTCGCAGCCATCCTCGCCGAATAGCGGTCGCGTGGGCCGGAAGCGGTCCAAGTCGGCGTCGCAGCCGTCCGTGGATGATGCATTTTCCCACCTGCCCAGCGTGCCTAACACGCAGCATTTGCAGCAATCTGGTACGTCTGATATAGCAGGGAACCGCCTCTGACCTGCCTCCGGTATGGAATTTCCGGGAACGTCAAACCTAACCAACCCCAGATATCGCCATCGCATCCTTCTTCAGCCTCCACGCCCCCATCTCCATCCGCAGCGACCCACCCACTACCATCCCCTCCCAGCGCGACATCGACGCCTTCCTCGATCAGCTCTCCCCCTCCGCACTCCAAAAGCGTAAAGCCGACAGCATCATGAGCACCCTCTCCAACGTCGTCCGCACCCTCGATTCCAAACCCCAGACCGGCACCCCCGTCAACCCCTTCGAACCCCCAAGCAACCACCTCCGCTGGCAATCCGCCGGCACGCCCGACACCTCCTCCATCGACGCCGCGAACCAACACATCGCGTCGTTGCTCCCCTTCCAGAAACCGCGCGCCCCCGCCCCCATCACCGTGACCGGCACCGAGACGTTCCTAGACCTTCAAGCTCGACCGAAGGGGACGCGTGCACGGAAGAACGCGGCGACTGTTCAGCGGGGGCGGACGGCAGTGGTGGAGGAGAAGCAGTGGGAGACGCGGGTGGTGATAAAGACACGGACGCTGGCGGATGGGACGAAGGAAATTACAGGGACGGCGAGCCCGATGGTGAGAACCGATGCGGCGGAGGGGGTGAGGTATGAAGAGCCGAAGAAAGAGGAGGTGGCGATTCGGCAGCCGTTTTTGAATCGGATGAGGGGGAGGATTGGAGAGGGGCGGACGGAGAGGAAGGTGGTGGCGGTGGGTATGGGGCGGAGGGGAGCGGTGATGCGGGTACCGGGGGTGAAGGGTGGGGTGAGGGAGATGATGCTGATTAGTGTGAAGAGGCAGAGGAAGTTGAAGATGAAGAAGCATAAGTATAAGAAGCTGATGAAGCGGACAAGGAACTTGCGGAGGAAGTTGGGGAGGCTATAGAGTGGTGGATGGTTTTGGTTTTTGGTGTCTTCAAATTCCATGCATTGGCTAGGATACCATGTTCTGGGCATCTTTCTCATATCGCTTTTCACTGTCTCTCTGAGCTGAAAGAGCTGCATGATGATGGTTGAAGTTGTTTCATAGCACTGCTATTGCGCTGCATAGATGCCTCTGGCGGCGTTCATGTTCTGCATCCCAGCATCCTTGCATCATTCGCAAGGTGTCCCGTTCAATAGATTCTACTCCAGCATCATGAGAACATCCCGCGCTGTTTCAAAATCCTGTTTCATTTCAATTTTGCTGCCTCGATTCGTGGTTCGCCTGTCTGCTTCGACGAAATCTTCCCTCCGATTCGGTTTATCGCACCTCCGTTATGATCAACCAAAGCCTCCTGAGCTACCAAGTTGAACTGAACTGAAACCGATTGAAGTCCTTGCCCGCCAGTGGCTTCATCAAACAGTCCGCGAAGGGCGTCTACAGTAGCCTTGCCCAGATTGTCTAACAGGGTTTCATCCATGGAATCGGTAATGGATTGGATCCTGATCTCCGCAAAGGCTTTCATCATGTCCCTTGCGAGCACATTCGCTAATTACCCCGTCCACCACTCTCCGAACTCCACGTGACGCACCCTCAGGGGATGTAATTATATATAGCAGCTTCACGCTGCGATTGACAAAATCGAGTATATAAGACTTCCAGAGAGACTCCTCTCCAGAACCCACTCCTGCGCACGACCACTGCCAACAGCTCGTAAGAGATCTGTGTTGGACAGGATGTTTTCGAGCTCGCTGGCGACCAGCTTTGCCGTGGTTTTGTGTGCTCGAGGCATGCGGGAAGGGATTTGACGTTCGCCTCTCAGACGTTCCAGTCCGGGCGATAGTTCGTGTCCATCTCTATTTACTGTGTCCTTCAACAAATACGTGGATATATATATCTAGAGAAGTTAGTAATTTAGTAGCGCTCCCAGTGCTGTAATACCCACAAGCGGTCCCTAACAAAACCGCTAAGGAAGGAAACCGAACTACACTCCCAATTCTTGGATGTGCGGTCGAAATTCGGAAATATTTTCCAGTGAAGCCGCGACAAGAATATCTCCTCCCGCTAGAACGGGGTGAGATGGTGAGTTTCATCAACGAGGCGAAACGAATCAACCCCCCCAATGCAAATGACGTACGAAGCCATCGCTTGGTTGGACCGTTTTGATCGCCACGACGACTGCCTCTGGGGCTATACCGAGCATCAGGTGTGGCAGGCTGCAATACATGCGGAAGGGTTTCTAGTCAGTGCAACCTAGTCTCGTCAGCTACCACGCTCCTAAGCCACCAGCATGGCGCATATTATTGTATAGTCTCCATCTGGTCAACATGAAGATGGGTTCGAATCTGCTGAATTGCGTGTGCGTCCACGCCCGGCCACAGGAACTGAAGTGACGATATAAAAGGTTCAGGGTGTCGAAGTTGGTCGAGAGCAGCCTTGATCCGGTGGCGATTCTTTTGCATGGTTTCAGTCGAGCAATTAGCTTCGGATGAGGTAGTACCCTGAAAGCATGTGAGAATTTGGTATCATGACATGTAGAAAGTGTCTTTGCCACTCAGTATTAGCCGTTTCTCGGCCATGCTAACAACAAGATGGAGTACACCTCATCCAGTCGCTGTACAGGTCGTCGCCGCACTCGATACGTTTCTTGATCATCCCGACTGCTCATGCCTGCCCTAACTCTTTGGTTAGGTCCACCGCTTTTCGTTTCGCTCCAACGCGCCCAGAGACATAGTGCGGCACACGCCCCCTCTCTTGGACCAGGCGCAGATAACGTACGCACTAGTTGAGTTCGGATTGTTTGGGTATATGTTAGGTCTTCAGCTTATTGCAGCCCCGGTACGCAAAGCATCCTCGAAGAGTGGCCCATATCAGGCCTCGAACACTTTGCGGCCGGAGTAGGACATCCTAAAGTGGTCCCACTAGATGCCCTGAATATTGTGCTGTTCTAGCCCTCGATTTCGTATGGTTCTGCAGGAGGTTCCACACGTCTGACGCGTCGCAGTCAAACATATGAAATGAAACGGCCGCGCGGGGAACCCCCATGCCCAAGGCATGAGCAAATTTATAGAAAATGATTGATGGTATGAGGATATACATAGAAAGTCGTTGCGTCGCAAAAAAAAGTGAATATGGTGACAGGGTGTTGTTCACGCAGAACGGAATGGAATAGTACAGAGCCGAATAACCCTGTGGTTTGAGGCAACACCTGACGATGGTATAGCAGGGGAAGTAGACGTGAACTATGAGAGAATGGAGGCACATACGAAAGGGGAACAAGAGAAGATGGGTCATGCAAACGCCTAAGAAACGTTAAAATGATGCTAATCAAACAAAAAAACTTAGCTCGTGTTTCGATAGAACTGAGAGAGCAAACCAACGGCAACACAGTTGGGCAAATATGCAAACAAGGAGTGACTGGGTGAATGAAGCAGCGAAAGTGAGACATAACACCATGAAGGCAATTGTGAACGACAAGAAAGATGTATGGACAGCTCATCTCTTTCCATGGCCGAGCTCTCCTCCTCATCCGATATGCAATGACGGCATGGTTGTCAATATCAGCAGTTATGGGTCCGAGGGTGAGATGCTTCATTGCAGACACCACCTTGGTCGAGGGGGATATCGGCAAAGGAGGCATGCATGGTGGGAGATGTTGCGTCCGCGTCGAGAAATATGATGAGGTCGTCATGGGAAAGCGAGTCGAGCCATTTAGATGTTCTCTGAGTTACTGTCATCCGACCAGTCCGAGACAGGATATTTCCAGCAACATGCCAAAGAGAAACCAAAGGAGTCCTGAGAAATAGCAAGAGCATATGGGTTGGTGAGAATGAAGGACTCGGGTTTCATAGCGTGGATGTTGTTTCCCATGATCAGTGGCGACGTGACTTCTGCATAGTGAAATGGAGTCGATCCTTCGCGTCGGTCATCCCGCCGTTACCGACTTCGAGCATGTTTGGGTCCTTGCATGGTTTGTGCCCACTTCTAGGGATAGTGCGCACCCGAGTTTGCACAGAATATTGTATGAGTGGTCAGTGTCATTGAGAGCGGAAGACATAGAATTGTACCGTGTGAAGGTTACAACGGGAGTCACTGATTGGTCTTAGTTGTAGCAATTGTCATACTTGTGGTAATCAACCTACATAAATCAGTCAGTGCGAGCACCAGCAGAGAAGTAGATCAACATACATCAAGAGGCGAAAGCCTGAGCATCAATCTGCTCCGAACTCAGCGAGCCTTCATACGTGTGCTAGCACTGGAATAGTTTCCGAACTTGAGACCCAAGCCGTGAATGCGGCCCGCATCGTGCTTCATGCCGTTTGGAAAAGCCGCAAGTCGTCCATGGTTACATACTCGTAGTCGGCATCTCTGAGTCGAAGGCGGACAGTCTCCTCGGCTGTTTGGAGAAGCAACTGTTCCGAGATGTCACAGGCGACGGAATTTCAGCAATTCTATGGAAATAGGTGTCGTTTTTATCATTGAAAAGGCGGACGTGGAGCCTAGACTCACCCGCCAAGTTGAGGGGTCTATGCAAGATCATTGTTCAACGCAGATAAGCAGAGATGAGTAGAAGCGCATAGGCAAAGACTATGGGTAGGATCAACACAAGGTAAGTGAGAATTATTTGAAGGACTGTTTGAAGGAGAGAAGATCTAAGTTGGGATTCGCAATATTTTCGACTGGCTGTCTTCTCATATAGAACCCAGGGTCATTGTTCCAATGACAAGGCTCCAAGTGTTCCTTTGAACTTTGAAGCGCCTTTACTACCTTTGCAGTTTCTGATAATTAGGCGCGGAAGCAAGTTGCATAGAACAGCAAGCCGCAGGATATGGTGGATATATACGGCCCAACACATATGTACATACTTATGCAATGCATGTTTGATTCTGGCATTAGATGAAATTCAAATAGGCAGATACCAGCCGTGTTATTCTTTCAGAAGAGAGACACAACTGGATACATCAGGATGGAAGAGCAGCTGACAAAGATTAAAAGAGCGTGGATGCAAGTTCCAGCAGCTTCCGTTCACTCACATATCGCTATATGGATTCAATGCCTCGTAGGATCTCGGTGTGACCAGCAATCGCATACGTTCGGGATGAGCTCCTGATTGATTCCCGGCTCAGATCAGGCGAGACGCATGATGCTCCGCCAATATCTGCAAGGCGGGTACACAAGCTGCCGGTCCCAGACAATGGAAGTCTGGAGATGAGTCTGGGGACCGGAAAAAGTCCCTTTCGAGCTCCAGTCGCAGGTTGATATCGGGAGGGGACATGATCGGGATCTCGCAAGACGCATATTCGTCCCCGCCGAAACCCCTAGGATCGGTGCTGCCGATCAGACGTTTGTTGATGCTGAGCAGGATGAGGTGCAACCATCTACGTCCTACCCCGCGGGCGGGCCACTGCGCCTGGTCTGCTGCGGAAATTGGCTAATAACTCAGTGTTTGATTTCTTTGGGACCGAAGTAAAAGCCCCGAACAAACGCTAGAACTTTTGGGTATGGAGAAGTGGAAACTGGTTGAGGAAGTGAAGAGTTGCCGAGCTACTACGTAGTAGATCGCATCGTCGCGTTGTCGTCTCCATCAGCCCTGCGGAGACGAGACAGAATTCAATCACGCTTAACGGCCTTTGGCTTAGCGTGCCACTTGCGAATTTCCTCGCCTCCATGAAACTCACGATGTCGCTAAACACAAAGTTACACGGAGTTGTCAAAGAACGATCTAGTAGACGATACCACTCTCGTATGAATAGCCGAATGAAAGCGACTTTGCCTGCTTTCGTTGTAATGATACTTCTTCCCTTGCTGCTGGCGTGACTCCTCGCCCTTCCACCAGATGTGTTGATGAAAAGCATTTGGAGACATCCCTTTTCATGCAGCGGATTTTGTGACCAAGGTGTCTAGCCCGCATACGTACCTAAGCACTTTGCATCTTCACGATGGCGGTGGTGTACAGGGGGCCACAGATGAAACCCCTAAATATCTTCAGGGCATTTAGGTTCCGGGTGACAGTGGCATCCAAATTCCAAGCTCATCATTTGATTGTGATCTAGAATGCGATGTAGGGAGGCGAGAAGCAGTACCTAATATTGGCGATTTATGCACTTCGCTACTAGGGCCGAAAGATCAAAAAATCTTTCTTTCCAGTGGGAAATTTTTCCTGATTATTCCAGAGTCCAGACCGGATTTTGCTGGTTTGCTGGACAGTATGTCGGCTTGTCGCATATCTCAAATTCCTCTTGATGCATCTTGTTCCCCTTTCAGTAATGGAGCATGGCGCATGCTAGTTATGTTCAACAAGCGGGAGAGTCCACGCAACCCGATGATCACAGGATAGAAGTCACCGATGCCGTCTGATCGACAACTTTTTCCAAAGGGGTGGGCCAATGTTGCTTCCCGAACAGCTCTCTATCGGCAGTCCTCTAATATCGGCGACATGAAACGGGCAGCTTTCGGCACACACATCTCTTGCGGCCGACGTCAGCGGCGTTCCGCTGACCTTGTTTCTTGCCCGCTATTAGTGCGGGGCGAACGGCGGCCTGGATGGCCGGCCTGGCTGGTCGACTAAGGTACGGACCAGAGGCCGCGGTACTTGATCGGTACCTGGAGCTTTCCAGTTCTCGTTCGGCATGTTCGGGGCCCCGAAATTCGGGCGGGCTCTTCTCCAGAGAAGGAAGGTGAGGGCTTTTCGAGAATTCTACTGACCCAGTCTTCTCGTGAGGAGAAGCGGAGGACTACTTACCAGTACACGAAGATACAGATTGGATTCTCAGGGACAATGATGAACTCTGATAATGCAGAATATAGGAATCTAACGATGAGGTCATGATGATCGGTTCCTGGATCCAAGCATGGGGCTCTTGTATACATATTGCACCGTACACAGAATACAGGAAAAGTTGATCGAGATCGAGATTTCAAAAACAGGACGAGTCGTCAATCGCCTCCATTCCATGTCTAGGTGGCAATGTTGGTGCCTAGCAGCCTGAGAAAAAAACGCCTCATTTAAAAACTGGGGATGACGTTGATCGCTCACATCTCAGGCTTTCCCCAACAACACGAATCTTGCAACTCATCTGCCCCGTGGGAATTCTCTCTCCAGTCCACCAGTTCCACTTATCAAATGATCATTACTGCAATTGGCACCTCGTCCACGCGCCACTGCCGGATTTCCGTTCCCCTTTGGTGGGATAATGTTGAATTCCAGCGGGGAAAGTCCCTGCCATGGAGTGCCATAGGCTGGTTCGACTCCATGACGGAGCATCTAAACTACCATTCGATCAATACCATGTTGTGCACTGTGCACGAAAACCGACACTAGGACGGTAGGGTTCCAAGGCAAAATGAAGCAGATTTGAGTGAGCCACGAGACCATCGTACCAAAACCATGGATGATCAGCATTTCTTTAAAGGGTGGTCGCATGCCGCACGCTTCCTGATGGGAACAAAGTCCATCCATATCTTCGTTGAAGCCCTTTCTGGTGATTGAACATCAGGTATACTTTATAGGTTCTCGTAGGAACGTAACATCATGGCGGTGGGAAATGTAAGAGATTTCCGTCCCAAAAAATCCTGCCACGATACTGACCCCAAATTCAGATCTACTTCATCTCCGCCATCGCGGTCATCGGTGGTGGCCTCTTCGGCTTCGACATCTCCTCTTTGAGCGCAATTCTCCCCATCAAACCTTACAAATGCTACTTCGCGGAGGGAGGGGCAATTCCCCTAAGTGACGACTGCCAAGGCCCGTCGTCCATGACCCAAGGAGGCATTACCGCTGCGATGCCTGGTGGCTCGTGGCTTGCGTCGCTTATTTCCGGGTATCTCTCCGACATTTTGGGTCGTAAGACGTCCATCCAGGTCGGTTCGATTATTTGGATCATTGGATCCATCATTTCGTGCGCGTCTCAGAACATCGCCATGCTGATCGTTGGTCGTATCATCAACGGATTTGCTGTCGGTATCTGTTCTGCCCAAGGTACGGATACTTACCTATGTACCATTCTGGTATCGATTCCGAGACTAACGGATCACAGTTCCTGTATACATTGCTGAGCTCGCACCGCCTAGCATACGAGGCCGACTTGTTGGCACCCAACAGTGGGCGATCACCTGGGGTATCCTGATCATGTTCTACATCTCGTACGGATGCTCTTTTCTCAAAAGTGAAGCCGCGTTCCGTATTCCGTGGGGCTTGCAGATGATCCCCGGAATCCTGCTTTGCATTGGCATGGTTTTCCTGCCAGAATCGCCCCGTTGGCTTGCTCGCAAGGAGCGATGGGAGGAATGCCGTGCCGTTTTGGTCCTGGTACACGGCAAAGGCGACCCCGACTCACCCTATGTCCGGAAGGAATTCGCGGAGATCGAAGAGACGGTGAACTTCGAGCGACAAAACGCCGACGTCACCTACCTCGAGCTGTTCAAGCCACGCATGATCAACCGCACCCATATCGGCATGTTCGATCAGATTTGGGCCCAATTGACTGGCATGAACGTCATGATGGTGAGTTTGAGCAATCGCATCTGCTTTGACTGGTCATTAACTGAATAAAACAGTACTACATTACCTATGTCTTCCAAATGACTGGTCAGAGCGGTTCAACCTTGCTTGTCTCCTCCTCCATCCAATATATCATCAACGTCGGTATGTGTCAATCCATCCCAATAATATTATCCCTCAGACTCTAACCAATCGCAGTCATGACCGTTCCCGCTCTCATCTTCGTCGACCGCTGGGGCCGCCGTCCCACGCTGCTCATCGGCGCCGCCCTCATGGCCATCTGGCTCTTCGCCAACGCTGGCATCTTCGCCACCTACGGAGTCCATATCCCCGAAGGCGTTGACGGCACCCGCGAAGCCTCTATGCTCGTCACTGGCGCACCCGCCAAAGCCATCATCGCCTGCTCGTACCTTTTCGTCGCATCCTACGCCCCCACATGGGGACCTGTTTCGTGGATTTACCCCCCGGAGCTCTTCCCGCTGCGCGTGCGCGGCAAGGCGGTAGCGCTGTCCACGTCCGCCAACTGGGCGTTCAATTTCGCGCTCGCGTGGTTCGTTCCGCCGGCGTTCGTAAACATCACGTGGCGCGTGTATATCATATTCGGCGTGTTCTGTCTGGCGATGTTCTTCCACGTGTTCTTCCTGTTCCCAGAGACGGCGGGCAAGACGCTTGAGCAGGTGGTGGACATCTTCGAGAACGAGCGGCCCGGGAGCGTCAAGTTCATCGGGACGCCGGCGTGGAAGACGCGGAACTCGTGGAAGCATGGGCGGAAGATGGAGGCTGGGCATCTCGATGATGAGGGCCAGGCGGGGCTCGAGCAGCCGGTGATCGCGGAGAAGGATGGCGTGTCGATGGACGATAAGGTCCAGGACGAGCGGATCCATGCTTGAGCTTCGGGCTGGGGTTTTCGCAATCATTAGAGAAGGATAGTATCTGACGTATACCCTTGGTTTGCAGATACCCTTCCATCAACGTCTAGATCATATTATAGACGAAAGATATGGTATGTAAGAGCGTGTTGAGTGTATGATATCGATAGCATATGGGCGCGTGGAGTCTTGATAGCGTCAACAATGATAGTATTGTACTTTTTACACATTGTTCTTGTACACAACCGGATCCAAACAGCGTTTCTTGATTGATGAGCTAACGCACGTTATCCAAAGACGGTACATCTACTCCCTCCAGTAGAAAATGTTCAGACCAGACGCAAGCGGGTTCAACTCCCTCATCCATAGCCATGTTATCATAAAATGCACAAATGGATGACCGTCGATCCTTCCTGTTCTCTACTGCGAGGATCCACCGGAGATAGTAATAACCTGGCCTGCGAATAGTTAGCTTTCCTTATCCCAACTCCGTACGCAACCACTCACCATTCACCCATCCTCCATCCTCACTCGCCAAGAACGCCACCACCCTCGCCACATCCTCCGGCGTCGCGCACCTCCCTAATGGACAATGCTGCGCCATCAGCCCCTCGATCTTCTCCGCCGGCCACTCCGGAGTACCCCCGGGGATATAATGCCATGCGTTCTTCACGAACATATCCGACTTGATCCCGCCCGGCGCCACGCCGTTCACCGTGATCCCGCGCGCCCCGAAATCCGTCGCGAACGCCTTCACAAACCCTATCACCGCCATCTTACTCCCGTTGTACAGCGCATGGTCCTTGACCCCCAGCAGCCCCGCAGCGATGCTCGTCATGAGGATCACGCGCCCGTGGTCCTCGACGTATTTCCACGCCGCCTGCCCCACGAAAAATTGCGCCCGCGAGTTCAGGTTGAAGATGTGGTCGAACTTCTCCTCCGTGATCTCCTCCGTCTTGTCCCAGCTCTCCGCACCGCTGTTGCTCATCACGATGTCGATCTTCCCGAACGCCGTGCGCGCTTCTTGGAAGAGGCGGTCGATTTCGGAGATCTTAGACACGTCCGCTTGGATTGCGATAGCGCGTGCCCCGTTGTTGAACGATGAGATCAGCTGGCATACTTCCTCGGCAGGTCCCTTGCTGGAGACGTAGTTGACGATGACGGAGGCTCCGCGTTTGCCAAGCTCGAGGGCGCAGCCGCGGCCGATGCCGCGACCGGCGCCAGTGATGAGGGCGACTTTGCCGTGGAGGGAGGCAGTGGGGACGGGGATGGGCTGGGGGGGGTCGATGACGGGCTGGAGGGATTCGGTGACGGGCTGGGGAGATTCGGTGACGGGCTGGGGAGATTCGGTGACGAGGGCGACTTTACCGTGGAGGGAGGCAGTGGGGACGGGGATGGGCTGGGGGGGGTTGATGACGGGTTGAGGGGGTTCGGTGACGGACTGGGGGGGTTCGGTGATAAGGGCGACTTTAGCGGGGAGGGAGGGAGTGGGGACGGGGACGGGCTGGGAGGATTCGGTGATGGCCATGGTGGAGGTAGGTTAAGGGACAGAATGAGACAGGTGGATCAGATTCAGGGGTAGATTGGCGGAGATATTTGGTGACTTCAAGTAAAAACGATGAGACGAAACAGACCGAACGAAAGCAATTGAAGACTTAAATTTCGAGTCGAAAAGCAACAGACGATACGATTTCGGACTCTAGACCCCCTTCCCACTCATCGACCTTTACCACAATTTATATACGCGCGGTACGTACTTCCCAACTCCGTTGCGGTCTCCATGGCGGAATGCGGGGATCCGAGTTTGTTGATGTGACGGGAATGGAGCGGACTTTCTGCCTGGCAGCCAGGCTCTGGCTGGCTAATCGAGGCGTCGCGAGGCCGCCGGGCGCCGAGAGTCACGCGAGTGCTTAGCCAACATTGAGAAACTAAATCTACCACTGCTTATTGTGCAAAACTTCAATAACAGCCTCAACGGTCGCCCTCCAAGCCGAACAATTGTCACACAAGATACAGGCTAACATGGTGGAATCCCAAGCACGTGCGGCACGCTAGCGAGGCAACAAACGTGTCCTCCAGTCCGAAATGGGATACATTACGTCCCAGCAAGCCAGATCTATGAGGAAGGAGCGCACGGAGCGAGAAACAGGCCGAATTGGACAAATGGGTTAGGGGCTGGAAGACACGCCAAATCAACCACCAGAAGGCGTTCAAGGACATACATGTAGAGTTTCGGCGCTTGATTGGAGTCATGAGGCATGATCCTACCTGGCGATGTCGATCTAAAGATGAATAGCAGTGCAGGTGGTGTAAATTTGGTATCTACAAACTTCATAGCGCGGAGTATGTATTAAGTTATCGTTTGGACCGCATTAACTATCGTTTTGAGTGCCAGCGTTAACTAGTTAGATTAAGGATCTAGCGTCCACAATCGTGGATGAGGTAAGCTTCAGTTGACGAACCAGCGCGGTTATGTACAGTACATACATACACATTCATTCCTGTTATGGTTTGGTCATTTGAGTGATGAAGATGTCAACTACAAGACTATATACAGTCGGAGAGAGCTATATAAGAATGGGTAGGATCCCTAATGAGGCACCCACATTTGGGCAATGCTATACCTAATTGGGTCAGTATTTATGAGCGCCTTTATGTCAAATATCCTCTCTAGAGGTTGAGAGAGGTGACATCGAAATACGGCTAGTATCGTATGAAGTCACCTCTTATTCCTCCGGATCTCCCATATTCCTTGATAAATTAATCAATCACGTATTCATACTTCTACAGTGCTCATCTGTGTCGGTGGCAGGAAGCGCCCTCTTTCCCATGGTGAAGCACGAATAGAGAGAAAGTGAAAAGAGAGGCGAAAGAAGGGCGGGAGCAGAAGGGAGTACGACGGCAGGGGAGGGAGAGAATCCATAGGGATGCCGGAGAAGGGGGAACACCTGGAATATAATAATACACCACTTGCGCTAAAATGACAATGGCGGCCAGAGGGGTCGAGAGGAACATGTGACACCAGATGCATTTGACAACGCATCAAGTACTTTCATTCTCTACTAGTTAATTGAATAAATTAAGTTTCTCCTTCTAACTTAATTACTGTAATTACAAAATAGAGCTGTGAGATTCAGTCCATGCTTCTATCTAAGTTGTGGATCGTAAACACTAAGTTAGAGTCAGCGGATAGACTAACGTCAATACATCATCGGATACATCATCGAATAGCGCAGCTGTCAACAAAGCCCGACAAACTCACGACAACTTTCCACACATACAGCTGAATACCCACACTCTATCCAACATGCATATCTTGGTACGTCGAAGTCATCCCACAACATAATGAGCGTCCCCCAGCGGTTATTTAATCCCCAATGCCTCCATCTCCACTCTCCCCCTCATTCCGCGCCCTCGCTAACCCCGCCAGGTCGTCAACGACGACGGTCCCCCGTCCCAACACTCCTCCCCCTACGTCCACTCCCTCATCCGCACTCTCCAATCCCACAACCACACCGTCAGCGTCGTCCTCCCCAACACTCAGCGCTCTTGGATCGGCAAAGCCCACATGGTCGGGCAGACCGTCAAGCCCTCGTACTTCCTCCCGGGCGAGCTCTCCACTGCGCACGACACCGGCACCGTCTCGCACGCCCCGCAGCCGCCGCACAGCGACCGGGAAGAATGGCTGCTCGTCGACAGCACGCCGGCCAGCTGCGTGCAGATCGGGCTGCACCATTACTTCGACTCGCGCGGGCCGATCGACCTGGTGGTGTCCGGGCCGAACTACGGGCGGAACACAACGGCGGCGTTCGCGTTGAGCAGCGGGACGTTGGGCGGGGCGCTGGAGGCGGCGATCTGCGGGGTGCGGGCGATCGCGCTGAGCTATGCGTTTTCGGAGCGGGTGCACCATGCGGAGGTGATTGCGGAGGCGGCGGAGTTGGGGGTGCGGTTGATTGAGCATCTGACGGGGGAGGGGCGGTGGGGGGAGGGAGTGCAGCTGTATAGCATCAATGTGCCGGTGCAGAAGGGGATCGGCGAGAGGAAGGTGTATTGGACGAAGATGTTGCAGAATCAGTGGAAGGGGAGCCAGTTTCGGGAAGAGATGGTGCCGGTAGAGGAGGATGAGGGGGCGGAGGAGGGAGAGGAGAGGATTCGGGAGGGGGAGTTGTGGAGGGGGGAGGGGAAAAGGGAGCAGAGTAAGGTGGAGAAGAATGGGGAGGCGGCTGGACCAGAGAAGCATGTTCGATATGTGCATAAGCATTTCACATGGTCGCCGAACTTCCAGGGGGTTTACGAGACGGTGGAAAAGGGTGGACCTGGGTCGGATGGATGGGTGGTGAAGGAAGGGTTCACAAGGTAAGTCTTAGGATTGTCATCTATGATCTATACTGACTGGCTGCGCAGCGTCACTCCGATCAAGGCCAACTTCTGGCACGTTGACGGGTTCGAGGGCGAGCTGAAGTTTTGAGGAGAGGAACTCGAGGAATAAGCATCATTCCCGGCCATAGAACTCAATAGACATCAATATACATTATCTCAGCTCCATCGTACACATCGTTTACCTCGGATGGATCTGTCCTCTTTCTGCATGCCTTCCCTAGAAAGAGAAGCAGCTACATGCCTCTTCGGAGAAGATGCCAGCCCAGAATGACCAATCTTCGTTAACCATGCTTCTCGCGTGACAAGTCGTAATGCCAGACCGCATCGTCTGATCTTGAAACCAACTCATTTTGGTCGGATACGCAAGCAGTTATAGGAGGTCGAGCCAACATCATCCGCGACCTTTCTTCAATATGACCAACTCTCCCTCTTTCACTTAACACTCCTCACCAACTCCCTCAAATCCCCTCCCTCCACCCACATCTCCGCTCCTCCCGCTCCGGCCACATTAACCCCCCACCCCTCCCCGACCTCCCCCAGCACCCTCGCCGGCCGTCCTCCCACCACCGACCCCGGCGGCACTACCATATTCGGCGGCACCACGCTCCCGGGCAAAATCCTCACGTTCTCCCGGATCATGCAAAACGGCATCAACACGCTTCCCTCACCCACATACACATGCGACGCGATCGCCGCCGCGGACACCACGCATCCCGGCCCGACGAACACGTTATCCCCGATCTTCAGCGGGTAGTACTGGGTGGCGCCGCGGTGGACGCGGTGCGGGGGGTGGAGGATGCAACGCGGGGAGATGACGGTGTGTTTCCCGATGGAGATGGCGTGGGTGGAGGTGGAGGAGGGTTTTGCGGAGGGTTCGTCGGTGGAGGAGGGGAGGCGGTGGAGGTCGCCGCGGAGGTTCACGTCGGCCATGATGACGGTGCGGCCGCCGAGGGTGATGTTGGCGGTGCCGGAGATGTTGGCTTTGCGGGAAACTTTGTTGCCGCTGTCCTACGGGGGGTCAGAGGGGGGGATGGAGGTAGATGGAGAGGGGAGGGGGTACTGTTTCGATGTATTCGCCTTTAGGCGCTTTGCTGCGCGAGGAGCTCTGGCGGGATGACATGATGGGATGGAGGAGGAAGAAGGATCTGGAGGGTTCACTTCGGGTGATACGATATTATTGTTAGATGTCAATGGATACAGGTACGTAGCAGGTATGTTGCACGGTGCCTGACTGATGCAATGTCAACAAAGCGTGATACCAGTAAGTCAGGTACTCAGGTACAACAGCACAAGCAACGGGTCGTCCCGCTACCGAACCAAACCGTGAGCACGAGTTGCTTCAAGTTGACTGGCATATTATGGTGTACGGGTACCTGTACCTGTATGCAGCCATCCAGATTGACAAATACCTGGCGTTGTTTCGAAGGAATATATCATCCTTCCCCGAGTCTTGTGGCCTCGATATCCGATATGGCGATATCCGGCTCACGCTCGTGCCTGCATGCGCCTTCAGCTTCGTGTTCCCTTGTTCCCTGTTGGTGGCGTTTCGTCGTCCCCGTCGTTCCCTTGCATGAATTGCAGACTTGCAGGCACTTGCAGCCGCATTTTGATATCGGGGAAATTGGGGGGCACGCGTTGGTCTGCGCTTGACCCCAAGCCGCCGCTGCTTCTCCCCTAACCCTCTTCTCCTCCACCATCTGATCATCCCCGTTGCAAGAGTTCAACCACACTGCTTTTTTCGGTTTGTGATCTTGTCTGGATCCCCTCACTGGCTTTTCCCAGAGTCGAGTCGATTCACACAACTCTCACAGCTTGAGAAGTCGTAGTTGCTCCTACTATCTTCCCCTGACATTCGAACCGTCTTCTGCATCTGAAACCTCCGAGATCTCGAAACACCCGTTAACACGAGCACTGTGACTTGGATTGCGAGGGTTGTCTATAACACTGTTGCCTCATATCGCGATCCTTTCAAATACCCTTCGAATTGAACCTCTGTCCCGAGACCAGTCGAGTAATAGCCACTTATCAAGACCGCACAACATCCGGCGATCATGGGCGGGGGACTCTCCAAACTGATGGACAAGATCTTCGGATCGAAAGAAATGCGCCTGTTGATGTTGGGACTTGACGCTGCCGGGAAGACCAGTAAGTACCCCAATATACGAGACCACAATCCAACCTCCAAGCTCTAAGTCATCCAACACCATACTATCCAACTCCCACCCATACTCAAGCTCCACTAACCTCCCTCCCTCCAGCAATCCTCTATAACCTCAAACTCGAACAAAATGTCACCACCATCCCCACCGTCGGCTTCAACGTCGAAACCGTGACCTATAAGAACACCAAATTCAACGTGTGGGACGTCGGCGGGCAGGACAAGATCCGGCCCCTCTGGCGCCACTACTTCTCCGGCACGCAAGGCCTAGTGTTCGTAGTGGACTCGAACGACCGCGAGCGGGTCGAGGAAGCCCGGTCGGAGTTGCAGCGAATCATCCAAGATCGCGAGATGAAGGATGCGCTACTGTTGGTGTTTGCGAATAAGCAGGATATCAAAAACGGTGAGTGAAGATGTGTTGCGGTTGATTGGTTGGAACGATGATGCTGATTTGCGGATAGCGATGCGCCCGGATGAGGTGTCGAGACGGCTGAAGCTCGATGAGATCGCGAGAGATCATCTGTGGAAGGTCGAGCCGAGTTGCGCGACGACCGGTGAGGGGATCTTTGAGGGACTGGTACGTATATCTGATATCTGACCCCATATTACGTTCGCCCTTCTAACAGATTTAGACGTGGCTTTCCAACAACGTCAAGTTGCCTAACAAATAAGTGGCGCCGACCGAGGAGATACGTCTCCGATATGCCTCCATATTCTAATTCCGACCGATCATCGAGCTCGATCACCCCCTCGCCCCCTATCGAATGCTTTCCCCAAGCACTCTAACATACGCGGAGAAATTTTGCTATACCATGATACCCGTCCATCCTTTCCATGCCTTTCTCTTCGTCGCATCGTGGGTCGAAATCAGCGACACGGGAGGCTTTGACTTTGTTAGCTACCGATTGCTAACCTCGGGCGGATGCGTCGCGCGGCTTCTTTGCTCCCTGTACTCCGCTTGTACTCTGCTTCTGTACTCATCAGTTTTGAGCATCACGTATGGAAGAAAAGGACAGGCGCACACCGTACATTAACTTGCTTCTTAGTCTAAATGTAGTTTAGATGTGCTACTCTGGATCGGGACATTGCGCTACTAAATGTACCTCCAATCGATATTGAAGTTGACAACATATTTGCGAGCTATAACCCCAGCCAACTAAATATCCTTCGGGGATGAAGATGGCATTTATAACATCCTCCGCAAATATATAACCGTCAATAATCTCCCCATATCATTCACATATGCCCTTGCCAACCCGCCATCAAACACCTACTTCACATCTGGCAATACATACCTCCTCTCCACCGTCTCCTCCTTATCCTCCTCATCCTCCCCCTCAAACCGCAACCTCACCCACCCATCCATCACCTCCCCTCCATCCCTCACCCTCACCACCTCCGCCCGATAGAACGTCGTCGTGCTCGGATACAGCGCCAGCACCGACGTTCCCATGGACAGCGACCGCAGCCCATCATTGCTCGCCGGGATCGGAATCAGGTGCGCGACGGACGCGCGGTAGGGCGTGGGTGGCGTGGGAGGGTCCGGATCCGAGTCCTGGATCTCGTAGCGTCGCTGCTTGCCCTCGCCAATGACGGAGGTGATGCTGCAGAGGATGCCTTCGCCCTCGGAGGGGTCGCGGTCGACGAGCTTGGATTTCTGGTTCTTAGCCGTGGGGGCGCGGTAGAGGACTTCGGTGCCGACGGTGAGCTTGGGGTGGCGTTCGGCAACTGGTTTCGTTGTAGTTTCAGCATCAGCAACCGATACGGACTGGAGCATTCGATGGGATCAAAAAATGCCAAGATAAGATGAGACGAAATGTGTTGACCCGAATGAGGAAAAGAACTTGGGTATTGGGTATTGGCAAATGATGCTGATCATGATCATGATGGGAAAACGTGGAGAAAAAGGCGAGCGTCTGCTACCAACCTTTCGGTGCTTCCTTCTCGTCTCCATCCTCAGCCTTCACGCTCGACTCCCTCCCTGCCCCGACGCTCCCACTCCGCGACCCCGCCTTCGACATCAACCGCGACACGCTACTCTTCACCTCCACCTTCGGACTCGCCGTCGTTCGCGGCGACTCCCCCGCCACGCTACTCTCCCCCCTCTCCTCTGCCACCGGCGTCCCACTCTCAATACTCGACCTCTTCTCCCCGCGTTCCCGCTCCCGCTCCCGCTCCCGCTCCATCCCCCTCTCCCGATCGCGATCCCGATCTTTCCGTTTTGCGAGCCGCTGGCTCTTCGCGCTGGCGGCGGCAGACGTGCGGGTCGAGGTGGTGGCGGCGGTGTCGGCTTCGGAGGAGGCGCGGAGGGCGCCGAGGACCTCGAGGGAGCGGAGGATCGAGAGGTTGTTGTCGTCGGTTTCGCCGTCGCAGGCGGAAGTGATTTCTTCGATGAGTCGGATGTTTTCACGGGAGAGGGAGGAGAGTTCGTCTTCGAGGTCGGAGGTGGGGGAGACCCCTCGGCCTGGAGAAGGTTAGTTGGGATGTCAAGCATAGGACCTGAAGCGACGTTGTAAGGAAGGATAGTTTTGCGGTCTGGATTTGAGAAACATAAAGATAATAAGGTAGAGTTGAAGAAATAAAGCATCCAAATGAATATAGCCTCTAATGTAGCTTACCGTGCGCTGCATTTAGTTCATTATGAATCTCAGCCATCCGCTCCCATCGAGTATTTGAACCTGCCTGTTGGGACTCATCAGTTCCTTGTCCATCAAACAGCCATATTTCCCAAGTTCCTGAACAATATTCATACCATCAGCGTGTCTACCCGCTTCGCATCTGACCGAAGTTGATTCCAAATGCCCCGCTCTTCATCCGCGTCGTCCTTCACGGCATTGGGCCGCCGATTGCGGGATGCCATGGCTCCAGCCAGGATATCTAACACTAGGGGTTGGATAGAAGGAAAGGAAGGGCGTGTTGAAGGAGTTCTAAGGTAATGGATGTGCTCTCTGGCAGGGAATTGCGGCCGTTGTCGGCTTAGAGCTATGATGCCACTGCCGGCTGATACTTTTGTTTGATCAGGTCCAGTTGAGACCGATTTATTTCAATCCTTCCTTTCAGGGTGGCTAAAATGCTTCGGCTTTTAGACAAGTTGCTTTGGGTGTGGATATATGGATTTTGTAGTCATTCCGTAGATTAGAGGCAATGTTGTTTGTCGGTTGATAGTTGGTGATTCGTGAGAGGTCGAGATGCGCGACACATGCATCATCAAGGATGAGCTTCAAGGAGCACAGAAAGGAACCATCTCAAATTTGCAACCACATTTACATTTCAGACATAACCATTTCCATGGTTCAATAATTGGGTTCTCCTCCAGATCACCCCTTCAGACACCCTGACACCCTAAGTATTTCCTTGTAGAAACCACACCGTCCCTGAACTTGGAGTCATCGTCCCCGCCATGCAAGTGCCGCTAATCCGACTCCAATGCGGTGAGGAATTGAATCAAAATCATTTGTCCTTACAGTATCTGATATTCATATAGGGGTCAACAGCTATGATTGGGGTAATGTCACCATTGACATTAGCTATACTCGGGCTGAAGAATCTTAGGAAAGGTTGGCAAGGCATCTGCTGCTGCCCGTTTCGCCGCAGCAAGCGAGACCGACGACTTTTCGATTGAAGAGGAAAAGCCGTATGCCGAAGTATGTGCAAGGAAATAACCTGACCAAATTCAAGAGCTTACGAAGGACTTCATTCGCATAGCTATGGATGGGTACGCACCCCAAGATGCCTTCCAAGGACATGAAAACACAGCGGTCCCTCGTCGACCTCGTACAGGACAACCACGCCCTTATGTCCACCGAGATCACTTCGAAATACGGGGGAAAGCTTCCCTTCTTGTTCAAGGTGCTATCGATAGAGAAAGTGCTCAGCATCCAGGCGCATCCGAACAAGAAGTTGGCTGAGCAACTTCACGCCAAAGATCCGAAGAACTATCCTGGTAAGTCCAAGGAAAATGTGCTAGAAGTCTAGGTTCGAAATATTCTGACTGAATGCCGGTAGACGACAATCATAAGCCTGAGATGACAATTGCCATCACTCCTTTCGAGGGTCTCTGTGGTTTCCGGCCTCTCCCTGAGATTGCTCACTTCCTCCAGTCAATCCCGCCCCTTCGCAGATTGGTTGGAGAAGACAAGGCGAAGAGCTTTGAGGAGGTCGCATCTGAGGCAAAGGATGACGGTGCAGGCAAAAAAGCCCTCCGGGAAGCATTCACTTCTCTCATGAATGGTGCTGCTGACTCGTTGGCATCTGCAAGCAAGGAGCTCGTAGCCCTGGCCGAGTCGCAAGGCTCTCAGTTTGCCGGGGGAGGCGGATCATCGAATGAGGGCCAGGAGCTTGCTGATTTAGTAACCCGATTGAACGGAGAATTTCCTGGAGATATTGGGCTGTTCGTGTTGTTCTTCCTCAATTTTGTGAAACTGGAGCCGGGTGAGGCGATGTTCTTGCAGGCCGATGATATCCATGCATATATCTCAGGAGGTACGAGTACTGGATATATCGATCAAGGCCCCACTAATGCGATCACAGATATAATTGAGTGCATGGCATCATCAGACAACGTCGTCCGCGCTGGCTTTACACCCAAGTTCAAAGATGTCTCCACTCTGACTTCCATGCTCACATACTCATATGGATCCATCGAGGAGCAGAAGATGGAGCCGGCCCCATACGCACACGTCGTACTCAACGCGAAAGCTTACTCCTCAAACTCATCTGCGACCCTCTACGACCCGCCCATCGAAGAGTTCAGCGTCATCAAGACGGAGCTCAAGAAGAGTGAGGCCAAGGCGACATTCGATCCGATCGCCGGCCCGAGCATCATTATCTGCACGTCCGGAGAAGGTACGGTGTCGGTGGGGCCGAAGCAGGAGACGGTAAAGCCGGGATATGTATTCTTCGTTGGTGCTACTGCGGAGTGTGTCATTGAAAGCACTGGTGAGGACCCGCTCATAGCGTTTCAGGCGTTCTGCGAGTTGGGCAGTAAGAGTCAACTATAAGCAGGTTCAGAGGAAACAGGCTGGACAAAAGCAGCATTAGGCGGCAATCACGGTAACATGAAAAAACTCAAGGTTGAATGGTGCAGATCATGCTGCTTTTTGGTGGTTGTGAAACCAATCGTAGTATCCATAGTGCTTGAGAGCATAACCAGAACGCCAGGGTTGCCAATGAGACGCTACTCAATGGGCATCAGGGTATTTCCAGCCGTGCCATAACTCATCATGTCCTTCTGAACGCCAAATGCAATGATGGTGTGAAGGGACTGCGACTAAGCCGCGCGTTCTTCGTCCTTCTCATCCTCCTCCTCGTCGCTGCTGTCGTCCCTCTCCGGCCACCCCGCTAATCGTCGAAGCGTGCGATTCTCGTTCTTCAGCCCCGCGATGCGCCGGATATAGGGGAGCCTCGCCTCGCTACTGTGGTTGAGCGCCTCGCGCGCATAGGTGTTGACGCGACGAAGCCCATCCTGCCAATCGACCAGCTGCAGGCGCATCTGGAGGTTCGCTGCGCGTTCCTGTTCGAGCAGATGGTTGTAGTGCGCCTTGGTCGCGTTGATGGCTTGCGCGTGGTGGTATGCGTACGGGCGCAGCTTGGTGAGGATGAGCTCCATGGCGTTCTCGAAGTCGGTGACCAGTTGCTTGAATTCCTCGTTGGAGGCTTCGAGGGCGGCGACCTTGCGGTTCGCGGCGGAGAGCTGGTTATGGACGGTCGCGAGTTCGGCGGCACGGTTGGCTTGAAGTTCGCCGTTCACTTCGGTGATGGTAGGAGAGGCACCGTCTTCCGCTGCGCGGACCTGTGAAAGGAGTTCTGTTAGAATAGGTCGTATATGATATCACTAGCCAATCTTACCTGAATCTGCTGAACTCCATTGAGGATATGCGAAACGTGGGCTCGGTTCTCGGCCAATTGCGCAGATAATTCCTGCACCATGTTCCAGAGATGATTCATGTCCATCTGGTGTCCCGCCTGCGGAAGCGGTCCACCGAGGCCGAGTGCCGCTCCACCAATTCCATTTGGTTGATGTGGTCCTGGTCCGGGAGAAGGCGCCTGCCTGGGAACGTTGCCTGCCATCGCGCCGGGAGATTCAATCAGAGGGAAGCCGGTCATGCTTCCCGAGCGGCGGGGCTGGTGCTTTTGGAATTGGTCCTTTCGGAACGGGCGCTTGATGCGAGCGGGATAGGGAACTTCGCCAGGGGTTGGAAGCGGGCTTCGAGGATAGAAGGAAGGTGCAGTAGCACGGAAGGGAGGTTGGATAGGAAGCGCAGGGAGTGGATGGGACACTTCAATTTGCTTCCCCTTTCCTTTGTGCACAGGAGCGAAGATGACCGTTTCAGCACTGGCAGATCGTGAGTGACTTAGAGATGATTTGGCTGTGAGAGCAAGGGTTAGTTAGCTATCCGGAGAAGCAACGGATAAAATGCGGCTAAACTCCGGTTAAACCCCGAAGGCTTATTAGGAATGCTCTGATCGATGGCACGGACCATCCCCAGATAGGCCTTGAGTATTATGGTGATCGAATTGATATACTTTCCTCACCGCACAGCATATAATGGAAACCGACCCTGGGAGTGGCTGTCGTAGTGTGACTTACTTGACATCTTGTCCCAAATCCCCTCCCACTCATTCTGGGCGGGATAAAAGGAGTTGGACTTCTTGCCGTTCATCTTGTTCCTAATAATAATGTCATCCTCGTCAGTCCTGGTGCTCGCGAAAAAGGCATTTTTCCGTGCATACTCATTCTACGTTGTTAAGTCGAGAAGTTAAAGAATGAATGGAGAGGAAAAATTAAGTTCACAAACATCGTGTGCTGAAGGCATCGCAAACGAACGCAATGGGCAACGACACATGCACTGTTTCGCGGACCCTGACGCTGCTCACCTGGCACGAGCAGATATTACAACTATTAACTACTGTTCTTGCATTTATAGCCTTCTGAGAATATTTCCAGGGTGGGTAGGGCACGGAAAAAGACTCATCATGGAGCGTATACCGCATCCGCAGATGCTATGGGAGTATGTTCAAGATCATGATTTCGTAGAGAACTATCCACTATTGTATACTACATTTCATTCCTTCATTGTGGCAACTCGGGCAGCTACCCGTATGCCCAGTGCATGAGTCTTCTCGAGTTCAGCAGCCAGTTCGGAATCACGGGTTACAAGATTGGGTTGGACACTCTCTAGTGGCTGCTGGAACGGGGCCAACAGGGACTCCAATTGTTGATATGATTCCAACTTGTTTCTCAGAGCTTTGCGACGCTCAGACAGACTTTGGAGCTTCTTGGTTAGAGCACGGTATCTACTGCGGATTAGTTCCTGTCCGACAAAAGCGATCGCGACTCCTGGCATTACTCACTCCTCTTGAGCCTCCTCTGTTGCTGTGGGATCATCTTCATCTTCCCATTCCTCTGGTAGCTTGTCAATGTGCCTTGATATAAGTCAGTGACTAATTGTAGCTAGGCCTCCGCACCATAGTTACCTTTGCTCGGTGAAGTCGTCATGAACGCGAAGCAAAGCACTCGTGTCTTCCGAGCCCGGGTTTGACGAGTAAAGATCCACTCCTCCAGCATTCCAGTACAGCTTGTCAATCTGCTCAGCAACATGCTGAATGCTCAGCGAGGAGTAGACTGATTTGTTATGCCGTCGTAGAATTCGGTTCACTGCCATCCTTAATTCCCATATACTTATTTCGAAAATGTTGTAGGATAGATACCTTCACGCAACACATCTCGCACAGTCTCATCCGGCAAGTTATTCTCTTGTTTAGAGTTCCGCTCCGCCCATCTTGATGACGGCTGCACGGGTTGGGTAAGGAGACGCGTTTGCGATCGAAGAAATGAGCTCTTGACAGAGACAACTGTGGAGTCACCCATCGTGAAGACTTGGCAATCATGTGGGATGTCTCATAGATGTTACATCTCCTCAAGCATTGGAGGTGTGGATTCACAATAATTCTTGTCCTTTCCAGTCGCAGGTGCATCACCGTCTCATGCCGGTGCAAGGCCCAAAAGTGAATCAACACGAGACAACGCGTTGTCACGTGACATGACGTGCAAATATCGTGCTTTCGAATGCCTAATAGCTGAATATCTCACACGCGAAACGGTTTCATCAGCGAAATATACTAATTAATTGGAGCCCTTTCAAAATGGTTTGTCTGTGTGGAATCTACTAGGCTATATCAAGATTATTAACGGCATCTGACTCAGGTTCATCATGCGGAGGCATCAACATTCGAGCAAGGCCTGTCGAAGGCACAAGCCTATGCGCGAGTGTTAGAGGAGGCGGAAGCTTTGTTTGCTGGGCAAAGAAATTGGGTGAGCATATATCCGAACACTAGAGATGAATATCTGCTCATTTAATATATGTAGGTCAGGTAGGTGCTTGATTGCTGATCAATCCGCTCTTCCGGGACTGATGCTAAAGTTGATTCCAGTAATCTCTCGAACGCATCCTCACTGTTGCATCACGCCCTAAAGTCTGTTGATGGACCTGTCTCTGCCATCAACTGGTGTGGTTTCTATTTTATCAATCCACTCAATCACCAGGAGCTGATTCTGGGTCCGTTCCATGGCCATGTTGCTTGTCAAAGCATCAAGGTCGGGCAAGGTGTCTGTGGCGCTGCCGCTGCCACTATGATGACGGAAGTGGTTCCCAATGTGGATGAATTCCCTGGTCATATCGCGTGCGATTCTAACAGTAAGAGCGAGATCGTGGTTCCCATCATTCAGAACTCAAAGGTATGGCAGAGGAGATTCCCTGGTCCAATGTAGAAGCATGACAGTACTTGTGACTGACTATGGTGTAGGTTGTTGCGATCATCGATATTGATTGCAGTGAGTTGAACGGGTTCAACTCTGAAGATGCACAGCTTTTGGAGAAGCTCGCTAATCTAATCGCCGAAACTTGCGATTTTTGAATTGCGTAGTCCCACCCTTTACAGGACTATTTACAACTACATAGGATGCCTCAAACCATAGCATATCCCTCACTCATCCCTTCTTGTTACTATGCAAGATGCAGTTCACTGGAACTTTGCACAATGGGTATAGTTTGAGCCATCCTCTTTCTCTTAGTCCACATAGGGGTACACAGCAATTGAGCCCTTCGTTACGATTTTGGGTGGCACACCTATTCCTGACCCAACTACATTCATTTGATGAAATTTAGAAAATATGTCATTCCTATCCTACCTCATTATGGCTTGGACTTCCAAATAGCTTGATTGTAGTTAAGTCAACCCCCTACTCAGAAACCACATCCAGATGATAGTAGTGCACATCGAACTAGCCTGATGGACACAACCTAACGAAATGGAGGCATGGGCACTAGGCGAAATCTCCGGAGAAGACCCACGCGTCGCTGTCCAGATGCCTTTTGGGATGGGAACAGGCTGTCAATTTCCTATGAACAGATGGTGCTTGCATCCGTCCAAGGGTCGTATCGCCAACCAGTTCAATACCGTAGGTTTGGTCATGTTCAAGGGGCTCCGAGTAGGAGGCAAATTCTTGTAAGAATTAGGGGATATCAGGCAAGCCGCCACGATGGTCCAGAATGGAACTCTTAAGCTAAGGGATATCGGCGTCTCCGTTACTGGCACTTATCATCTCGAACTGCTTTTCTATGCAGACCGAACGTGTCGTCGCGGCTAGGGTAAAAGAGGGACTCCTGACTCGGTGACTCCGGAGCCATAAACTCTTTCACGTCATTGCGTCGTTAAAAACCGAATCTATATAAAACACACCCGGTCTTCGGACTCAGATTAGACTGATATATTTGGACTTACCTTCAAATCGATCTGGTACGAACACAAGCAGTCGAGAACTCGAGATACTGAAACCTCGGTGTGGACCCTGAATTGATTGGACGACTTCGCGCTGGCAACATGTCGTGGCAGAGAACGGCGGAATAGGATAGCCGACCTATTTGATCGCTCCTCGTCAATCGTTACCTTCCAACTGATTAGTCTTTTGCATTCGTTTCGCTTCAATGTACATATCAAGCTTGTAAACAATATACACTATTCGTTTCCCGACAATGGCACACAATTTGGACTCGTTTACACAGTTGGGAGGCAGAGGTGAGTCCCCAGCCTTGAGACGAAATGCCGCCATCGGGACCCAAGCGCTAACAGGAACTTGAACGCCAGCATTCAATCACGACGCAAACAGAGACTCCGAACAAGAATATGACCGACTTCGAGACCTTGCGCGACGAGAGTTCGATAGAGAAAACCAACTGCGACGCGACGCCCGGGAAGCGGGACAGCGACGCGACTATGGAGAGAAGGACCGACTACATCGGCAGGCCGATGATCACGAGAAGAAGGGACAGCAATATAATAAACAAGCGTCGGAGTTTATATTCCGGGAGAACAACGCGCCGGGAAGAGTACAAGGGGACGAGATAGATCTGCATGGTCAATACGTGCAGGAAGCGGAGCAGATCTTGCGGGAACGCATTTCGGTCGACCGACGGCGGAATCAAACCCATCTGCATGTGTAAGTTATCTATCCATGGGTTGCTACCCATTGGCAAGGATAGGACTAATGCGTTCTTTGCAGCATTGTTGGGAAAGGGAATCACTCTACTGGCCACATACCAAAGCTGAGGCAGGCTGTAGAAGAATTGCTTCGAGAAGAGGGACTCCAATTCCAAGTTGAACAGAACCAAGGGCGGCTTTATGTTAATCTGGCAGGTGGACCAGCCATCTTGCCTCAACCTGGCCATCCAGGGGCCAGTAGTGGACACGGGCATGCACAAGGAGGGCACCAGCAGCAACATGTTCAACATTCTCAACATCATGGCCAAGCACAAGCAGGATATCAGCAACCACATGCTCAACAACATCATGGGCAGGCCCACCAGCAGCAACAGTACAGTCATGTTGAGGAAGCAGTGAAAAAGGGGGGTCCGAAGCTTTTCAAAGCTCTTCGTGGATGTTGTGTGGTGATGTGATGGTTATGAAGTCACAAGACGAGTTTCACGGATGTTTATGCAAGGGACTGGACAGGATCATCGGGTTGCTGTCCGTATACAGCGCTGCAGGAGGCACTTACGTTCCATAAATGTATCAAAGTCCTCAGCCAAAGAGCGCTTTCTGTGTGTCATACGTATACTTCAGATCAAGGTGCCAATAGTTGGCCGTCGTCGCTTTGTTGATCAGCCATGCCTCATCAAGGGCCTTGACCACTTCCTCTGGCAGAGGGCCTTTCTCGAGGTCGGCCAGGTTGCCTTTCAATTGGTTGATGCTACTCACGCCGATAATGATGCCATCATTTCCGTCCTTGATGTTGAGGGCCGAGTGGTGGACGACCCATCGCAAGGCGGTCTCGAGAAGGGTCAGATCGTGCTTCTGCACCACCGGCTCGAGGATGCGGAGCGCGTCAAAGATTGAATCCTTGAAGTATCGATTGCGATAATTCGAGCCCATCTTCCCGCCTGCTTCGCTGTATCGTCCTTCCTTTGGAATCTCCTTGGTCTTGTACTTGCCAGAGAAGAGTCCACCGGCCAGGGGGTTGTAAACCACAATGTCGAGGCCATAGCGACGGCATGCAACTACCAACTCAGCCTCGATTGAGCGCGCTATTACTGTCAGAAGACGTAAGAACAGTCTTTGGGGTTCACTTACTGATTGCATTGTACATGGCTTGATAGATCGTTGGCCGCACCCATCCATTTGCCTTGCATGTCAGGACAACCTCCGCAACTTCAAAGGCAGTGTAGTTGCTTAGACCTAGCTGCACAAACTTGCCTTGTTTGTAGAGTTCATTGACGGCTTCTAGGGTTTCCGCAAACTGATTATATGTTAGTATGCACTTCATATTCTGGACACATTTGATTTGCGGCTCACTGACCGGGACGCTCCTATCCGCAGCATGAAGGTAAAAGATATCCACTTTATCAGACTTCAGCTCCGACAAGCTCTTGTTGAAAGTGTTCGTCAGGACTTCCGGCTTGTGCAGGCCTGGCTGGGAGGGATACGCCTTGGTAGCGATAGTCAATCCACGCTCTTTCCATTTGGCTTCGGCACTGAATGCTTCCTGTTTTCCCCCTACGTACGTTCTGGCTGTATCAATCTCGTTATAGCCTTGACTTTGGAAATAGTCCAAGCATTCGTTGAAGTCGTCGAGAGACGTCACGCGGGCGCCTTGACTCTCATCTGGCCCAAAGGTCATCAGGCCCAGGATAACCCGGTCTTTCGGCCGCTTAGCAACAAGAGGCATTTTGCAAGTGTAATATCGACGATGGTACTTTCACAGGGGAAAATGGGGGTGGTGCGGGGGCGATGGGGGCATTCGATGCTTTTATACTTTCGGGTTTGGATGGTCGGGATAACACATGTATTATGCACTTATGCTCAGCGGAGTTGGGACGTAATCTATGATGAGCTCTCCGAATTCGGATAGATAGCAGCTACCGGCTACTTAATATAGTAACTAGCACCCGCAGATTGAGACCAATTGAAGCTATCTGAGAGCTTTTCGGCTTGGGGGTGTTCTTGCTCGCAGGAGCGCTCGTGTTGAGATTGGAGTCACAGTGCGGAGTACGTAGTAAGATGCAGTTGGGGATCGCTGGTCCACGTCAGTAGCGGCGATGATGCAAGATTCCATCTTAATTCGGCAGGGCTATGGTACCAAGCTCGAAGTTACTTCAGAGGGTGGTTAATTAGCTACTGTTTCCAGGTGTTAGATACGGATTTCCTAGCGGTCTCGCGCTGGAGCGGTGCGTGTGACGATTGGAGATGACCCCTGCGTCCAGATGATCAGCACGGCTGAGAATGTACTGGTATCCATACTACACGTACACCACACCGGGAAGTTCGGAGACTCGGCACCCCTTCTTTGATTTGCTTCAACCAACACTGCACTATACAGTTTAGTCGTGGATATCTGCAGAAGCTTTGTCTTGTCCCATGTTCATACTACATCTCACTTCATATGGTTCACGACCGCCATAACGGTTCTGCTCGAAAGGGGGTGACACCTGGGCATTCCGACACATTTCATAATCATTCTGACGACTGGGAGCGTGGTACGAATCCACCGATTTCCTCTCAATGTCAAGTCACAGCGACGGACGGAACTCACACTGCGGGAAGAATCATAGATCCGAAGCCCATATCGGCCGCAGAGAGCGAAGACTCGGATAGCGACTTCGATCTCGATGCCTGGGGGGGTGAACTCGATCCCCTCCACCCCATCGCCGATATGCCTTCCGATCTTCGTCCTTCTTCGCAGCGAACCCGTTCGGAGGGTCGATCGCGTCAACCGTTGCTTTCCGAGGAGAATCTAGAATCGCAGGCTGTCTACAACTCTCCTCCGCCGCCAGCTAGAAGTCGGACGTCCACCTTCCATGAACGGGACCCCGAGGTTGCCGCAAAGCAAGCGACCAGGACCCGGTATACGTACGCTGGATTTTTCCTATTGCTTAGCTTGATCAGCTTTGCGGTGCAGACCGAGACGGCTGTGTATATTCAGACAAATTTGCATTGGAATAAAGCGTATTGCATGCTGTAAGTTCCAGCCGGCTTCCCCTCCCAGGCCCCAGCAGGCAATCCAAACCTGACAGGGCGTTCGTATTAGGTACTTGACCCACGGATCATGGTCTCTCCTTTGGCCAACACAGCTACTCATTCTGAGACTTCAGAAATGGAATATGCCATGGAACGTGTTCTGGAAACGGCATGTACAAATACTCCGGCAAACCGGTCAGATGGTTGAACACCAGACTCTGCGACTCAATCCCTACCAGGTCGCCAAGTCCCCAGTCCCGTATATGATCCGAACGACGGCTTTTGTAACTTCCGCACTCACAGTCGCCGGGGGTACTTGGTATCTAGCGGTGGATCTAACAACGGCGAGCGATCTGACCGCGATCTACAACTGCTCCGCATTCTTTGCTTATGCTTTCAGTATTCCGATCTTGCGCGAGAAGCTCCGGTGGTCTAAGGTCCTAGCTGTAGCCATTGCGATTGCCGGTGTGCTAGTCGTTGCGTACGGTGGGCAGGCTCCTGGGAAACATGGAAGTAAAGGAGGTGGTGGAACTGGAGGTCCCGACACGCAGCTGCCCGATCACGAACCGAAGAATCGATCGTTGGGTAACCTCATCATCGGTCTGGGAAGCGTCCTCTACGGCTTCTATGAAGTCCTGTACAAAAGGGTTGCCTGTCCTCCTGATAGCACGAGTCCCGGGCGCGGCATGATTTTCGCCAACACCTTCGGTAGCTGCATTGGAGTCTTCACACTTTGTATCCTTTGGATACCCTTACCGATCCTCCATATGACTGGGTTGGAAGAATTTGAACTGCCTCGAGGCGAGGCTGCTTGGATGATGGCTATCAGCGTTTTGTCAAATGCAGGTATGTTCTCGTCAAACGTGGAAATCCTGAAATCTGGGGCAAGATCATCAGCTAATGTGATCTCAGTATTCTCCGGCTCTTTCCTTGTCTTGATCAGCCTGACATCGCCGGTATTGTCATCGGTGGCTGCACTACTCACGATCTTCATCGTTGCTATTATAGACGAGCTCCTCCCGGAGCCGTTGAAGTCGCCTCTCACTCCGGCTGCTATCGGAGGCGGTCTTCTGATCATTTTCGCATTCCTTCTGCTTAGTTGGGCTACATACAAGGAAATGGGCGAGGAACGTCGACAAAAGTTAGAGCAGTACGAGATCGCTGAAAGCGACATAGACGATTGATGGGTTTCTCGGATTCCTCGAGTATCGGCCGGCCGGCATAGTGGTGTCGTTTGCGATATAAAGCGCAGCACGGTCGAGATTGGGGCCATCATATATGCATTTGCAGGCGCATGTTGTTGAACAGCTGGGTCTTGGCGATCCAATATGGATCTGGTAATTTGGGAAGCATGTTGCCCCAAAACTCTTGTCTGATATTTGTACATGGGATTTGATAAATAGAACACGGCGCGAATGACACATTCTGTGCACCGGAATTCCTTACGCGTACTGTTGCACCAAGTCCTCGGTTGCTTGTTCGTGTCCACGCGCATTGCGTTTGGAATTGCACAGCCTCAGTGTTTCACTTGCCCTGGCCGCTTGCTAGATAATGTACCTGGGTGGGTACAGCTTAGCTTTCTCAGTCTAGGTTTTGGGAAGTTCAGAGTGCCTGGTTGAAATCAATTTTAATACCAGTAGGCAGCAGGATCAACATGCTTTCAACATGAGTGTACTGGTTCCTCCTAGGCTTTTGTCCTCATCCTTGACGTCCTGTTCTCATGTTTGATGGCATCTTGTACGGTTATCCTTTTATTCTTGTCTGCTTGAGCTTTAAGTCAGCGTTATGAAATGGTCGGCATTTGTCAGAGCTGTCAGTCCCTTGTAGAGCAGGCTCTAGAATCACGACACCGGTATGGCAGCGAACATGCCGATCTGGACTTGAAGACCCTCCTCTCTCGTCGATCGTCCTGCACATTCTGTGACTTTATTTTGAGGATCTTTTATCCAAGCTCCAGCTATGGCGCCAACAATCCGAGTCCAGAGAGTACTATACTTGCGATGTCAACTGCCATAGGCTCTTATTGGGACCGAGCTCAATATGTTCCTTTGAAGAGGCTCGAATTGACAGTATTCGGGGACGATGATGGCTTGGGAGGGACGGAATCAACCAAATCAGCTTTCGTCCTTCCGCTCCGTCCCCCTGGGCTATCGTCCCTTTGTTGTGGAAGACGAGTCAAACCGAGCCTAGATTTTGGCCTCGTCCAAGAGTGGTTAGATCTCTGCGATACGAAACACTCTCACTCTTCCCAGGAACCGTCTGCTGAGGCGCTTGCCCTTCCATTCCGTTTGATCGATACTCAGAAAGCATGCGTTGTGGAGTTAGAGATTACCTCCAGATATGCTGCTCTGAGCTATGTTTGGGGCGATTGCAAAAGGCTATTGTTGAACAAAGATACATATCCGATGTTGACAACGCCCCATGCTTTGGACTCCTCTCGGACTGAAGTGCCCGCGACGTTCCGAGACGCGATTGAGCTTGCACAGCGGTTGGGCTTTCAGTATCTTTGGATTGACGCTCTGTGCATCGTCCAGGAACGAGCTGAGAGCGCCTTCAAGAATCACTTGAAGTTGATGAACGAGATTTATGACAATGCTCAACTCACTATAGTGAGCGGCATGCCAAACGCCGAAACCGGATTGCCCGGCATGAGATCGCACCCTAGGTCTCCAGTTCAACAGGAGGTGACCCATGGAGACCTTCACTTTTCCAGTGCGCAACCTTTCGCTCAAGCTATCGGAAATTTACCGTGGGAAAGTCGCGGCTGGACACTACAAGAGAAGATCTTCTCAACGCGGCTCCTTATCTTTACCGAAAGCCAAGCATTTTATCAATGCCAGAGTGCAGTTTGGCAGGAGGATACGATCCTCGAGTCCGAAGCCCTCGGTCTTCCCCAATTATATCTTGAAGAGCACAGCCGTGAGGGACACAAGTCTTTTGAGCAGCCAGGACACGCCAAATACAGGAGGTCAATGTCCGATCCATTTCCGACGTCTGGGTACAAGTCCACCATAACCGTCTACTCCCAGCGTGACCTCACCAACGATGAGGATGTTTTGTTTGCCTTAGAAGGGATCTTGTCCAATCTAAAGCCGCGACTCGGTCCTCATTTTTCGGGTATACCGTCCTTGATCTTTGGTGAAGGACTGCTGTGGAGATTTGAGGATCCACGGACCCTTCAGCGACGAATAGAATTCCCAACCTGGTCATTCCTGGGCTGGAAAAGTCCAGAGAAATATCCAGTCTCCTTTCAGGAGGCTTGTTCGAGACGTACCAACTTCCACATTTCCTTCCATCGCCTGGATTGGGCGAAGGGGGATCTTTCCCCGTCCCTACGTTTGATTGAAAGCCAGCCTGGAAGCTCCAGTGAGTACGGTGGGCAGACCGAGGAATGGCCACGATATCGCAAGCCAGCTTTCAGACCACTGAAGCGCATTTCAATTCAGCTTCTAAACAGAGTATCGACGAGTCCATCTTCGTCCTCTGTGGCTAAGAGATCGCTTAGTTTTGACCCTGCGAAAGATCACCTCTCACTCACGCTCTCTCCCGTTGCGATAAATGGAGCTCAATATACATCGCAACTGAAAATCAGCCGGCAAAGTTTAAGATCAGTGGTCTCGCAGACGATCTGCTTCCTGACAATGACAGCAAAGCTTCTTATTGCCGAGGAGACTCTTATATCGTTAGATCCAAAACTGCCAAACGAAGGTCACATTATTCGAAATCCTGTCTCTTTGGAGGAGATAGGAACAATTGTGCTCCCTGAGTTTTATCAAGTTGAACAATCGAAATTGGGTGATTTCATCGTCGTAAATACGGGAATGACAAGTTTGTCAAGGAAGAGCAGGCGAGAATATTTAGAGGGTGAGGACGAGATTGATGAGGTTGATGAGGAGGTGATGTCTGTGATGCTGATTGAGTATCGGGATGGCATAGCATATCGAGTGCAACTGTGCGATGATGTCGTACTATTGAACAAATGGAAGAGTGTCAATCCAAAGTGGCAGGCGATTGCAATGGCTTGAGGAGTGAGGGAGTCGAACTGACTTGTTGAGTTTTCAAGATTAACATGAAAGGGGTCATATTCGCCTAAGTTTACATATCAATCAATTAAACCAACTTGCCTTCAAGGCAGCTAAGATGGTCAAGCCAGTAAATAGCAGTTATCCCGGGACGGTAGGCCGGGACAGGAGATTTACCGCGCTGGGATGGACGTTCGATTCCTCCGTGGAGGCCACTCTTTTTTTCTTTTTGCTCCTTTTTAATGCATCACTCATCAATCTATCCTTGGGTTACCTTTCTAGTTTTATCTAAGGGAGTATCATTCGTGGACGCTTGAAGGGGCGTAAAGATTATATCGGTCTCTAGCTTCCATGTCTTGCTAGTGCCATTTCTTTCCCTCTTATGCTAAAAGCAAAGAGTCGTTGTCGAATTTCATTAATTCCAACCTTGCCTATCTTTTGGTCATAATTTATTGGCTTCTCCAGCGGTCTTATCCATTCTACTCATTGACTCTTTCTTGACCATATTTTCCTATGTCAGTCATCATAAGGGGGCATATAAACCTCTGCCGGGCTACACACGCCTTATCGCCAACCTTCTTCAAGCTACAACACTATTACCAAGGAAACTGGGATCACCAAAATCGAACGAGGGAAGACTTGGGTCTTCGTCGGGGGCGGCTGATCTCCCTCTAGGTTGGAACTGTGCCTCCCACGAACCGGAAGCTCAAGTGTCCAGCTCAAAAAACAGTGAAGAAACTGATCATGGTGTTGATGGCACAACAAGCGGGAGAGGAGACAGCCGAGAGTCTGATATTGGAACTGGAACAAAACCTGAGAGCGAGGGAGGAGCCCTGCGCATACAGCGGCAGCGGAGAACCAAGAAGTACAAGATCAGGGCAACGAGCAAGGCCCTAAACTGTAGGCGTCTGAACATCTTCAAGACACAACTGTAGGCGAGACAATCAAAGAGGGACATAGGGATGCAGGGCAATCGTCCCTCTTTGAGGTATGTCTCGAAGTACTTGTTCCCAAATCGCTTGGTCACTTTGAAAGCACTATCACTAGAATTCTAGCTTTTTCTCAGTTTTACACTGCTCTACTTAAGTACCTTATGCGTGTTAGACGTTGTAAGACCTACTCGGCACTAACGCCTGCTCTTGTAGCTCGGCCCTCTAGACCCAATTCTGATCGTGAAACGGCCAGCCAATATTCCCCCCAGCACCCCAGCACCAGCACTGGAAGTCAAATGGCACCTTTACATGCCGCCTTATTCGAAGGTTATGTTAGGAATGCCGAATCTCGGCACCGTACTTATACCTACCGACCCTGATATCCCGAAATCTCTAGCTTCAAAGTATTACACGCCGGCGCTGGACTTCCTGTGCCAAGGAGTACGAGATACAGAGTCTGTGATGAAGCACAGTGCTTTGTATGATTTCTCAGACAGTTTGATTCGTGACTCACTGAGTCACTGGAGAACAGACCACTGCCTCGATATCTGATCCAGCGGGTGGTCCAATTGCTCTATATCCAATCCAATATTCCATTCAGAGCTGCATTCAAAACTGCAATCAAAAAGATGATGAGGAAATGCGAATATATGAAGGAGGCACTGAACAAGGAATCTGCTGAAATGAAGGAGCCTAACAAAGCAAAAATGGAACTGATTCCTCAAGATGCACATTTCATTTGCATGATCACACACTAGGCAGTGAATGCTGAAAAGGATATCGGTGAGATATGTTGAATCCTCAGGGCCTTGAGAAACCAACTCAGTGTATTCAATGCTTTCAGGGGCTCCGGCTATCATAAAGATATGACGAACAGGTTCAAAATAGACACCACGACTGAAAATGAAGATTAAGAAAACTTGTACAAACATTGTCAAGAAAATAATTCGGCTTCATATGTCTATATCTTTTCCTGTCTACGAATGCCATACTGGATTTGATGTTCAGCATCATGTCCATACTTCAACCCTTTCTGGAGCCAAATCCACTTTTGGTTCGTTCCCCTGGACCAGAATTTGGCACTAATATCCAGCATGGCATTCTAGCCATCACGGTACATATCCGCGTAGAGAATATTCGCCATTTTTCTCACTGCTGCTGCTGTGACCAACCGTCCCATCATCATCATCATCATCATCATCATCATCATCATCATCATCACCATCATCACTCTGCAGAAAAAATGAATAAAAAGTAGTCCAAGCGGGATCTGAAGGTTGGATTGCACACCGCACCCCCGGGTCCGGTTGGATTAACTCCCCCCTTCGCCAATTTTTTATAGGATTGGTAATGGCCACGCCGCCCCTCCCGGGTCAGATTGGAGAACGTCTCATTAACTTCCCCCTTCGCCAAGTTTTTAATAAGATTGGTAGTAACGCCAGCTAGACTACACAGGGCTTTATGTAAAGAGAGCTACAATCAATAAATATATACACGATCCTGTTTGGGGGAAAGAGGGGGGAAGAGGGGTGAATCCTAATACGCAGGTGAAAGGATCGTTCTTACATCCGGCCGTCTGGTTACCGCACCATATATTTCCCCTAGCTCTTTTGATATCGATATCAATAGTGTGAAGTACAGAGCATAGGAGACTCGTTGGAGTATGGTACAAGAAGCGAACAAAACACGGTAGATAGGAGACCTTACGACAGAACTTACATAGTAGGGGCGATCTGTACCATCATGATTCAGGTCCTCAGGATCCTACGGAGGGGATACAAGCCCAAAGCGACGGGGGCTTTCAGCAGACTCCTTGCCATGGAGCAAAACCGATTCATACGAACTGAACGCACTGATGATGACCGACATACGGACAGCCTCGTGGAACCACTGACGCTCATACTCATTGAACGAGCCAAACTTCGTCACCAGAACCCCTTCCTTTTCCCAACAAACAATCCAATGTTACCATCTAAGTGAGTCGGTGAAGACTGACCGGCACCATCTCTCTCGATGCATCATCGGCGGTTCTTCTCTATACGGCAAGGGGGGTCTTTCGCATCTACATGTGCATGCATTTCCCCATTTGATGACCATGACCGCGTTGATGGAAGCACAATCGAATAAAAGCGTGCGAGTTACTCTGCAGAGCAATCGGAGTTATCATTCGGGGAACAACGGATATACAGGAGCGGTACACGACATCGGGAAATTGCGCCAGAGCCTTGCAAACGGCTCACATGTGGTTGATAGAGAGTCGTACCAGGTGCTCGGTTCGTGTTGCTTGCTCACCGCCACGATGGGTAACACCAATCGTGATGAATGCTGTGAGGTCGAGGCTTGGGGCGGTACCAGTCGAGTTTCATACTCTGGCCGAGTCAGGGACTGGGTGGGTGAGGAGAGATAACTCTACGCACTGTAGGGAGTAGGGATTAAAGGTATATTAGCCATACCGCCAATATATCCGGATTGAGACCGGGGAACTCTGGTGGTAGTGCTGTGGAAGTTATTAAAAGGGAGGATAGAGAGTAGGCAGTCGTGTACCGAATATCTGCAGGGGAGTTCAGTTGAAGGAGCCGATATATAGAGTACTGTCTATAAATGCGAAACAATTATATGGACTAGAGGTCAGTATATTGAATGCATACTTAGCCATATGTCGTGCATGCTGGAGCATCACCGTCGATGAGTACTCGAGATACCCCCGAGGGTCGACGAAGGGAGCGAGATCGGTGGCTACAATGGGTACTTCACCATCAGGTTCTGCCCTGCTTTCTGAACACCCGTTGACCGTTGTACTGTAACAGCGAGCGACGTCACACCGAGCAGATCACTCCAACGGAGATCCGTCCTGGATCTTGGTGAGCGGCGTTGTGGCGCCTAGGCATACTTCCAAGTGCCGATGTCACCGAGAGCGGCTGCGTGCAAAACCCAACCGGGAAGGCAATCAAGATATGTCCAGGGTCTGAGCGACTAAGATACACGCTTACCGGATGCATGAAGGCTTGGATATCAGAATATATGGATGTTGGATGGTCGCCTCGTCGTCGTCAGCCGTTGCACGTCACTGACATATGTTCTTTCGATCCCGAGAGGCGAGAATCATTCGACAAAAGATCTCCCTTCGATGTCGTCGATGTGCCGGTTACACTCGGAGATCCTTCCAATCCCTTCGTCGATCGCCCAGATCTCCTCCTTTCCCACGCATCCCTCTTGTGGCGAAGCCGTTCATCACCCGTATATATCCAGCGATGTCCCGCCAATCTCTCGGAAACACACGGGTGGTGGCCTCTCGAAGAATCATTTAGCGGGACTGGAAGTAGACACGATCATCGGCCTTCAGCCTTGGCGCGGAGCAGATCTAGAGGCTAAATACAGTAGAGGGGGGCGATATCCTGGGGTGGTGGCAGGGCTTGAGTTGCCTATACTCTATAAAGAGGAATCGTGGGGTGGGGTTTGTGTAACAGAAATAACATAGAGTGGGGCGGGCGGGGGAAGGGTCTGACTTTCAGGACTTCCATCGCTGAACGAAGGCGACTGGAAAGGGTAGGCAAAAGTTTTCTGGTTCAGATGAGTCGCAAGCGCCAGATAGTCGGTCATGGTGAGGGGATCGTCGTCGGGCGCGGTGTCATGATGTACCTCCTACTTCGAGTTGCAGACGTTCACAGGCAAGTGGGACGATTGTTGGATGGAGGGTTTCCCGCAATTGGTCTGCGCGACAGGATAGGGTCTCAAGGTTTCATTAGCGTGGGGATAGATTGGGCGAGGTGGTGAGTCTGCTGCAGGCGAGATGCATCTTCGAGACAGGAGGGGCATGGAGGGGCAACAGTTCATTCATTCGAGCGCGATAACCGCACGACGATTGGGGGTTGGTGCGATGTGATGCACAGTATTTGGCAGGGCTTAGTTATTGGCCACCTCGTTTCGCTTGCTGCGCGTCGGGTACAGCACCATTGGCCTGGTGATTTCAAATGAAACGAGAATCTTCGACAGACGAGAAAGATATGCAACCATGAATGCTCAGCACAGAGAGCGTAGATAGATGGTGTCGTGAAGTTGCTAGGACGACGTGAAGATGAGCCGATGGATACATTAGTGCAGATATTCGCACATTTCGAATATCCACTGATCATGGACTTCCAAGTTGTTCGCGGGGGTAGTGTACCATAGATCTCGTAGGCATCTGGCTCTGGAGAAACTACCTGTACTGATTCCTAGCGGCATCCACGCCGTACGAAACGTCGAGCAGGAGACAGAATAAAGAAACGATGATAATATCCAGCACCCAAGCCGTTTCGTGCAGTCCGATTTCGGTGGTTCGGTTCAAAGAAGGTGCGTGCAGGAGCCGGGAGGCCTGGTCTTGTGAAAGGATGAGCCTGGGAATCCAAATCTTCCGCGTGGGTTAGAGGATTAGGTGCACGGTATCTTTTCATCCATGATCGATCATCCAACCCTCAGGGTCTCGGATGCGCAAAAAGCTTCAAGTTAGACTGGACCCTTTGTAGGTTGGACCTTGTGATGCAAGCCCATGTGATGACCTTTAGAAATGCCATTTACCGGAGTAACCTGACGATCGCGAGTGAGTCCGCAGCCTTTTGCCTTAATACTTGTCTTACTCATTAAAATTGCCTTCCGGTTGCACCGCATCTCTAGAGTGTTTGGTCGATGTAAGTTGCCGCGCATCCGATGTGGTGTGGGCTGTTGGCTTGGAGTTGGATTTGCCCCTAGCGCATATCTGGTGTCATGCGTGAGATTTGGCATCTCGTTGCTGACCAGACTAAGACGCGTTGTGAAGCCTCACGGCTCATCACCCCGTATTCTCGGATGGAAGCGCCGCCGTGGTCGGGTATGACATAAGTTGCCCCCCCCGAGATGGATCAGATGGTGTTGGATGTTGCGCTAAGATAGGATAGGAATACTTGACTCTACTTAGCCCTGTTTTCCAGCTAGAAATCCCAGAATACACCACCAGTGGCAAGTGCTGAATCATATGGCCAGCTTCATTACATTGAGCTGTATTACGGAATAGAATTGATATCCCATGAGGAATAATGCACAAAGGGATTCACTGACCGGATTGGCCTAGCAGTCCGATATTGATGATACGCCCTGCATCTGCAGTTCTGCACGTCTCAGCGCAATTGATGCATCTCGACGTCCAACTTGGTCTTTACTTGGATGATGACGGGCCGTCAGACAGAAGTCAGAAGGCGGTGTGGAGCCATGGCTGGATTCCTGGTGAGATTGGTGTTCCAAAGTGTTCATGCATCTGCACAAATGCAGACAGAGGCTCTGGCAACCAAACGCCGCCAGTGGCCACCACCAATGCGGGTGATGATGCACTCCGGCCTGGTGATTGGATGGGCGCCCGCTGGGGTTATCAACACTGGTGAGGGGTCCCCATGACGAGACGCGAAGAGGGAGGGAGTGGCATCATGTGGGTCAGGGCTGGATATTACGTTGGTGATGAGAGTGGGGTGGAAGTGGTCCAAGAAGAAATATGGATGGACGGTTTGGGGATAAGGAGAATATAGGGTTTGTGATAGTAAAGGAATCGAGAATGGGTTATGAGGTGTGAGATATCTGTTGACAACTCAATCCTCGACAAAGAGGACGACGATAACGATGTTGAAATAGGATTCTCCTCGCAACACTGTGCATCTCGCTTCAATGTAGCTGGAGGGGTAAAACAGCAGTTGCTTCAATTGGACATGAACATGAATAATGAAACCTTTGAGGCATTGACGCTGAAGGAGTCCGAACGCGCATCGGATGGCTGACCATTCAACAGCTTCATATCAAACTTTCTTTCACACCAGACCACTCTGCATGCTGTGCGTAACTGCAAACCCCTCCAAGGCTCCAACTTCAACGATCCAATTCATCCAATCCTTTGCTGATGTTCCGGACCGACCGGCCTCAAATGCAGATCCCGTCAGCCGCCTCATATGCTCAGAATAATTACCGTGCTCTGTATGGCGCATTCCAAATGGACGAGATCAAGTCCTGATAATCTTATGCTCATCAACTCCGTCTATTCCCTTCTATTATCTAATCTCTCCTGACGGACATGAATGCTGTTGTCCGATGATCGCTGGTGTCAGGCCAATATCACTCGACCGTTTGATATCCATATTCCATGCCCCATAGTCTCGAGGTTCCCTCAATCCCAGTCTAGCCGTTAACTACCGTGGCTATCGTCCAGGGAGGGAGACAAAGGATAGCGCGCCAGGCCGCCAGCACGGCACGATCCCGTCCGTTCGGATCCAGCGCAATCTCCCTGTTGCAACGAACCGTCCTAGCCTCTTGGGTGCCCGAGATAGTCGAGAAATATCGTGTGTCTGTCGACTTGTTGAGCAGGGAGACGTCTAGACGACGCCATTTCGGTGCAAGACCCTGCTCGAGCGAGGACTTGGGGGTACCTATTAGCGAATTTCAAGCGTGCATCCTGTACTTCCTGCGTAATAGTAAGGTCTTTGCTCTTGAGGGTGTGGGCGGCTGCATACGTCCAATCCACTCAGAATCCAGCCCTCACGGTCTCTCGTGCACCTCCATTGGTTCTCCGTGCGAAGTTGCCCGCATCGACGCATCCTGCGAGATTCGCTCTCTCGCGTCGAGGAGGAGTCGAAAGGGTTATCGAATCAAGCCACTCAATTGCAGATCGATTCTATTCCATCGTCGGATCCGCCACCCCTCAGTCTTCAGTCGATCCTCTTTGAACCTTTGAACCGATTGTTCGACGGTTCTTTGTTCATCAGTTGGTATTGCCCGTATTGAGCATCGCGGGTGGGACAGCAGACAGGGGATCATCCCAACTCCCCCAGTCTTCTCTCCATCGGCCCATCCATATCGCTGCCACACTGACCACCTGCACGGCTGCACCACATCGTCCAGTCCCCATCACCGGCAGCCATATTATTATTCTTCCTTGACCCCCAGTCCAATCCGATATCACCGTCCACCATCCCTATTCCCCTCCTCTTCCTCCTCCCTCCTCCTCGACATATCTCGACGGCGTGGTGCTGCTGAGAAACGAGTGCATCCCATCACCTCAATTGCATCTCATTGCATCGCCGTTACATCCCATTAACTTCTCTAGTCCTTCCTTTGCCTTTGGGTTCCCTTCACTTGACTTGTGGCGTGTACGTATTGACGATCTCCTTGTCGGATAGGTTTGTTTGGTGGAGCCAAACAGCCAATCTTTACCGGCTTCTGCCACCATTCTACCCTCCACTACGTCGTGTTGGAAGATCTGACCATATTGTGGCCGGTTTGCTCACGTTGATCAGTTTTCGGTATCTCAGGCGGTCACCTCTAGCCTCTTTTCGCCTTCCTCTCGAACTTCGCGCTCCTTTTGCGGCCTCATACCCCGCCGATATCGATAGACCCTGAATCCATTCCACTCTTTCTTCTTCAACTCCCTCCGAATAGACACTCTCCAACTCCATATCGTCTCGTTGCCGCCTCCCATGTGCGCGACGCTTGCACGGCGATAAAAGATGAACACCGAAGATGGGCAAATCTTCATAAAGGTACGGCTGAATCCCCTTTGCAGATGACTGCGGACTCAACGGGAGATGCAAGGCTCTCATAGATAAAGACCGTCGACATTAACATCACGTACAGAACTTAGCGTCATTCGTACGGACGCACGAGAAAGCTCTCGCAAACGCCCTCCAACTTCAGCGAAACCAACGGCCTCATGGATCGAGTTCGCAGGCTACTGGCAGTATGCCGGTCATGCCAACCACTCCTCAATCCTCGTCCGCCTCGCTTGCGTCGGCGCTGTCCCTCCCATATCTAAGCTTCACATCCTACAACCTCAAGCCGGCGAAACTCACGCTGACTCCACACCATCTGTTCTACCTTCTCTCACGATTTGAAGAACTGGGGGTGCAAGTTGGGCCCATGAATGTGCGGCTGGAGAATATCCATACCGACGTGTCGCCCACGAACTATGTCTCGTTCCTGAACCAGGCACAGAGAAAGAAGTCACGAGGACCGTCCGACCGAGATTCGATCCATTCGGTTTCGAGCATGAGGAGCGTCATGTCAGGAATGTCATCGTTCTGGTCGAGCTTGGGGTTCAGGAAAGACTCCAAGTCGGAAAAACAGAAAGCAGCCATCAAGGAAGATCTTCGATACCTATACTCAGCGTTCACCAAGATTCCGTGCCTTCGACTCTCCCCCGACCACAAAGCGCCTCTTATCGCCGGCTACGAAGAGTTTCCTTTCGATTCGGCCGTTCCGCTGTTCGCTTTTAAGAACCTCGGCGCCCTCGAGATCTACGACGTCGACTTCCGACAGTTCTATGGGTGGGACCGCTTGGCGGAACAACTACGAAGCCTTACCGTAAAACGTGGCGGAGTAGATGACCCTGCGGACCTCCTCATCAACATCGTCCTGGATGATATGGACCGACGGAGACGTCGTTCCGCAAAGGGACAATCCTCACCCGTTCTTCCTGTCCCTGGCTCCAGCCCAGCGCTGAAGAGCGCCGAACTGCACAAGCAAGGCTCGACTCCGAATTCGTTGGGCTCCGAAACCGCTCTGGCCGTCGCGAGCCCACAACGGGAATCGATCGGTCGTACCGGCTCGACGGGATCGACAATATCTCAACGGACGGCTCGACCGCGACAGCGGAGCGTGTCTCCTATGCGAGGCGGCCACAGCTCTCGACCCACGTCGAGCAACTTCGGGCGGAATAGCACTGCGACTCTTCGTCGGTCGTCCGGGAGTTCAGGGTCCAGTCTTCCCTCTGGTACCCCCCGAGGAAGCTCGACGAACTTGTTGTCCCTGAACTACTTTCCATCGACTAAGTGGAGGTTCCTACGGCATCTGAGCCTTGCTGATAATGGGATGACATCGCTCAACGCCGCCAGCTTCGCTCCGGTTGCGAATACCCTACAGAGCTTGGACTTGTCGTCGAACCTGTTCACCGAGATCCCGGATGCCTTGTCATCACTCGTGGCGCTCCGTGCTCTAAACCTTTCGAACTGCATGATCGGGTCGCTGCATTCACTCCTCAGAAACCCCCTTCCGGCCATTTCGACGCTCAATCTCCGTGGCAATCGACTTCGATCGTTGGCTGGGATCGAACGGTTATTATCGCTGCAACGTGTTGACTTCCGGGACAACAAGCTCAGCGATCCGACCGAACTGGCCCGCTTGACCGGAGTGCCCGAGATCCAAGAACTCTTCGTGAACCGCAACCCATTTACGCGAACTCACAGCAACTACCGCGTCACCATCTTCAACCTGTTCCGAGCCACCCCCGGATTCATCGAAGACATCATCATCGACTCGACCCTCCCGAGCTATTCGGAGCGGAAACAGCTCGTCGATCGCGCTCCATTACCACCGAACCTACCCGTCAAACGCGTGGTCGACTCCATGCCTCCCCCACCCATTCCTCCACCAAAAGATACCCCCCCACGACCCGAGGAAGCCGAGACCATTCGACCGCTCGAAATGCCCGAGACGCCGACCCGCCGCTCGTCGAAATACGCGCATGGCCGCACCCGCTCCGACGGGCAACTCCTCTCCTCGGGATCCCACCGACGACGTAAAGGGACCCGCAGACGAATCGTCGAGCTCTCCCGCAACGAGGCCGGCGGAATGAGCGAGACGCTCCCTATCCCCACCGAGTCCTCCTCGCGTGTCGCCACCGACGCGCCCCACGACCCCAGCCAGCCGCCGAACATCTCCTCGATCGACTCCGCATACGGCGGTAGCCCGGACCTCTCCACGTCGCCTCTTCCGCTCCGCTCGCATGGCACCCCTGCCGCGAGTAGTAATGTAGATAACGACCCTCTCACCGACTCTACGAATCCTGCAACCACCTCCAAGGCTGATCGACCCGCTCTCCCCGCCCTCGACACGTTCGTGCAGACCCCACCACGAACTCAGCCGTCTTCGCAGCCTCCACCACCTACCAATCCTCCCCGACTCCTCGCCGCTTCTCCTCCTATACCCCCACAACCGCAGCAACAACCACAGTCACAGTCACAGCCACAACCACAGCCGCAACTACAGCAACAACCACCACAACCCCCGCAACAATCCCCCCAATCCCAACCCTCCCCACACCATTCCCTCCCCACTGACGACCCCTCCTCCGCCTACCGCCGCAAAATCTCCGCCCTCCGCGCCGACCTCGGTCCCGGGTGGCTCAGCGCGCTCAGCGACGACACCTGGGACTCCGAGACGCACAACAAGCCGGCCTCCACCAAGCCGCCCGAGGCCGGACCCGCCACCACCGGGCGCGGATCTGGCTCTAGTAGCGCGAACCGCAGTTTGAGTAACTCCGGGACGCTGAGCATGAGTACAGGCGGGGTGATGCCGGCGGATGTGGCGGCGGGGCATGGGGGCATGGAGGGGATGGGGATTGTTGGGGTGGGGGGACGGACGTTGGGGTAGGTGAGGATTGAGGATGATGGAGAGGGATGAGGGTAAAAGGGGTGCATATGATGGCGTTATGAATGGGATTTATGGTCTGGGTGGAGCAAAATGCATTTGGATATTTGTTGTCGTTTTGCGTTGCTTTGGTCGCTGGTACTGTTCCTGTTCCTGCTACTGTTTCTCGTCCCTGTTTTTCCGGTTCCGACATCTTCTCTCATGATGTTTTCCTCGTCTAATCGTCTCCTGTTTCGAATTCCTTGTCTTTCTCCCTCGATACCACCGCCTCCCGCCGTCCCTGTATTTCTACCCCCTTCCCGACATTTTGTTCGCGTACAGGATATCCCGGTCACCGGCGGGACCAATCGCAAACGCGGAGACATTGTCTTGTCCCTGGGTTTTGTTTTTGTTCGAGGAATTATTACCTTGCAACGTTATCGATATCCTGGGTGGACTGCATTGTGCCGTTTTTCTGTTTTCGATATAGACGGGAATGGGAAACGCGGCGCGGCGCTGGGCTGTGTTGCTCGATGTTAGGTTGGACGGAATTCCTTCGCGGTAATATGCGACACGGCCTGATTGACGGAGAGATGATTCTTGATATCACAGCGGTGCGTTTTTCCGTGTTTCGGCTCGCTGATCTACGGTTTCTCTGTTCTGCACCATATCCGACGGGTTTCTTCCTCTTTTTTCCGTTATTGGCAGTGCGGGTTTTTTCTCGCTGCATCGTTCGGAGTAGTCGATCTGATGGAGACTGCAACGGCATGAGATATGGTACTTTACGGTGAAATGCATTTCGCATGAATTGAATCGGAATGGTTGTTCGATGGTCTTTCCGGTGCCGCTCTCTGCTTCCTTTCCAGTGATAACTCCCGTGATGCGTCCATCGAACCAATGCGTCCATTGACCTGGGCGACATCCTTTGCCAGTCCTATCTAGTTAGCGGAACCGAGGATTCCCCCCTCCCGCGTGGAGCGAATGATATGTGCCCCCCTTGATGTCCCTCGGATTGGATGGAATAGGCGCCAGGTACCATGCAGCAGATGTCGAAAGTAGATGCATACATATATAAGCGAATGACACCTTAGGTAGGAGCTGTCGAAGTGGAACAGGAGGTTAATGGACTCGTTTATGGATGAATAGGAGTTGAGGGGTTGTGCAGCACTACGTTTCTAGCGGGCTGAGATTCACATGCATAGACGGATGGCATTGTGGTCGGCGGTATAGGATTGTGTGAATTCCATTCATTGCTTGATCTGAATATAGAATCAGGTACCTACTGCAGTGATACATGACACTCCACAGCTTCAACGTCGTGGGAAACGCCACATGCGCGTGGTTTACAGTATGTTCCCAGAACATACCAGCAAGGACCAAACCTTTATGTACGCAGAAGGGGTGACTTCCGTACTTAAGTGGCAACGATTGAAGCTATTATTGATGTCTAACGGCCGGTGGGGCATTGTTCACAGTCAATGCAGGAGATAATTGGATGAGAGGTGGTGATGGTCCCCGGTTGATGTATGGCTTCCCCGTGGGGGAGATTTGTTGTCATTCTGACCGGTTGAGATGATGGGATTCCGTCGGGCACCGGGCGGTGGAATGTGGGACTCAGCACTCTCCGAAGGGTTGGATGGTGCTCTGTTGCTTCGTCTCAGCTACGATGGTTATGATTGTAGAGATATGATTCGTTTCCAAATAGAATGATATACCGTAAACGATCTGATGTATGTACATTTACATAGTACGGAATAGTGTAGTGTATTCCACAAGGAACATAACTTAATTAAGCCTGTAACTTGTAAGTTAAGCACCGGAGGATTAGTAAGAGTTATTATTCCCGATTGCGTGTCAAATGTCAAGCGTCAACTCTGAACTCGCGCTTCAACACTCAGTCCTGAAACGGCGTGAGCACAACTGACAACGTCTTCCTCTTCTCACTCTTTCTTGAAAATCATCCCTCTCACATCCATATCCACCTCCATCCCATTGATCGGGAGCTGTCCAACCCACACATATCGAGCTTCGACCTGTGTCATCCTTGCCCGAAACCACCATTCTTGAGCCTCGACCACCAATTCCCCGGTCTCCCCCTTCAAAGTTCAAAGCACCAGACACACACCACTCACCACAGGAGAGTGGATCTTTGTCACTGCCACAGCCTCCTCCGCCCCCTTCTCGACTCCCTCCTCTCCTGTCCCCTTCACGACAAAACAACTCTTTCACTTCACCTGAATTCCTGACGAGAACCTTTACAAGGCATAACTCCATTGCTCAACATCATCGTCTGCTAGTAACTTAGCAACACGCCATCCAGCCTGATCCCTAGTGCCTGTTGGCCCTTTCCGTTAGTCTCCTGCTCCGTCCATTTCCCAGAAGGCGAAAAAAATCAACAACGCCCCTCATCCAACCAGAGCTGATCCACCGCCCTTCCCAATCCTTCCATCAATCCATCATCCATCGTGCTCTGCTCGACTTCCTCACTCGACTCCGTCGTCTACCTCGTTGAACATACATCCTGCACCACCCGCACACATCCTCCTCCAAATCGCTCATCGTCGCCAGATTCCAGCTTTCACCGGTTTTTGCAACCTTTCACCATCACGTCGCGTGAGATTTTGTTGAGTCCACAAGAACCGGCCGCCTAATACCAACAACCACTCCGATCTCCGAAAATTCGAATCGCCAGCCTTACAAACGAATCGCTTGATAGAGACAGTCGCGCCTCGACCATTCTGTTACACAGCGCTTAACCTGTTGAAGCGGATCCCTTGACGTCTCGCTTTTCCATCAATCCGGTATGTTGGTTTCGTCTCTATGCACTCGGCTCCCTACCTTGGCATGCTAGCCCAGCCCTAAACTCAATCAAACACCACGATGCAGCTGAGCGCCGTGCCATGCGCTTTCTATCAACGTTTCGGAACTGACATAGGAATTCATTGCAGCTCAGTGTTGAAGTCGACCCCGAAAGAGAGAAACACATCAATAACACACGCGGATTCTCTCGGCTGCAGCGACCGAGGCCGGTTGGGGATCGCTACGCCTCGTTTCTCTCTCCTCTCTCCTCTCTCCTTCCTCCTTTTGTCCTCCTTTCTTCCTCGCGTTTCCCGCTTTTCTCTCGTTTCTCGAACTGAGCCACCATGGCGGACCAAAATGACGTCGATCTCGATTCCATCATAGACCGTTTGTTGGAGGTGAGGGGCAGCAGGCCCGGAAAACAGGTGCAGTTGCTCGAGACGGAAATCCGCTTTCTATGCACCAAGGCTCGTGAGATTTTCATCTCGCAGCCGATTCTGCTGGAATTGGAGGCGCCGATTAAGGTGAGCTCCACGCGTTTGATTCTGATGGCGGACATCTGCGGCTGACACCGGTTTTGACGTAGATCTGTGGTGATATCCATGGCCAATACTACGACCTCCTCCGCCTGTTTGAATACGGTGGTTTCCCCCCGGAAGCAAATTACCTGTTCCTGGGCGATTACGTCGATCGAGGAAAGCAGTCCTTGGAGACCATCTGCTTGCTCTTGGCATATAAGATCAAGTACCCCGAAAATTTCTTCATCCTACGCGGCAACCACGAATGCGCCTCGATCAACCGCATATACGGGTTCTACGATGAATGCAAACGGCGGTACAACATCAAACTGTGGAAGACCTTCACCGATTGCTTCAATTGCCTACCCATCGCGGCCATCATCGACGAGAAGATTTTCACCATGCATGGCGGCTTGAGCCCGGATCTCAATTCCATGGAGCAGATTCGCCGCGTCATGCGACCTACGGATGTAAGTTTTCACCGTTCCTTTAGTGTGGCGCTACCGGCCTTTTCCGGGTTTCGCAAGGGTATCCACTCTCAGAGGGAACCCGTCCCTTGTGCGATACACTAACGTGACTTCAGATCCCCGACTGTGGACTCCTATGTGATCTGCTATGGTCCGATCCAGACAAGGACATTACCGGGTGGAGTGAGAACGACCGCGGCGTCTCGTTCACCTTTGGACCGGACGTTGTCAGTCGATTCTTGCAGAAGCACGATATGGACCTCATCTGCCGAGCGCATCAAGTAGTGGAGGACGGCTACGAGTTCTTCTCGAAGCGTCAGCTTGTCACGCTGTTCAGCGCGCCAAACTATTGCGGCGAATTTGATAACGCCGGTGCCATGATGAGTGTAGACGAAAGTCTGCTATGCTCGTTCCAGGTATGTCTCCCTCCAACCCCCTCCCCCCAAATGGCTAGCCGCGACTGACTCCGGTTTCCCACCAGATCCTAAAACCAGCCGAGAAGAAACAAAAGTACGTCTACGGTGGCCTAGGCACAGGCAGACCCACCACTCCTCCGCGAAAGCAGACCAAGAAGAAATGAACACCTTACGAACTTCCACGTGCAGCAGGTTCGGGCGGAGATAATCCATCACCCACACACACAAACTTCCCCGCCAAACGCCGCCGTTCGCCCGCCACCCCATCCCGACCGTTTCGAAACCCGCACGTTTTCCCCCTCATACGAATGTTAGAGTCCTTCCTTCCCCCTATACGAATTATTCCCAACAGACAGACCCTTTCCATTCAGCGACGCGTTACGACCCCGGTCTCCATCCTTGTATCTTTCTCGGCTTCCTCGGGTCCTCTTCTCCCGTATCTCGGTTATTTTGCGCTCGGAATGCGCTATGGCTGTACGACTAGCTCCGGCAACGTCTCGGCCGCGCGTTCCTCGGCATCCCCGGTTCCCATCACATCGGCATGAAGAACTGAACCCACCCCCGCAACGGCCGAACGACCTCGTTTTAGCTCTCCTTGGGACGCGCAAGATATCCGCCATCGGCATTGTCACGGGACTGAGCTCGATCATCAAGAACGTGGCACATGGTTGAGTTCCTGTTCACGCACCCCGGGGGCGTTTTCCCCAGCGGATGGATCGGATCGGATGGCGGCGGATAATGGGTACGGCATGGGAACCGCGCGACACACGAACACCGGACGGAGCAGGCGGGTAGCTAGACGGTGGAATGGGTGATGATTGGTGGTTGTTCGATTGAGGGTTGTTCGGTTCGGATCGGTTTGATGGTTGATGGGAAGGTGGTGGTGGTGGTGGTTGTAGGTTTTCCGAGGGGGTCATGAATCATTACCATGCTTTGTCTGGATGGCTGGTGTAGTAGTGGATGACAAGAGTAGCACACAAGCTTTGTATTTTGCGGAATTGGTATGGATAACGCGGGAATGCTTCATATCGCAGTTCACACTTCACACACGTGCTTGGTCGAATGGTGCGGATCTCGTGTCGATGCTCATATATGCTGCTACGAGACCGGTTCGTTCCGCTCCGTGCCGGCCTGGCTGCCAGTCTGACTGTCGTACGCTTTTTGGGGGATGAAAAGGGCTGGATGGAACCGAAAACGTGGGTGTCTATCGGTCTGTGTCTGTGATCTATCTCTTACCTGTTCTTGATTTGTCCCGCTATGTTCGCTCCTGATTCTTACGGCTTGTCTGTTTCCCGATCGTGCGGGTTTTTTTCTTGTCTCAGTTGACACCATTCAATCACGGTGACTGGTGAATTTCGGTTCTTCTCTCATCTTTTGCCTGTACTGGCCTGGTCTTGCCTTGATTGATACGATGTCAGATAAGGTACATATACGGAAGTTTTCGTTGTCGGGTGCGATGTCCTGCCACTCCGTTTACTCCCGTCCCGACGACGCCCCTCATACTGTTCCTACCGCTGCAGCTGGTTTTCCGCGATCAACAACCCAACGACGAAAACTGTACCTGTACACTCCACCTGCCCTACCTCCGTTCCCTCCTGTTTCAGGTACCACGATGGATGACCTATCATACACGGGGCGAGGTGCCTAGCCTCGTCACAGGTAGCCGGTGTTTCGGCTGAATCAACGATTTCTTAATACAAACGTGTCTCGCGACTAATGGGCAATGATGTGTGAGTGCGTGGATTGGGGTGGCGGTTGTGCCCGCCCTCTGGTCGGATACCAATTCGTAGGGACCGTCTTATGGAGACGTTGGAGAAGTGGTTGGATAGACTTTGCGTATCGGTCCGTATGATATCTTGTAGACCGGTAGATATTGATCGATCCGGCGCGGGTGAAAGGGAGGGCTGGAGTAGCTTGCCATTGCATGCTTTGTGCATGATCCTGTGTCGTATCATCCGATCAAATCTGTATTTACGTGCTGTCTTTAAAGACAATAGCGAGGAGCGGGCGATATGGCATGCTTGAACGAGGACAGGCAGGGGAGGCCTTGACATTGATTCTAGATTCCGCACATGAGACGACAGGTCCGCATCGATGGCGTGCAGGTCGTCAAACTCGTTACAACCATCACCAGTATTTTCAATGTCTATGTTAACAGCGTGACATCACACTCCGAGCACATTCTATAATTTGTAGTTTGATTTTAATTTTTTTTCCATGTATGACAATACACAGCGATATACATAAGTCCATCCCCACCCCATCCCTATTCCACCCGAACGCCATCAAACAAGAATGCTATCCAAACACCGCTTGCAGCCCGTGGATCCCCGTGATGAATGAACTGCATGATCTACGTAACTCGCTTCCGCCCGCCTCGACCGCTCGGGTCGACAGGGGTAAGAAACAGATAAAATGTGAGGGGAATTATGTTTCGTCGCATGGTGAACAAAAGGAATGACGCCGGCCTCCTGGCAGAGAGGATGCGCCTAGAAATCTTCGTCGAAGGCGAAGTCGCCCTTCATGGTGGCGGAGGGCGCGGGAGCGATGCCGTCGACGGGCTTCTCGTGGCGCTTCGTGCTCTCCATGACGCCAGCTTTCTGGTAGTCGCCGACGCGCTTCTCGAAGAAGTTGGTCTTGCCGGCGAGGGAGATGTTCTCCATGAAGTCGAAGGGGTTAGCGGAGTTGTAGTGGCGGGGCAGGCCGAGGGCGAGGAGCAGGCGGTCAGCGACGAACTCGATGTACTGGCACATGAGGTCGGAGTTCATGCCGAGCAGGCGGACGGGGAGGGCCTCGGTGAGGAACTCCTGCTCGATGGTGACCGCTTCGGTGATGATGCGGCGGACGGACTCGTCGGAGGGCTTGTTGCGGATGTGTTGGAAGAGGAGGCACGCGAAGTCGGTGTGCATGCCCTCGTCGCGGGAGATCAGCTCGTTGCTGAAGGTGAGGCCCGGCATCAGGCCGCGCTTCTTGAGCCAGAAGATGGAGGCGAAGGAGCCGCTGAAGAAGATGCCTTCGACGGCGGCGAAGGCGACGAGGCGGGAGGCGAAGGTGCTGTTCTTGTCGGAGATCCAGCGGAGGGCCCAGTCGGCCTTTTTGCGGATGCAGGGGACTGGGTAGGATCGTTAGAGATGTTGAACGCGAAACGACGCGTCGTAGACGTGGATGACTTACTGGTGTCGATGGCGTTAAAGAGGTAGGTCCGTTGCTTCGGCTCACTGATGTAGGTGTCGATGAGCAGCGAGTAGGTCTCGGAGTGGATGTTCTCCATCATGATCTGGAACCCGTAGAAGCATCGCGCTTCGGGGACCTGCACCTCGCCGCTGAAGCGCTCGACCAGGTTCTCGTTGACGATGCCGTCGGACGCGGCGAAGAAGGCGAGGACGTGTGAGATGAAGAATCGCTCGTCGTCGTTGAGTTTCTTGTTCCAGTCGTGTAGGTCTTTCGACAGGTCGATCTCTTCCGCCGTCCAGAACGATGCTTCGGCCTTCTTGTACATTTGCCAGATCTAAAGTAGAAACGTCGGGTTAGCGAGCCGGTCTTGGGTACCAAGCTGCGCGTGTTGGACGCGTCAACCAATTGGGCGGGTGATAATGACTCACCTCATGATATTTGATGGGGAACAGGACGAATCGCTGAGGGTTCTCTTGTAGGAGAGGCTCATATGCCTCCTCGGGTTTAATCGTGGCAGCGACCGATAGACTCGTCTCCTCCTTGGGAGGCTCCCACTCAGGAATACCCTTCACCGGGACAGCAACCTCCGCGTTCTCTTTGTCGGCAGGAGCAAAGTCGAGCTTCTTCACAGGTGAGTCGGCCATCTTGAGGCTCTCAATGCCAGCAGCAGCCTGTAAAACTCATCAGTCTCGTCGTGCCTCGCGGTACCGCCTCGCGTCAAAGTTGGGACGTACCGTCTTTGATGGAGTGGATTGAAGGGTGGACATGGTCGATGTGCGTTCTGACAGCAGCAATGAGCAGTACGAAGAGCACGAAGGAAGTATTGAAGTGCAGCAAAGATAATGGGAGAATTGTGTTGGTTGGTGGTGAAGATGTAGCAGAGAAGAACGCGCAGAACGCGTCGACTTTAAAGAGAGCGCGCCAAGAAGCTGAGACGCGCCTCGAGGGGTTGGGAGAGTTCGTCACGTGATATTTACCATCAGTGCATTCACGGTTGAGACACATCCCACTTTTGCAGACGCGTTTCCACGCGACGGTTCCACTTGAAAGTTTATTCCGCGATTGGAAATCAAGTTATGACTGGATTGATTTCCTTATTCTGCTATTTCGAGCTCTTAACACCGGTCTAATGGTGCTTGTTGTGGGTCTATGGCATCCCAATATGACGATGGCAGCATCTGATAACTGATTATTTACCTAATCTAATGCTCCCCATCTGCTAGAGCATATCCACAGTCGCAGAATCATCAATCGGCAGACAAATAGATATTCCGTAGTTTGAGAAATCCCATCCTCTACTCCATATCTCCCTAATCTAGACCTTACGCGTATATTCATCTGGGTCACACCCGTCACATCGCACCACTCTGCGCCGAGGCCGCCGACAATATTGCATTGCTAACTACCTAAGTACCCATGTTTGCAACACCGAAATTATGTCACCGCCTCGGGAGTCGGCCGTAGTTCGGTCTTTGAAGGCATTACTCGTGTCCATGAATGTCCCTGAGCCGTTCCCATAACTCATCCGATCCACCATCAAAGATTCGAAACGCGTCAGCGTCCAGAGCGGACACGGCGGTTGAACTACACTAGTACCTTGGTGGCGCTTGAGGGGCTCCTCCATAGCCTTGCTGCGGTGGGTAGCCCTGCTGTGGCGCTCCGCCACGGCCATAGCCCTGCGGCGGCTGCTGTCCCGCCTGTCCAGGATATCCACCCTGTTGCGGATACTGCTGCTGCGGCTGTTGGCCGGGATAGCCGCCTTGCTGAGGATATCCAGGCTGTTGGCCATGCTGCTGTCCATGCTGCGGCTGTTGTCCAGGATAGCCACCTTGCTGAGGATATCCAGGCTGCTGTCCGGGCTGTCCGTATTGTCCTTGAGGAGCACCGTGTTGTCCCTGAGGAGCACCGTATTGTCCCGCTGGAGGGGCGCCATATTGCCCAGGAGGAGGAGCACCGTACTGTCCAGCCGGCGGGGCGCCATACCCCCCTTGCTGGACCGGCGGGCGTCCACCGGCGCCCTTCTCATCTTTCCGATCGTACGAGTGGTCGATCGCGCCCAGCAAGAGCTTGACGATCCACAATTCGGGGGAGAGATCGATGGGCGGCGACGCGCGCGCCATCTCGGCGGACTCGTTCTCGTAGTTACTGGTGCAGTCGATCATGCCGCCGACGATGGGGTCGCTGTCGAGCTTGCTGAGGAACGCGGTGGCGCCCTGGTCGTTGCCGACCTGGGCAAACTGGTACGCGACGGCGCCGGGGCCGTACTGGGTGCGCTGGAGCTCGCTGGCCGCATTCTTGATGGCGTCGAAGACCGCGTTCTGAGGCTCGCCCGCGGGCTGGCCGTCGGTGACGGCGATGACCAGCACGGGTTTGCGGAGTTGGCCCGAGCGGGCTTTGGCGATGACCAACGGTTCGATGACCTTGTTACGCAGCTCGGTGCCCATCGGGGTCAGGCCCTTGAATTGAACCGATTGCATGAGGCTCTCGACCTGCTGTTCGGATCGGATGCCGTCGGTGGCTTGGGGGGGTGGAACGCTGTTCATGAAGCGGACGCTGACGCCGTCGTCATCGAAGAGAGTCGCGGCACTGGAGACACGTTCGAGGATGAGGCGGAGGTCCTTGATGCGCTCGCCGTTTTCTTCGAACTGCATCGAGCCAGAATCGTCTGGCAGATATCAGAATCGAATCCTCCAAGGGAAATTCCAGGAATTAAACTAACCGATATAGAGAACGATGTCGTACAACCCTAACTTCACCAAGTCACCTCCAACTTCCCGAGGTATTCTCCATTTCGCGCAGAGGCCATCGACTTGCTGCGTGGCCTTCTGTGCAAGCATGTCAAGCGCCGGCGAGTTGGGCGGGTAAAACGCCTGCAAGCCGCGCTCCTGAACAGTCTGCTGGAGCGACTGCTTGTAGACTCCGGCGTTCACAGGAGGACCCGCTGGAGGGGCGCCGTACTGGCCGCCCTGTGGAGGAGGTTGACCATAGCCAGGTTGTTGACCCTATACGGAAACTGTCGTCAGCGTTGTGATCAATGTCGGTCAATGAATACCTTGCAATCATGAGTCAAAGCATCGTCGACGAACATAGGCTGGCTGTTGCGGCTGTCCTCCATATTGTGGCTGCTGTCCTCCATATTGTGGCTGCTGTCCTCCGTATTGGGGCTGGCCTCCGTATTGGGGTTGCTGTTGCTGTCCATATTGCTGCTGTTGATAAGCTTGTGGTTGCTGATAACTTTGCGGTTGCTGTGGATATCCGGATGGTTGCTGTCCGTATGGCTGCTGAGGAGCCGGAGATCCATATGCCTGGTACTGCGATCCTTGAGGATTGGCTGGCGGCGGCCGATTATACATCGCTTGTGGCTGAGGAGATTGCAACGATGGAGGTAACGATGAAGCGGAGGATGTTGGATAGGGTGGTTGTCCTGCGGATGGTCGGTTGAGTGGCATTTTCGATCCGGGGCTCCGCTGAAAGCTCTTCAATGATGCCAGAAGCTCTCGGGCACTCCTACAAGGATCGGGTCGGTCGCACACGAGTTGGTGAGACGGTAGCAGGCAGAATCGAGTCGCACCGGACGGAAAAAAAGTATACGTAGCCAACTGTGGCGTCTTGGTAACTTCGCTCTCGCAACGTGGTTTGCGTTGAAGTTTCGGTCACAGCAGTCGGAGCGCCGGGACGAAGGATGACGAACACAGGTGGCGAAGACCGCAGCCCAACAAGCCCAACAGCGCGCGAACAAGGAACTAACAGCAAATGACATGGAAGGGATGCGCTTACACTTCCTGGAAACGCTTGGTACTGCGCCTGACCCGGCTAAGCTCCCGTTAGCTTTAGCGACGGTGCTGTCGGGGGAGGAATGAGCTCACATAACCTGGTTTCCCTCCCTGAGCTCCTGGAGGCCCGCCTGGAGGGGGAGGTCCGCCTGGATATCCACCGTATCCTCCCGGTGGTGCACCTCCTGGCGCACCTCCTTGCGCGGCTGCGAGTTTGGATGCTAACTGGAGAGGAAAGCGTCAGTCATGGCATTCACGACATTCGGAACGTGAGCGCGAGAGGGGTTTCCGCCAGAGCCGACTGTGTATATAAGGATCGGCTCGATGAATGGGTCTATCCATGGCTTGTGTTCTGCGGCGCTGGGAAGTACCAAGAACCAGGGAAGGAGGGGTAACGGAAAGAGTCTCGGAAAAAGGGGACTTGGACTTACTCCCATTGCAACTGCGGGTTGAATATCGTGCTGATTGAAAGGCAGATGGATCAAGTTTGTAAAACCCGAAGAAACAAAAGAATTGAAAGCTAATGTTTATGAAAAGTCTCAACTTCAAGTGGGCTGACGATGACAGCCCTCCCCAAGTTTGCTGAAATGACCTGTGACGCCAGGAGGTGGGGCACCGGGGATCGACCCCTCCACCAAACTTGCACCGCCTCCTTCAGCCTTGCCTATCCCTAATAAACCCCTCTTAGTAACTTAGTCCATGGGTAACGCAATATTATTTTCATTTCTCGGATCATCTCTCCAGATGCCGGTCAATTTCTTGCAGGAATCCTTTCGCTTGATAATGTTGAGGGGTTGGACGCGTCCTAGCCACATGGCCGTGCAGATGGATTCGGCTAGACAAGGGATGGAAGTTTACGGAAGTGCATATCATGCTGGCATCAGGTACGGAATTATTTGAGGGGGACATTCGTCTACTTCAATGGTTCCTTTGGAAAGGAAAATCTAGTATGCCTGGCAGCCATGTCGGACGTCATTCGAGCACTTAAGGCTAATAGCATTTGATGGGTATGGCGGGGCACTGATATATTCTTGTATTGTCCGACCGATATGGAAATATTATCCCCAGCCCAATCCCTCACTTCCCACCCTGCTCCAACAACCACCCCATCGTATCCGCCGTATGCTTCACGAACTCCTGACTCGGCCCCCACTTCGGGAGGAAGCTCCAGAACGCATGCGGCAGCCCCGGATACACATCTACCAGTGTCTTGACGCCGGCCTCGCGCATCTTCTTCTCCGCCAGGAACGCCTCGTCGCGGAGCGGATCGAGCCCGCAGATCTGGAACACCGTCGGCGGGACGCCCGACCAGTCGACCGGGTCGGCGAACAGGTTGTGCAGCCGCGAGGTGTAGTCGGGCTTGAAAGCATCCATGAATCTGTCGATGACGGGGAGGGGGAGGATCGGGGCTTCGGCGTTCTGCGCGTAGGAGAGGATGTCGTCTTTATATTCGGCGGGGATGGCCTTGTAGTTGAGTCCTATGGCGGGGATAGTGAGGAGGAGGCCGGTTAGTGGCGGGGAGAGCTTCTCGTCGCGCGCTTTGAAGCCGAGAACGGCGGAGATATTCCCGCCGGCGGAAGTGCCTCCAATGACGAACCCTTTGGACGGATCCGCGTTCACTTCAGCATAGTGCTCCGAGGCCTACGATGTGATCAGTTAGGGCGATGGAACCGCCTTCATAAACCGTACTCACCCATTTCAACACGTCCCAGCTATCATTCACTGGCACCGGAAACGGATGCTCCGGCGAAAGCCGATAATCCACATTCAACACCACCGCCCCATGCCTCCTCACGAACATCCTCGCCGGGATCGTCTCCCCGAGAATGTCCCCAATGCAGAACCCTCCACCATGATAGAACACTACCAACGGACTCCCCCCGGCCGGAGGCGACGCCGGCGCGTGCACCCGTACGCGGATGTCGTACCCGTCCCGCGCCTTTACGGTGATGTCATGCTCCTTCATGCCGGCGAGCAGCTCCGGGGTGTTGAGGGTGTCAATCATCTCTTGTTTGCGGGCATTGAACGTGTCTCGCATCTGATGGATGGTGAAGCCATCGAGGGCGGCGGGGATCTTCGCGAACTCGGTGAGGAACTCCTGGTTAGGCTCGCCCAGATGCATGTGTTCTTTACCCATTGTGAAGGAAGTGGGATGTTGCAGGGCTTCCAAGCTCTTGAATAACTCGTCGAAGAGTTGGCGGTGGGCAAAAGTATAGAGTAATTATCGTCCCTTTCTTTTCGATGTGGTCTGCGATTGTGTAACTGTTTGCAATGCACGATGAAGATGAGACATAGGTATAGCTCGGGCATCGGCTATTATATACTACTACCTGACCGTACGTCCGTACCTGTTCCAAATGTGCTCTAAACTCGGCATCTTTGGGGGCCGATGCTATGTCCGCCCCCAAACCAAGCTTTCTTGCTATATTAGTAGGGACTACTTACGCCTCGATACTTATCTTGGCGATGGCTGCATTAATTGATACAACATGAAGTTGGCATCGAAATGCGGGGTAAGTACCGTAGGTTATTACCGCCATCAGTGATTCAGCGCATCACTTCGCTCATGCTGCATAACTAACAGTGCTAGAAGTTGCTGGATATGCGGTTATTAGAGAAACTTGACAGTTAGTCGGACCTAGGAATGATAATACTTTCCATTGCACACAAGAATATGCCAAGTGAGTAGGCTTCTCTGGTGTCCATGTATCGGTGCAATTGCAGGTCGTTCAACGATTCCTACTAATTGCGCTCACCTACTATTATTAAGTGTGAGAAAGAAGTGTATTACATCACGTCGACATAAATATCGCACTTGCTTGTAATGTTGCAGAGAATGGCTGGACGAAGACAGTTACAATTTGTTTACAACATTGGTCTTGATGTCGGAAGTGATGACGGCTTTGAAATTGGGCCTGAAGCGCGGCGATGCATCGCAGAGTATGTGTTGAGAACCAGTAATTATATCGCTAATAATATGGTAGAGTGGCGGGAATATGGTTGTAGATGAGCGCCTTAGTGGATTCGGCGTTCGAGCACGACTCGATATCCGGAAATCCACTTGTTGCTTCAGGAGTCGTGAGGTTGTAGTTGTTAGAAAGTTGGAGTTTAGCAAGATTGATGACGGACATCCACTAACTCCGGCTTATTCGTCTCTTATAGGTCTCCTTACGAACGTAGTAATTAGGCTTAAGGAGCAACTCATAGGTATCATTATTCTTGTTTTCTTTCTCGATCCTTCTGCAGCTCGGCCCTCCAGAGTCCAGACAATCTCCATCTCCACCTCCACCTCCATCCCATCTACACCTCCATCTTCATCTTCATCTTCATCCACTCCATTATATAAGTTTCGCTTCATGTCGTGTTCGCTCTCGATGCTCTAAAAATTGTAATTACGCAACATTTTCATATTACATAATTCCGTCAATCACCTAGATACCCGGCTCAGAGTCCGATCAATGAGTCACGAAAGTGCGGAACAATCGGCTTCACTGGCCCCCATGTCTTTCTATCATCAACTTAATAGCAATGTCGCCAGCATCCGCACTCGCAGCATCCACTACTCATAGTTGACATGTGTCTAACACCCAGCATCATAGCATAACTCTCCAAACTATTCACCACCCCAATAATGTCCAAGAGTCCAGTTGCCAGTCCCGCATCTCCGCTTGAAGAAGACGATACTTCATCCACTCTCACTCTTCCAGATGGCCGAAAACTAGGCTATGCGCAGTTTGGCTCGCCGACAGGACGACCTGTCATTCTCCTCCACGGCTTGGCCTGTTCTCGCTTCGATGCTGCCTACTTCCACGAGGTAGGTCAGCAACTCGACGCCCGCGTGATAGGTGTAGACAGACCTGGGATGGGATGGAGCTCAGCCCATCCAACCCGCACGCTGCTTGATTTTGTCGAGGATGTAGAACATCTTATAGAGCATCTAAAGTTAGATGATTGTAGCGTAATAGTACGTATCCCTTTACCCTGGGGAACGATTGTTAACCAATGACAGGGGGTGTCAGGAGGCGGTCCATCCGCCCTGGCGTGCGCTAAAGTGTTACCACCTACGAAGCTCAAAGCCGTGGCCATCATTGTCGGCCTTGGTCCACCGGACATCGGCATGAGTGGTGCCAGGCTCGTCAACCGCATCGGTTTCCCGTATGGGTTCCGCTACTGTCCCCCATTTTTGAACCGGTGGTTCTGGCAGCAAGACTACATCGGCCGTGTGGATTTGAGCGACGAGGAGCGACTGGAGATGGCGCTCCGGCAGTTCGAGAAGTCCAAGTCGAAAATGCCAGCGAAGGACCTGGCCGTAATGAGCGATCATGATTTCTATCGGCTGCCTCTACGGTCGACGAGGGAGGGCTTTGCACAGGGTTTTGATGGGGTCTTGCTGGACGGGAAGCTATGCTGTCTTGATTTTGGCTTCAAAGTAGAGGATATCAGGCCGGATTTGCCGGTGCACCTGTGGTATGGGAAGCAAGATGTTTTTGTTCCGGCAAACCATGGGGTGCAGCTAGAAAAGCGGCTGGGAAGTAGAGCGCATCTTAGACTCGTGGATGAGACACATGTGAGTCTTCTGGTAAATCGGAAGAAGGAGATATTAGAGAACCTGATCAAGGCTATGTAAAGCCTGAACAGGGATGTATATTAATCACGGAGGACTCGCATCTCAGCATTAGCAGTTAAGTCAGCATATTTCTCAACCCAGCTCGTCTATACTCACTTGCCACGCCTAACATCCTCCTCCTTCACCGTACATGCCACATCCATAATCTCAGTATTCCCTCATCTTCACTCACACCGGCATTCCCAAGTTTCTCTTTTTCATCAAAACGAGGCGCGCATTGGAGCCATCAAAGCATAGCTGAGCCTGCTGGCTCCGAAAACACTGTACCGTGGGGGTATTTCACTGTAGAACAGCATTTGATTGTAAGCCGCCGCATCATTTTATCATCATAGAGATTCTTGACCTTGTGATTGACGATGTTGGGCAGCACAATTGGGACTGGTCATCAACTCTGTCTCCTGACCGGCAGCGTTGAGAATTGATCTGTTTCCCTTAATGAAGAGTTTAACTCCTGTCTAGTGAGTTTGACTGTTATATACTGCGAATAATTCGTCTTAGGGAGGTTGAGGGGGTTATCGGTGGCACAGCGCCACAGCCAGTGTACTTACTAGGGAAGATTCCGCTCTATGTCTTGTTTATAGAACTTCATGTAACTAATCCGCTTATCAATCAGTGATGCTATTCCTTCTAGAGGTAAATACTTAACGGAGGTACCTGAAGCCGGTCGATCTATACTAGCCACTCCGGCCTGAAACCTGTTTTCGGCCACCGCTGTTTCCATTTCGTTCAAATTTGTACTGATATTGGCCGTAGACCGTGTAAGAACGCCCGACAGAGCTGTTCAATTATAATGTCTTAGCACCATATTGATCCTACACCATCTTCAGCATTCGCAATCAGATTGTATCTGGTCGTGTGAGGAGTTGGGAATCAGCTTCAATCAGTCGCTTCAGAGCCTTGCAGATCAGATTGACTAGGTAAGTCAGAGACACAAGCAACGGAATGGTGTCAGTCGAACGGTAGGCTATTAGAGCAAAAAGATGGCAACAGCTTGTACCTTTTGGGGCCTAGAGGCGATGCCGTAACATCCTGCCTAGGTCAGTGTCTGACATAATGCCTCAGCCTTTTTTACAAAGACTTTGTTAAGCAATGTTGTGTCTGCAACTCTGTACCTCGGCAGTGATATCTTGATGAAGGCACCACTGGGGCGCTATACGCGTTCCTGTGGCTGATGAAGGGCAAATTCTGCAACTTCTGGCCACTATCTTTGAGCAGGAGCTGGTAGTTGACCATTCTCAGGATTCCAATGGCATGGCACGTCTCATGGTTAAATCCAAGGCTCTTTGCCGTGTCGTCTGAAGCTGAAAGGGTTTCTTCCCATCACTAAGTTGGTTCATGTGACGATAACAGTCCTTAATTCGGCCGAAGAAGTCTAGGCGGGTATGACCTGGTCTCATCTCTGCGAGATCACTCCAACTATTCCCTGGAATACTTTTATCTTCTGAATCATCGGTTTGAACGCAGGTACCGCTACTGGAGAGCGACCTAGTGACTGCGAACGCAAAAAAGCTTGTAGTGCTAGGCGCGTAAGGCACGCTCCCAGTCTGCATCTTGGGCATGTCGCTTCCTTTCAGGAATCGCGTGTCATGGCTTGAATATAGACAGACAGGACATCTCTTTTACTCGTACCAAATTTTAAGCGTAGTTCACGCCTGAAATCAGTCGAGCTTTTCGGCCTCGCTGGGCTCATCAGCACCGCCAACATTCCAACTGAGAGTGAACTCAGCGTCGGCTGCAGCATTAGCATCTGAAACCGGTTCTGTTATGAAGGCATGATGGGTGGATTTACCTGCCAGAACCCAACTTGTGGCATAAGATTGGCGAGAATGGATGACAAAATCCGGATTGCCCCTATTCTCATCTGGAGCACAGGCATGAAGTCAGAACAACATATCAATACATCCATCTTTGATCAAACAGTAAAGAAGAACGGCTAAGAATCCCTGGGCACTTCATAAGGCTCTTGATAACGGCTTTTCAGGATCGAGTTCGTTAGCGCACTAGATGTCAAGGACCAACCGACATCGAGTTTAAAAGGCGATATTCCATCGTTCATTTCAAGATGCTGGAAATCTCCTATTCAACCTCCTCGCGTCTACCGGACCGGTCGGACGAGATCTGCAAGGCAAGTAGGCAGCCTCCAACCCCGATACGATGCCAAACTCCCGGGAGAACACTCAACAGTTTGTCGTCGGATTGGTAACTGCATGAGCTAGGAGTATACCCAATAGGGCTGGACACGAATATTCGACTATTCGTATTCGTACGAATATTCGTAGTCGAATACGAATAAAATTTAGAATTTCCGCTTACTAATATTCGTACGAATAATATTCGCATTATTCGTAATTATTCGTAATTATTCGTCTATCTCTGAAGCTATTTCCATGTATCTCGCATCGGAGAGATGGTCGACAGAGAGCTTTAAGCTGGGGTCACTTGGCTTGCTGAATCGTCAGGAGTGATCAATTCGACGCTATTGATATGCTTTGTATCTCTTAGAGCTCAAATCCTCCAGATCGTGTTCGGGTAAACAAAAGTCGCGACTGTTGGGCATTCATTCATTGGCTCGGCTTTTGCCGAATAAGTCTTGGCATTATTTACGAATATTCGCGAATAATACGAATAAAACGTCTCAAAACTTAGTCGAATACGAATAATCGTTCAAGAGGAAAAGTCGAATACGAATAGCCAAAATCCTTATTCGTGTCCAGCCCTAATACCCAATACCGTATCGTTCGGTTCCATCGTGCGGTTTTAAAAACCACATGCATTTCATGAAAGTAATTGCCAACTCTAGGTGCTGTGTATAGGATGATGGTCAGGTTCATATCGCACGAGATATAGCTGAATGGTACGTCATCCGTACTTTAGCCTTCGACTGATGTGTATGCAGTGTGAACGAAATGTGCCGTTTATATGCCGATTGAGTCTGGTTATAAAAAATTTCATGATGACTCGTTTTCTAGCTTTGTACTTTAAAAAGACACGATGTTATTCGGTCGTTTTGCTTTCATTTATAAGCACCAACAGCCGTAATGGTATTAACCATATCCAAGACCAGACGTTCCCTGGCCAATCACCCAAAGTCGAACACGCCAAACAGCCTTCTCAATTTCAACGTCTGCTGTCTGCTCATTTACTAAACTGTTATTAGTTATAAGTTAGCATAGTTAGACTAACCATTAATTGCTCGATTTTAGGAAGCCAATACCTTACGAATTTGAGTCGTTTATGGGCTCCCTCTTCCGTTAATTGGATTTTCTTACGCATACGCCATTTGCGGCAGTATTTGGACCCCCGCAGCGCGCGTTTGACGGTCGACTCTGACGGGGTGCCTTTATCGCAGGCGAGGGACCGCGCCAGCTCGTTGTGCGTGATTTTTGGGATTTTTTGGGATTTATTGTTGGAGATAACGCAAGTTAGATTCCGTGATCATCTTAGTACGGTGTCCTTTTGGGAGAGACTTAAATGTTCGTTGTGTACGGAACTTCTCAATTATACAGTCGATGGTTGAGGGCGAGCATCCGACCTCGCGCGCAATTGCTCGCTTGGATATTAGGCCCGCATCGACCATTGTAATGATTGCGGATCGCTGTTCTAGCGTAAGATCTGCATCATTACGCCGATTGCCGCTAATTTCACCCAGAATTGAGCGTTCCATCATCAAAATTGATGAAGATATTAATCATGCAAGATCGAGAGTCGTTTTGACGCGTCTCGCAGTCGCGGGGGCCTGTGCACGATTTGACCGGATTACTCTGACCCCACACAGTACTTCTGGAGGACGTGGATTCCCTGCGTGCAGAAACAGGACGGTCCGTCGCTGGTGACCTCTAGTTACCCTCATCAGGCAAAAACATAACAAACCGTGCATGCTCCAACTTTCAGCCCAGATCTGCCATGTATCTCATTTTACTGTATTACAACTCATCAAAGACCCTTATCTAGGTCTTAAAGTCCTACAACGATGCTAGAAATCGTCTTCGATAATGTGACTGCTGTAGTGTAGATGCACAGGTTCGTGAGGAAGATTTGTATGTCATATTGTGGAGAGTTCGACAACAATGCCGAGCTTGTCAATCTGGAGCACTCCAGAGGCTTCACCGTGGCAAATCTCTAGACCATATATTCAGGTTCAACCCCTGACCCCTCGATGAAATTGAGGTACCATGAAAAATCATTAAATAATAGCCACTCCTATCCAAAATTTTCGCTGTCCTTGATGAAGCTACACATCCATCCATACCTTTCCAGATCCAACACCGATACCGACAGTCGGTGTGGACACGGCTGAACACAACGCCCGATATTCCGAGGGCAACCACAGGACATTCTCTGAGTTATACGTGATCCACACTCCGCCTGGGCTTAATCCCGCTGTGTGATATCGTGGACTTCGGGGTTGCGTCACCAATGGGTGTCCAATGAAGCCAGTGACAGACCAAGAGGTATGGACCTGAGCTCAGTATGAAGCTGCAGGCCAGTTGTTGCCTGAATTTGGAAGATATTTGTAAAATAATATTAGGGTTTAGCAAGCCCCCCTGACAACCAGTTTTTAAAGGAATGAGCTATACCGTAGTGTGGCTGAGTCTCTTTATCTCCGATCATGCAAAATTGTCACAAGGGACGGGCGGATCAGAGACAAGCAAGCCCTGGTTTAACTGCAACAAGAGGCGTCTATGTTGAAATTATTGCAACGTAGTAACTAGAAAACATTGGCTTAATATGCATTCTGAACTACAACTGGCGGTAATCGATCTGCAGGATTGGATTTGATACCTCGCTTCATCTGCCACAGTCTGTGCACCATTCTTAAGCTCCGTAAGCCTCCAAAATGAGCTCTCTGATTGTCATAGGCTTGATGTCGGGGAAGTCATCGTTCAGAGTTCGACTAGGTTTCAAATCGAAAACTCCGTTCTCGAACATGATGCCAAAAGCTGCGAACATCCCTTGAAGCATTTGCTTGGGGAAGAAGGGATAGAATGGCGGGTGAGACGGTAATTCGGTAATCTGGCCCGTCTTCAACTTTTCGATAGAATCGTGCTCGACGGTGAACTTTGTCTTCTTAACCTCCTCGGCAAACCGAACGAACTCGTTCAGTGTCACTCTGTCACCAATGATGTAAGACTCCTTCTCCCAGATGTCCTTAGTTAGAAGGGCAGCAACGAATTTACCGACATCGAAGGTATGCGTGAAGACAACTGGCACATCTCCGGAACCAGGGATCGCTGCGAAGTTGCTGTCCAAATCAACGACGAGCGCCATGGAAGGCATGTACGTCTTGACCTTTGGTGCACCATAGTAGTCTAGAAAATACCCATTAATCACAGCAGTCCATTCGATGGAGGTGGATTCCAGGGCCTTGATGTAGCTCAGCTTGATGGCGGCCGGGGGAAAGTATGAAGCTATCCTACAAGGCTTGCTGTCAGTGTTTTGCAGGAAACTGGGGAGTGCATGGTCGGGTACGTACTCCTCAGTGTAGCGGATGCCCCAGATACTTGGAATATATCGCTTGGTCACCAACGACTGGTCCGCTCCCTTGAGCAGATTGAGTTCTTGCTCAGGTGGTGACTGACTGCTCAGAGCCGAAATGACAACTTCAACACTGTTTCCCTCAAGCACCGATGCAATTGCGTCAGGGCTGCTGTAGTCTACAGCAATAATGCGAGCACCTATCTCCTCTGCTTTTTCATCATCGGCCTAGAGAGGACAGATGTTAATCAGCAGATCCTAAAATATGTATGGTGGCTACTTGCCTGACGAGCGAGGATCACGACCTCGAACTTGCCAGCAGCGTTAATACCATCAACGATGGCGCGGCCGAGCTTGCCGGTTCCTCCTGCAACTGCAGCGACAGGCATTGTGAAGTGAGCAACAGGTATGTCGAGTATGTGCTAAAGTTGTTGGTATTTCTTGCATCGAGACACATAAGGGTCAATGGAATATAAGTATTGATCCCTACCTGCTTACATATGTAAGGTCGTTGGCGGATGCAAAATAGCTCCGCCTGGAGGACGGATGCAAATTGGTTCCGTAAGCCTTTACCTTTGTAATTTGTAATAAGTGGGGCAGGATCTAGAACGTCCGCCAGAACAAAGACATCATGTCCAAGTCGTCCGAAGGCTGACTATACGCCCAAAAAGTACTGCTGGTACCAGCCTCACTTGACTTTCCTGGGAGGGGCAGAGTGGAGGTTCAACCCACTGGCCACCTAGGCTGGATTGGGCAAGTGGTCCGGAACCAATTTGAATCCGGATTATAAAGCCGTGTGCCTGCCTGGTGGCTTTTGCTTAAAACGCTCCCGGAGATCTGGTGTGGATAGATGTTTAGTCAACCACAAAAATATTTGTCCTCCTTATCTGCTCTCATTATCAGATCATCACGCAAAGCAATGGCTGGTGATAAAGTCCTCGTCCTCGGCGCTACGGGCCCGGCAGGAATCGTCTTGCTTCGCGAGCTCCTACACCGCAAACATGCAACGATTGCTTATGTCCGGACACCTTCCAAGATACCGCAGGACTTAGAGGACGATCCTTTACTTGAAGTAAGTTGTGCGTGTAGCTGTACAGTAGAGTGCGGGTGCAGTTCAACTAACATGCGTTCTCTAAGGTTGTCCAAGGTACAATGGAGGACACCGCGTCCTTGAGCGCAGTCATTGCCACAGCTTATATCATTGTATCATTCCTCGGTCCTAATGACATGCGAAGCCCAATGCCTTATCCCGGTTACTATTCGTTGATGTTTCCGCTAATGCGGGAGCATGGCGTTAAGCGAATTCTGGCTAGTACGTACTCTAAGCTACTCTCGGATAGTGGCTTCTTCTTTGGCGACCGACTCCCTGTTAAGTCACTAACACTGTCCCTTATAGTGTGCACTCCGTCCGTGGCCGAGTCTAATGACAACTTTAATCTGCTCGTGAATATCTTCATTCGACGAATCTTTAAATTGCTCGCCCCGGGGGCCTATCAATGCATGCAAAATGTCGCGCGGGTTTTCCGTGACGAGGCTCAAGGGCTAGACTGGACTCTCTTCCGTATCACTGCAATACCTGGCGAGTCCGATGCCGACAGCTGGAAAAGGGATCGCGAGCACTCAACTTATGTTGGCTATGTGGGCGACAAAGACTGGAAGTATTGGACCAATCGCAGCGGACTTGCGCGATGGCTAGTTGATACAGTGGAGCAGGGGCAGGGGAAGTGGGTTGGCAAGCTTCCTGCTGTTAGTGATCGGACCACTAGCCGTAAGTGACTGGTACGAGAGTGGAAGTGAACGGCATAGACAATGCTTTAGTTGTCGGTTGTCGGAATGTCAACGCAACAGCACACAGATCTAAGCTGGTGCCTTGCAGCCTTCGCAGCGATCCTGATCCTCTTCCAAGACTGAGCGTTCTTGCCAGATTTCTTTCTAAGACTTGCCCGTTATGATTGGCTAGTACTACAGTTTGTTTCTGCCGAATAGCTTATTACGACCCAACTTTTGCCCAGTGCGGTGTGTTGCATTCGAATTCCTCACATCTACCTCTAGGCCTCCTGTCAATAAAAGGAATCATGGAGGTTGAGGCCATCACCTGTGGATTCAAAATGGCATGATTCATCCGAATACAGGGGTAAGCTCTGAAGTAATTAGGTTTTGTTCGAGTGAGACAGTGTTGTCAGCCATCTTGATCAGCACAGGTCGCGAATGCCTGTCGGCGGAGTGGCCGGCAAGCTCCGGGCAACGTCCTGTTAACCGCGGGTGCTCTGCATTCTTCTATGGCTGGTGAGATTTTCCCACCAGGTTTTGAGATTTTCCCACCATTTGAGATTTTCCCACCAGCTCTTGTTTAGTGGAAATTAATCGCTCAACTGAGCCTAGCGCGTATTTTCCTATATCTTCTTCTGCGAACAACTTCAATGTTTCAATCTATTCCCTATGAAG